ACTGATGTTTGATCAGGAGCACAAAGGAGATTTAACCTGAGCACTGACATGAACCCACACATTTTGATGAAAGGCAAATTAATATTTTACATTTGAATGTGGAGGGAGTATTTATATAGATTATTGATTTCACCACAGGCATGAAACTACCAGCCCAGGGGCCACTTCTATTCCCTCGCCCCTAATGTCAAAAATATGATGTAAATTTCGTCACTCATTTTATTTCTTAAGATTTTTCACCTAAAAATAAAATAAAAAACAATTCCATAAAAAAAGAAAACAGCGATACTAGCAAAGGTCAAAGGTTAAATGAAACTGCATGTCCATACAGGGTTATTAAGTTTAAAAGGAGGTCAGGCGACTAAGTTGTTTAGTTGCTAGAGACAAAAATGTCTTTTTCCAAACTGAAAAAGAAAATGGATGAGTTTCTAGAAAGATATGTATTGCAATATTTTTTGTAGATGTGTTTTTCTGTGGAATTTGGTGGAAGTGGCACCAGCCTGATATACAAGGAAAAGTCTGAAGCATGACTACTGGACTAAACAGTGGACAGTATAAAAACGCCAAAAGATTTCAAGAAATATATTTAACGTGTTAACAAAGTAATGTTTGCTTAAATAAGCACACTTTTAGAAATATGTTGCTCAAACTTTTAAGGGTTAACAAACAGTATGTATACGCCAAAAAAAAAATCTTATATGATAAATCAGATCTATAAGAGGAGAGTGAACGGTACTATTCACTAAAGGTGCACTGTGCAGTATTTAGTTGCATTTAGGAGAACAGACTTGGTTGAAATACATCTATGAACATGTTTAGATTGATGTACAGTCACCTGAATGTAAAGCTTTTTCATCCTGTCAACCTAGGATGAGCTCAGAATGGACAAACTAGTGGCACAAACATATTTTATTTATTGTCAGTTGCTGCTAAAAATGCACTTGTCTTATAACAAAGAATGTGACAGAATTTATACTGACAGACATTTATTATGTGTCGTGTGATCAGACTTTATTTGCAACTGTTGCAAATTTTTCGATAATCGCTTGTTCCTGTTGCAGATCTTTCATGGCACTATGAAGGACTGTTTAGCTGCAACAAGTGAAGCCAGTATGGCAGAAATTGTTTAGTTTTTTGTCTATCTGATCAATGTCTTTGTCTTCATTGACTATTACTCTGTGAATGGCTTCTCTCTGCTATTCTTATCTCTTGCTGACTGCACCAGTGTCTCTATTTCTGCCTCTAATCACATTTGGAGTACCGCAGGCTGCTGCAGATTGTGACGTGCAGTGCTGAGAGATACTGCTCAGGGTAGCAAGTGAGGTCAAACCATGGAGGTCAGTTTCAGTAATCAAATCTGAAGCAGCTTTAAATCCGTATTTACTAATGCATGCTTTTTTTAGACTTACTAAAGGGGGAAAAGACACACAAGCCACGTTACTGTTGTCCAGAAGATTTATTAAAACACATTGAACAAATACACAGAATACAAATAAAAAGATGACGATTCACTTTTTCATTCAATTTGCTATACAGCACAAATATCAGAACCATAACACTGCTTGGAGCTCATTGTCTGTAAATGCTAGATACACTACGCCGCCTCCTCGAAGTGAAACGCCATACTCAACGCTTCACATGCTGTGCATTCGCTGCAACAAAGGTGCCTTTTATCAGGGTCTTTTGGTAGCTTTTGAAGCCATGTTAATAAGCATGTACATACATTGTTAACATATTTATAATATTAGACTGAAGTCTTTTTTCTTACAGACGTTACATTCATATGACTTCAGTTTGATTGCATTTCTTTTGGAGTATTTTGTTTTTGACGTCATCACTCCAAAGGGAAAAGGACATGATTTTGATTGATGAGCACGTACGGTGCACACTGCAGTTTAATGGCAACACCATCCAGCAGACATTCATCTTTTTTTCAGCGTGATACATTAATCTGTTCCAGATGGACTTACCTCTGGGAAATCCTTCAAGTATTTACATGTTTCTGAGGTTCTATCTGTCGAGCAACCTAATACATGTCATGGTCAAGTAATTCATGGTGAAACAGAAACAAAACAGTGTTGATTAACGCGTAGGATTTCACAAAAAACTGATATGGTGCACCCATAAGGTTCAATCCAATCCAATTAATTCCTGTAAATGAATGTGACTTTGAAATGGCAGAGGAGTAAGAAAATACACTCTGTACAAGACTACCTTTCAGTTTGAAACAGTCCCATCACAGTCCTGATCTCAACAAAGCCAAATAGTTGCTGCGCCAATGGCATCAAGGATAATCAAACAAACAAGTTAATGCCATTGACTTTAGAAAAATAAAAACATAGAAGAAGACAGATATCTGTCATAGCAATTTACACCTTTAGTCCAAACATTCAAGCAAAGCCTTCATAAAGAAAGGAAATGCAGAAAGCTTGAGTTGAAGAGATTGTGTTAAAATAGTGGACAGTCACTTAGGTGCATGAATAGTAGCAGATGGAATGGTTAAGACATGTAGCTATACCATGCTAATGCTTCTTCATGTATCAGTCTTTCCAATAACACTTACTCACAGAAATCGAGTTGAGGACAAAATTTAAAGAGTAACGTTTTTTTTTTTTTAAACAGTGGTCCTTAAAAGTTGATATACAGCAAATATTACCAAAATTAAGTTTAGACTGCAACACAACGATCTCATTGTATTTTTGGGCGGAAGTTTTCCTCTGACGTCAAGCTCTGGGTGGGAAGTACAAAAGCTTTTATGGCATTGTAACACTGTGTTGAAAGTTTCAGATTAAAATAAACTGAATTATGAGGCTGATAGTCGAGTGACCGTTCTCTGATTTTACCCCTTTAAAAAGCAGCTCATATTTAGCTGCATGCTAACCAATATTACTGTTTGATAGTGTCACAGTGTGACAGTGGGAATAATCCAGTGTGTTTACTTTCAAGTTAAAATACATGTGCAAAGGTTGTGCGCTGATATTTTAATCAGTCAGAGTGGAACGCTCAAATATTTGGACTTACTGTTGTGTTCAAGGTCTTCATTCATATGAACCTTGATAATCTGTAAAAGTCTTGAATGATTAGCAACCACAAAGACAAAAGAGAGTAAATATTAGGAAACAAATCAAGCTATATTTTGAATTAAAAATCACATCTGATTTCCGATGTTAGCTAATGAAATGAAATACAAATATGGTCTATTGTGGTCTTATTGAATTTAAAGTGCTCTTACTGAATTGCATAATGTTAGCTAACTATTTCATAGCTAGCAGTATTATTTGGTAAGGGCTTCCTAATGCTTAAAAAATTTTCAGTATTTTTTGTTTTCCACTGGGTTTAAAAGTGTGCTGAAGATGAGCAATGTTATTTCAAAACTTGTCCCAGTTGAATCATATACCGCCATGAGAAGGTTTTGTTAGCTAGGTGCTAGCAATGTGCCCTGTTTTCCCCTAACATGTTAAACATTATTAGGTAAGTTAAAGGTAAGCTAAATAACTTAAAAGTGAACTTTTGAGTCCCAAATGATTTTTGATATTTATGGTCCCCTGTCAGCGATCAATAACCGAGTGATGGTCCCCACATTTCAACAAATTCCAGTATACTATTATAAAAGTGTGTGTGAGTCCCATATGAGTGTGGCATCAGAGGAAAAAGGTGGCCATGGGGATATGATAAACTGCGGTTCACATTTGGAGGCAACACACTGCATCAAAGAACACAAGGATCATCTTAAATGGCACCAAGTGACCAAATAACATCTTATTTTACTTTGAACATAAAGGAAAAGCAAACAAAAGCTCATTCTGAGACAAAAACTAGACTTAAAGTGAGATTGCGCCTTAAGCACACATGTCCTTATTCAGTCCTAACAATGTCAGGGAGCTGGGAAAGTCCCAATGATGTAAGTAAGAGGAGAAAAAAGCCACCCCCCACACACAGGACTGCTCTCAGTTAGCCCTGTCTGTGGATGTAGACCAGATGAGTTCCTGTTTATAGTGCACTCCCACCGGTCCTGGCCTCAGGGTTAAGCTCTACAGCCACTACTAACATTCAAATATAGCAAGAATCACAAATACTGTACCGTACACAGTAATACTCAGTCTTCTCTTGAAATGCATTAAAAATCACTTCTGCAGGTTCTTTTTCTTTGCTTGATCTTCATTTTTCACTGATTTCTTCCTTGTTTGTGTACATATTTTCACTAAGATTAGACCTATGTGAGGTAAAATAAACAGCAGTCTCTGAGTATATACAGTACAAGAAGCCAACCCTCTCACATGTCTGCAGCCAAATGTGTCTGCAGGCTAAGCAGGGATCACTTTCTCCAAATGACCAGCGGGTGGCAGTCTTTAGAGGATTCAGACAGACTGTGTCCATTACTGCATACATGATCATAGTTTCTGATGCTATCAAATCAATAATTTATCCACTGGTTACTACATGAATGATAAAAACACACTGAAAGTAACAATATTGGCCCTCAAACTAACAAGCTGTGACTGATATTGTCCTCTTCACTGACGGGCACAGTCACAGTGTAGTGAAGAAAACAACAGGATGAAAAAGTCAGAGTTGGCACCAACAGAACACACATTCGTAGATCAGAATGAGCCCCGATCGTGAGCATCAGACCGTCAGTCGAGCCAACTTCCTTGAGTTTCACCTTCTAGTGCAGGGCTGCAAAAAAAAAATCCTCTCCGAAAATCGGCTTCATTTTCACTCCTTATCCTCGGCTCTCCAGCACAAAAGCAAACATCTACTGAAATACCTCTACAGAGTCCTTGAAAGATAAAAGTGCAATTGTTAAGATAAATAAATCTGCATTAATCAAAAAGTTAATCATCTTATCTGCAGACAGAGAGAGAGAGAGCTTGATTTTGAAGAGTAAAAGTCAGGAGAAAAAGAGGAGGACATGGAGGCGAGGGGGGAGATGGGCGGCTGTCATCCGTACAGACCATCCCCGAGGGTTTCTGAGCTCAGGTCAGTGTTTCAGAGCTGGTCTAGTCTTCAATACAGATGACATCACTGGGTTTCCCTGCCTTGAGATCAGGAGTAGCCACGTCTCTCAAGGAGTCGAGTGACTTCTTGTCCAGATGGCTTGTAGGAGGTGGAGGACCATTAGAGGACACTATGAAGGAACAAGATGACATAATGAAGGGATAAGTTACAGAAAAATATGTTTTACTTTTCTCAGCATTTTACAGAAATAATGATGAAAGTTAAGATGTTGATTCAGCAGTTTTCGAGTCGAGAAATGCAGAACTAAAAACCCTCAGCGTGAGTAAACACCCAAGCCTGCTTTATACCTCTGCATTGACCCCACATGAGCACTACATACTTGTTGTGCATTGGAGAATCTGTGTTGCTTGCTATTATTGTTGGCAGTGCGATTTCTGTGCTAGTCATGCCAGCTGTTTCACCTCACGTAACATCCTCAGCTTGTTTGTTCACAGGAGCACCACCAGCTAATTCAACATTTTAGCAGACTCTTAAAAAGTCTGTTAAAGTCTGAGTTTTAAATCCATGGCCCTTAACTGTCCTAAAAAGTCTCATTTCAACTCTTAAGAGGCTCTAAATATCATATTTGATCACATTTTCTTTCTCTGTAACTTGTTTATATGTTGAAATGTTTAACCAAAGGGAATGATTGTCAGGAGCTAACAACAACTTAAAGGTGAATTGCAAGTGTGTTAAAAAGCTTTGAAACACAATATAAGGTTTATTTATACTAATAGTTTAAATATGATTTATTTGTGTAAATGACAGTGTTCTGCAAAAATGTTATTAATATTTCATTGCTTGGGTCCCAAAAGTCTTAAAATTAATTTCAGTGTGTCCTGTAGGAACCCCTGTAGTAGCTGAGCATAGAGGAGATGGTACGAACGGCTGAACAACAATCTTTATCAAGATTATCAAGGTGATTGGTGCTGACAGAAAATGTATGTGATAGAAAGTTGTAAAACATTTGCCTCCTCAAAAAGCTTCACTGATGTTTCTCTGTGCATCAAACCCGCCTGTTTTCTATCCTGATTGTTATATTTTCCTCTTATGAACGCTGATCCTCACCGCTGACATAAGGGCCCAGAGGCATCTGGCTGTAGTTGACCATCGGTTGTCCACCTGGTCCTCTAAATCCTCCTCCAAAGCTGCTGCTGTACATCTGAGAGCAGCCGAACCCGCCCTGGCTGAAAGGCTGAGAAAAAAAAAACTGAGGAGAGATTAGTGACAGTGCAGCATTTACACCTTTGTACGGCTCTCTTACGGGATAAAAGCACATTAAATACAGCGGGCTCTAAATCTCTGATACATTTAAGAGGGTCTGAGCTCTCTGAGGAGAGTTTTCTTCCTGTGGTTGAAAAGTAAGCAAATAAAAGAAACAAAGGTTTGCAAGTCAGATTGCAGACTGTTTCCCTGGTTACGGTTAAGAGTTGGCATGGCAACCAAATACGGCACAGTCAGAGCACATGAGCAATCTCACTGCTTAGCTGAAATAATCTCTTGTATAACCGGGAATTAAAGGCACACAGTGAGCTCTGGTGAACAGGTTTCGGAAGATGATGAAAGTAATGAGACAATACAGCCTTTGTGAAATCCCTGGAGACCAAAGTGTGCAGAAAAAGTGGAGACAGTAAACGACGTACAGGCGATTCTTTTTATTTTATTTTATAAACTTGGGGAAACCCGTCCACGGGGGATTTGGGAGTCTGAGTCTCCACAGGTTTTGAGGGAGTAATGTGATGCTGAGTCGTGACTATAGAGCGATGCAAAGGTTTTTCGGCCAGTGCTTTTTATTTCTAAGACTTACTCAGGCCTGCAGCACCTTTTACTGGGCCTTGTTGCCTCCCCATTATGGGCAACCAGCCCCAACTGCGGTTTACAACAAGCCAAGCCCAAGCCGTCAAAGAAAGCCCAATAACTCCGAGCAAACCCGAGTTTATGTGACTTCAATTCACAGCAAAATAACACAGATGAGTGGCTTATAATTTCACTCCCATTTATTCCTTGTTTAGAGGGAACCAGCCCTTGCCCCTCCTCACCTGCTGTGGCGGGGGCTCGCTCCCACGACTGGTGAGGCGGCTCAGGATGCTCCGCTCAGACATCTGTAGGCGGGCCGATACTGGAGGGATCCTAGAGAGCATGTTGGGCAGACGGGTCACATCGGCTTTCATGTCGCTCAGGAGTTCCTCCAGCTGGTTCAGAACTGTAAGAGAAATCACAGCCTCACTCTGAGTGTAAGTGTTACCACTTATTTAATAAATGCACATGCAGTATCAGAATAAAAATGCATGTCATCTTTTAAAATAGATGGGGTTAACATCCTGCTACTAAAAATAGCAGATTAATTTTCCATTCCCAGCCTCGAAATTAAACATGACCAATAATTATGGTCATAAAAATTAACTGACTGAAGAAACTGTTCAGGGTCACAAACACCGTTTAACAGCCAAGTTTTGAACAGTTGTGGATTTTGGCCTCTTTCCAAACTCTCATCCTGCAGATTTACTTTACAGTGAGTACAGTCAGTATCACAAAGACGCCTATGTGCCAAAATTTCTTTGTTGGATCCCAGAGAAGTGGTGTGGAAACTGTTATGAGCACTTTATTATATTTATGTATAATAAATATAATTGAATTCAGAGGAGACTGTTAAAATTGTCATTTTCCTTCTTTTTTTTCCAAAATAATTAAAATTTGATCTTTTTAGGATTATTTACAGAGGTTTCAAAGCAAAACTGCATAACTACCAACCTTCATAAATGTCACATACACAGTATCCCAATCTTGTTCACTTTAGCAGTTTTTCCCTTTAACACTCATCAGGGTTATTATTCTGTGTTTACCGGCCTCTGACATTAACACTGCTGCTATATTTGAAACTGCAGACCTTTGTGCAGCACAGCGTTGGCAGGCTTGTTCCCAGCCAGAGACTCTTTGGACAGGTGCTGGTGGGACTCAGCCAGACATTCCACCTCAGTGAAGCGAGTGTTGAGAGCCATGGCCGGGTGACTCGGGTCCTGGGTCATGTTCAGGTACGCTGCTCTCCTCAGCTGCTCCTCGATCACCAGAGCCTGCTCCAACAACTACAGAGAGGGACAGGATGAAAAAGCACGAAAACAAAGATGTGACGGCAGATATACCTTAGAAACAGATTCAGAGGTACTCAAGTCTTTACAAGTTAGGCCGTAATGAGTTTATCTAGTCTTTGAAAGAGTTCCAGACTCAGTTTAAAAGCCCAGAAAATCTGATATGTTTATGTTCAGAGATTACACAGAAAAACTGCAGCTTTCAAAACTTAACAAACATCAAACTTCAATCTGTTGGCTGGATATTTGGCTAAATGTTACGATTTTAACACACAAATACAACAGAAAAATCTGCCTCTTCAAACACAGATGGTTTTGTGATGATCCTTTAAAATAAAAGGACAAGGATGAAGATAGCCTCTTTAGTTCGAACCATGTGCCATCTGTTTACATGGAGAACCTCTACTGCAGCCAGTCACTAGGAGAAAATCAAGTGGTTTAGGCCTTATTTTTTGGGGGATCTCATGTTGTCCACCTTGAATACCTGTTCATTTCTACACAGATTTAGGGTTACCTTAAAGCGACGAGCCAGAAACTTGTTCTTCATCTCCAGGTAGTTTCCTTTGTGCATCTCCGTCTTGAAGGGCTCATTGAGAATAGCATAACGAGGGTCATTCTGTATGTCCTGCCAGCGAGCGTAGCCGTGTCTGTGATCGATTCACGGTCAGGGGAAAAACAAACAGCAGCACAGAGCCTCATAATATCCTTCAAACAGAGCAGGAAGGCAGCAACACTTTTCTATCTCTGCTTACAGTTAGTAAATATCAGCCCTTCAACTGCAGCCCCCTCAGGTCAGAAGTAATTACATTACTTTTCCAGATGCTGAGCTCACACATCGGGGGAAGGATACGTTACGATGCCAGCCAACAGCCAGTAGTCATGGCGGCGGTGCCAGATGTCATGCATCTTTCCAGATGACAGTGCCGCTCGCTCCTCAGTTTGCCAGAGGGTGTGTAGCTCTGAGAGGGAAGACAGTTTTTAAAGAAGATAAAGTCATACTCGAGATGTTTCCAACTTTCCAACTGAGAGGTGAGAGCCCATTAACAGCAGAGTTATTTCAGGACAAAACAAAAGCAGTTTCATAGCGGCATCTTCAGTTCATAACCTGCACGGAGACACTGATGCACACAGTTTCTGAAGGGGGGTGGGGGTGGGGGTGCATATGCGAGTCTGTTCCACAGGGCTCTCCTGAATCGATAAATGTGGAAAATAGGACTCTGGAGTTTAGAGCTGAATTGTCCTCAGATCACTCCTATGACAGTCCAAGGGGAAATCTGGTCTCTGTCTTTATCCAGTACCAGTGTTTGGTACTGGACAAGACACACTATTTCCTCAACCTTCCTCACACACTTATGGATCTGCTGTGTTTAACACTAACTTCCTTAATCTTTGAGATACAGATGATATTGTCACAGTGATTAAAATCAACAGGATTCATACAAAGTGAAGAAAAGCTGTCCAAAGATATCATTTTAGACATTCAAAATATAAACAGGCAACACTGGAGTAGATAAGAAAAGAATAAAATGTAATAGAGCTAAATGTGATCAAATCAATGGTAAAGAACAGAAAATAGTTCAAATGGAGTAAAACAGGGGAGAAAAGAACTGAAGTAGGAAGCAATAAAAAATACAACAGAATAAACTGGATCAGCAAAAGAACAGAGTAGAACAGAAAAAATAGATCAGTATGAATTTTTAAAAGAACAGCTTAAGACTTTTAAACCTGAACAGAATTAAACTCTATCAAACACAGCTGGCTTTTACAGACATGAAATGAGTTTTGTCCTTGATATGAAAAAGTAAAATCAAGTCAATCAAACACATTTTTCTGGATGTGAGACTGCTCCACCATAACCCACCCTTTAAAAACACAAAGTTTGTTCATTATTTAGAACAGACACGATATATCTAATGAAAAGAGGTCAGCAGGTTTTTAGGTGATCGTGTAAAGTGCTGTGTGCCAACTTCAAGTGTTCTTCCTAATATAAGTATGTTATGGCATCTTGGACAAACTTTTTATAAACATTTGTTGAGCAAAGGGGAAACTGCACCTTTGTTTAGATAAAGAAAACTTTAAGTTGTAGATTAATGTAAAGCTTTGGTCATCTAAAATGTACTCACTCATGGATTTGATAAAGTCACGTCTTACCTGTAAAGCCTCCATCAGCGATATTAAACATGAACTTGGTTTTGTATCCATTTTTGTCCTCCTTCCTGTTCTCATCCATCTCATCCAGCGTGTCTTTGTCTCCGTTCAGCCGACCCTCCAACGTGTCTTCACTCTTCAAGTTGTCTGCAACAGCATTGACGAAAATGTTCTCTTTGCTTCGTGTTGTGACAAAGATGACAATTATCAAAGTTCTTCTTCATGTTTATGGATTCACAGCTTGTTTACCTGGCTTGTTTTCCTTCTCCTCGGTTTTTGTTGGGGGTGAATCGGTTTCTGTTTTGTCTGATGGCTTTTCTGTTTCCTTGCAGGTCTCTGCTGCTCATAAAAACAGAGGTCGTTAAACTTTGTCCAACAAACTCTGCAGAAAATTGAAGTCTGCATGCAGCACTCACCTTTTGGAGAGGTCTGGCTGGGCAGTGGCTCCGTCTGTTTTGAGGCGGACTCTTTCGGGTTAGCAGATGGCTCTGTCTTTGTGTTGGGCGACTCGGTTCTGTCCCTCTCGTCTCCTGTTTTCTCCTCAGAGCTGGCCTTGCTCTCCTCACTGTCAGCTGCCTTCTCGGATGCAGGTGCTGCCTCTGAGCTAGACGTCTGCAGAGGAGTAAAAAAAACGACAAGGCAGCGGGAGGAGGAGAGAGAAAGTTTGCAGAGGGCAGACAGGTAAGTGAAAAGGTGTCTGACTTTGACAGAAGGATCGTCTGGGGATGATAAGTGGTTCAAGTGTCATGAACCAGGAGAAGATGGACAAGAAAATAAAGGAGAATAAAACGAAAGTGATGGATAGTGGAAGAAAAAGGGGACTCACTTCTTGCTCTGACAGTTTCTTGCCATCTTGCTCTGTGGTCTCCTTGTCCTCAGCAGCGCCCAGCAGCGACTCTGTCTTCTCTACGATCCAGAACACACCAACAACAACACAAACTTTAGGAAAAACTTGGTCCAAGCACTATGTTGTTTTAGAGGTTGGAGAATCAGTGCAGAGTCTTTGTTCTGACCTGGAGGGACAGGGGTGCCAGGCTGTGTGGCGATGGGGCTGGCCGGCACAGGAGTGTTTGGATCAGAGGAAACACTCTCAGTCAGCTTCTTCAGCTCCATGCCGATGGGAATCAGATCAGGAGAGCTCAGTTTCCCATTTACATGCTCGAACTCCTGCACCTGCGAAAAAGAGCAGAATAAGAACTCTTAAAAATGCAAGTGATCAGGTTTAAATTAGATAAAAATGGACTCTTTCACAGCCTCTGTTTTTGGTGGGTTAGTTATGGAGACGATGTAAGAGAGAAGTATAGGAAAGCAAAGAAACCATGACATCCAATTACAATGAAAGATAGAGGACCCACCTGACAACAGGTCTAAATTTGTTAATAAACAATCTGTACAGATTGAATTAGCTGTTACCAAAAACTTTGAAAGAAATACTGATGAATTTGTTGTTTTTTAAGTTTGGCACGTGTCCCATCTGTTTACATGGAGAAGGCTGGCTTCGGGGCCTACACTGCAGCCAGTTGAAATGGTTTTATAACGCACAGGAACCATATACAGTATTTCAACATGTACTTTCTGCACTTTCGTGCACTTTTATGCATAACGACAGTGTTTTCAATCTAATTAAGAAGCCCAAACAGGGGTGAGAGGATGATTATCTATATATTTGAATGAAAATGATAAAAGCTGAGGTATAAAACTCATATAACTGATCTATACGGTGACTCCTTGCAAAGGTGGCACAATAAGAAGCAGACAGTTAAAGGTCAACTCAGGGGTTTACATGGAAAGCAAATCTGAAAAAACCTTAACAGGCAGTTAGTATAATATTTAAAACAGAAAGCGTAACTTTTCCCTCCGCCTGAGCTGATCGACCTACTTCTCTAATCTCACCGTGCTTCAGCAGAAAACTTTAAAACTCTCTTCAGTTCAGTACCTTCTTCCTGACGAGGGACATGACTCCGATCCTGGTGAGAACGTGCTGCCGAGACAGACCTTCACGGGGGACGCCGTCTGCAAAGGTTTCTGCTCCGTCTGCCCCCGGCTCGCACAGGTGTCTCATGAACAGAGACACGTAGGCCCTGAAGACGGAGAGCGTTGAAGAGAACATGCAACACAGTGGGAGTCCTTTGAGATTAAATGCAGTAAAAGCAGATTTCAAGAACTAGACTTTTAACAGCACCAAGAGAAGAGGCAACTGAGCTTTTTTTGTAGATTTAGAAAGAGTATGAAGCACATTTACACCTCACTCTATTGAAGAAAAACGGACACAAACATAGGGTTTTTTAGCAGACAAGCAACTCTGCACACAATTAGGAAGTTATGTTGAAAAATAGCAGCAAATACTTTGGGAAGATAGTGTCAATAAAATATAAAAAGGTGTAAAAGATGTACAAGCCAAATTAGCAGCGTTCTGATGGTCATGAACAGTGTTTGTATTTCCAGCTCACTGACAGTCATAATTTTAAGAGTAATTATAATTGAATGCGCGGACTACCAAATAGAGGGCGCAGCTTGTTGAATCCCAAACACTTGCTAATAGGATATTTTGTTCCAGTGTTTTTCTAAACCAAACTGACCCTGAAATTGACCAGCCTTTGAGTGTTTCTGCTTCTCGCCCCGGGCTAACAAATTAAATATGAGGAGTGAATAAAATGGCCCACAGCTAGCTCTTAACATGATCACAGGCAGCCCTGAACTAAAACACTGCACGGTGGGAGGAGAGTATTACGGCTGAATTAAAAATCAGAGAGTCAGGGCACAAAGGTGTTTGGACATTACCTGAATTCGCGCTCGCTCTTCCCTCTCAGGTCTCTGACCAGCCAGTGCGAGTTGAAGGCATCCTGAGGGGGCATCCCCCAGCGCATGATGGCGTTGAGGAAGGCTTTCCTCTGCCGGGCGTTGAACCCCAGCACCTTGTGAAAAAAAGAAGAGAGAGAGAATATAAGAGAAGAAACAGCACAGTGAGGTCTGTTAGCTTCATCAAGAGGGTGATGTTTTATGCAGTTAGATGCAAGTATCAATTAATCAATCAATCAGTCTTTATTTATATAGCACTTTTCATACAAAAAAGATGTAACACAAAGTGCTTTGCATAGCAGAGAAATATAAGAAACAAAGAAAACCTTAATCTACCCCAACCCAACTCCTCATTCCCACCCCGCAATCTAAGTTCAATAGAAACGTGTATTTAAATGCATGAACTTAAAAAGGGCTCGATTCATATAAACAGGAATGTGCGCACTGAGAAAACGCTGTGATTAATGGAACATTTTAAAACTCAAGGTAAGGAAACACTGGAGGTTTGAAGTAAAAAAAAAAGATAACATGAAATGAAATATAAGAAATAATAGATAAAATGAAATAAAACCAACAGTAAAAGATACTAAAATCAGAGCACCAAAATAGCTAAATAAAAGACGATCCTGTGATTAAAACTAGAATATATAAATGCTAAAACACTTAAAGTTAATTATATAAAAGTAAGACATAAAATTTAGTGAAAAGCAAGACTAAAACTGTATGTTTTCAGTTTGCTTTTAAAGTCATTAAGATTAGGTGCAGTCCTCAGGTCTTCAGGTAAGCTGTTCCATTGATGGGGGCCATAGTAATAAAAAGATGCCTCACCGTATGTCTTGGTTTTAACTTTCGGTATTGTTAACAGAAAACTTCCTGAAGACCTGAGGGCTCTACCTGGCTCATAAGGTAAAAGCAGATCAGATAAATAAGATGGTCCAAAGCCAATAACAGCTTTAAAAACCAATAAAGCAACCTTAAAATCTATTCTAAAAGAGATGGGTAGCCAGTGCAGAGACCTTGAAATCGGTGTAATGTGATCTCTCTTTCTGGTCCTTGTTAACATCTGTGCAGCTGAATTTTGTAGTAATTGCAGCTGTGAAGACAATAGTCTATTCTACAAGTGATAAGAGCATGAATTAATATCTCTGCATTGGCTTGAGAGAGAAATGGTTGCACTCGGGCTATGTTTTTTAAATGATAAAATGCCTTCTTGGTGATATCTATATGTGTGGTTCAAAACTCAGTTCTGAATCAAATAAAACACCTACACTACAGGCCAAAAGTTTGGAATCAAGATCAGATTTGTACAAAAAAAAGATCATAGTTTCATTAATATAATTTGCAACACAATAAACATAACTATTGTGTACAGAGTAACTTATCAGAAGACATTTTGACTATAATTATTAGGTATTTGACTTATTGTTGTTTGGACTTTGCTTTCTTTAAAGTAACCTCCTCTGGCTTTAACAACAGCTTGGCATATACCAGGCATTCGTTCCACAAGTTTTCTAAGGTATGTTCCAGGGATTGCATTCCAAGCTTTCTTAAGTTCATTAAAAAGAGACTGCTGATTTGTGGGACGCGCCTTTCTGATCGATCCATCCAATTCATCCCGCACAAGCTCAACTGGAGAAAGGTCTGGAGACTGAGGGGGACAAACCATCTTTTGAAGAACATCTTCCTCTTCCTTTTTGTCTAGGTAACCCTGACAGAGCTTGGCAGAGTGCTTAGGGTCATTGTCTTGCTGCAAAACAAACTTATGAGCCACAGGTCTGAGTCCAGATGGAACAGCATGGTGCTGGAGGATGGAGTGGTACTGTTCCTTCTTCATGATACCCTTTACTTCAAACAAATCTCCTACTCCATCACTTGCAAAACATCCCCATACCATGGAACTACCACCTCCTTGCTGAATTGTGGGTGTAACACGTGGTGCTTTCAGACGTTCACCAGTTTGTCTGCAGAAATAGACTCTGCATTTTGAACCAAACAGTTCAAACTTGCTTTCCTTGGTCCAGAGAACTTGTTTTCTAGTCATCATATGTCCAATTTTTGAGAGCTTTTGCCCACTCATATCTCTTTTTCTTGTTCTGTGGATGAAGTAGTGTTTTTTTTGCAGATATACAACCCTTCAGACCAGCCTTTCTCAAACATCTTTTCACAGTTGTCAGAGATATGGGTTTCGACCTTGTCATGTTGATTTCCTCCCTTATTTTTGGTGCTGTCTTTCTCTTACTGGTGACAATAATATGTTTATCCTCTGCTTTTGTAGTAACTCTCTTTCGTCTAGGCCTTTTTCTATCATCATAACTTCCAGGTTCCTCTAGTCTCTTCAGAGTGTAGTGGACTCCTTTGTTAAACACCTTTAGGCGTTTTGCAATTTTCTCTTTCTGTGTATCCTTCTTTCCTCAATGTACAAATCTGTACTGTTGTTCCTGCACTCAGTTGCTTCTTTCTAGCCATTTCTGCGGTATTTTGAATGCATTTGAGATTTATTAGGATTTTTGTATGCAGACTCTCAAAAGCCAAAAAGTTGAAGTGAATAATCCAACTGTGATTTGTTTTTTTTGCTTTTGCACTTAAGTTGTGACTCTTGCAAATGCTTTCGACCCTGCAACTAAGCCCTTATTATCCTTTGCTGACATATATCTAGCAATGGTCTGTTAACATCAATGTATATCTAAAGGTAAATGGAGTAAAATGGTGCATTTCTATGAAAGCAACATCTGATCATGGAGTAAATACATCCCAAAATACATAAAACTCATGCTGGATTTAAAAAAAAGCATTGTGAACAAAAACTTGAAGTTACTCCCAACTGTTCGGCCTGTAATGGTCTTGCTTCCAAACTTTTGGCCTGTAGTGTACAGTTTTGGCTTGTTGACTTGGATTATAGGATAATGCTTTGAGTTTGCCGACCAGTTTTTCTCTCTTGTCCCCTGTCCCAATGACTAAAACCTGAGTTTTGTCCTGGTTGAGCTGTAAAAAGTTCTCTGCCATCCATGATTCAATGTCTAAAATGCAGTTGAAAAGGGCATTGAGTGGCCCTGTGTCATCAGGAGACACGGCAATATACAGTTGTGTGTCGTCAGCATATCAGTAGGAAATTGATGCCATGTCTCCTGATGACATTCCCTAAAGGTAACATACAAAGATTGAAAAGAGCAGGGCCTAAAATGGAACCTTGGGGAACACCATACTTCATGTCAAAACATTAAGATGAGTGATCCCCAAGGTTCACGTAAAATTGTCTATCACGAAGATAGGATTTAAACCAGTTAAAAACAGTGCCAGAGATGCCAATAAAATTATAGAGTCTATCTAAAAGTATTTTGTTGTCGACTGTATCAAAAGCTGCACTCAGGTCCAATAAAATCAAAACAGATGGTAGCTTCTTATCCATGTTGGACCTGAGGTCATTTACAATTTTAATTAGAGCAGTCTCTGTACCAGTGGCGATTGCTCTAAGACTGCAAGGGAAGCTCGGCTTCCCTTAAAATGTCACCCCCCCAAAAAAAGAAAAAGTGGTGAAATACGTACTACTGTGTGTACATTTCATTAACTAAATACGCGCTGGAAAGCCTTCATCTTTTGTTCAGACACTGTGATAAGAAGCTGATAATCACAGGTAACCAGCATAACTTCGTTCTCATTCATCCTCGCAGCGCCTCAGTGCTTCACACAGCCGGACGCTGGGCTTCTGCTGACTTCAATGTGGAAGCTCAAAGTGGGTTGTTCCAGCAGCGAAACTAGACGCTCATTGGATAAATGCTGGGCTTTGTCCCGCCCATCGGAAGCTCAGCTTCACTGGAGTTCTATGGCGAGAGGGCGGTCCCGACTGAGGCGAAATCCTTTTTTGATTGACAGCTAAACAAGCGAATCAGCGATCTTGAAGAATAAAACATCTACCAGAGCATTTTCCAAGTTATTCATTCCGTTGTTCTTAACTGCTCCGGAGTCTTTACCGATCCTCAGCGACTTTTGTCTTTGTTAAAAACGACTGCCGTTGTGTTTGGCGACTCTGTTCTGTTACATACTAATAAACAAACACAATTATGATGTAGGCCAGAAAAATGAGCTTCCCCTCCTTGAAAGACCAGCAGCCGCCACTGCTCTGTACTGTGATTTTTCCTAAAACCAGGTTGATAAATTTCATAAATATTTTTGTGATTGATAAAATCCTTTAACTGGTTTAAAACTATCTTTTCTAAAATTGTACTTAAAAATAGCAAACTGGATACAGGTCTGTAGTTGTCAGGTAGTGATGAATCCAAATTGCTTCTCTTCAGAATAGGTTTAATAGTAGATGTTTTAAAGCAGAGGGGAATACACCTGTCTGGAGAGAGTAATTTAAAATGGTAAGAAAAATCATGCTTGAAAAAGTCATATAAGTTTTTAAAAAGGGATGATGGGATAGGGTCTAAAAGACAGGTGGTTGGTTTGAGTCGTTTAAAAGCTTTTTCAAGCATCTCAGCATTGACCAGGACAGTAAGTCTTAATCTGTAGTTTTACTCTAGTTTTGATCATAACTAAAGAGACCACTGTGTTTGATTCTCATGTTGAGTTTGCCTCCTCTGCATCTGAAACCCATTCCTGTTAAGCGACCTTAAACTTAACTTTAGTCTGTCACAGTTTCAGTTAAATTAATTTAAGTTTATTAGCAAAGGCAGAACCCATTATTAAGTTGTTGGATAGGAGGATTTTTCTGATTTTCTCATCCACAGTCATAATAATATTCAAAGATTCAGAGTGTCTGGAGAAATCTCTGTGTAAAAGGGACAAGACCAAAGACCGATACTAGACGGCTGTGCTCTATAAGCTCTCAGGCAGCTCTTCTTTACAAAACAAACGTGTCTCTGTAGTGGAAATTCCTCAAGTCACACCCAAAGCCATTATCGTCATACTCATATTTGCATAAAAACATCAACATTTGTCAGTTTCAGCGTTTCATGTTTTTTTTTTTTAACTTAAAAATAGGGTTTGAATTGTTTGCAAATAATCAAATGCTATTTTTATCGACCTTTTCTGGAGCCCCCCCCCCACTGTTGAAAACATGTAATCTTTACCTCAATACTGCCTCCAACTCGTGCCAGCAGAGGCGGCAGAGGTTTGTCTTTCTCCCCCTTTAGCTGCCGACGTGACTGTCTGCGTCCACCTTCAAGAAAGAGGAAGACAGGCACAATTACATCCCTGATATTAATCAAGAGTAATTACTGTGAAAGATTACCTCTGCTCAGAGGATGTATTTGGATAAAAGTTTAATGATCGTGGTTGAAGTTTTTCCCTCCTTACCTTCAGGTCTCTCCTCGAAGTCTTCGTCCTCGTCCTCGGACCCCACTGAATACTCCGACTGATTGTCTGAAAGATCATCCTGCCATTCTGAGCCACACATCAGAGAGAAACAGTACATTGCATTCTGTTGGTGGCCACCAGAGGGCGCCATGGCACTGCAGATTACTACAGACCACTACTGCTGGGCATGCACTACTTCAGACTGTTCCCTCTGCTGTAAGCGAGGTGAGAGTGAAATCACTTTAAACTTGGAGAGTACTCTGTGCGGTGATGAGCTCTGAAGTCTTTACCCTCAGAGTCAAAAACTGTTGAACTGGAGCGGTCAGGACCTGGAGCCACACTTTAAAGTGAAACTACAGGATATATGTGACTCTAGTAGACATGGAAACTCTGACTGTTTGACAGAAGTGCTTTAAAACCCACTGTGAAGACTGAGTGAATGCAAGAGGTACACGAGAGGTTTACACAGTATAACACACTCTATGGCAGATTTAACAGAGGTCGACAGCATTTGTTACAACCTGCTGTCTGAGAGGCTAGAAAAACAAGGTGATCAATGTCTGTGACGAGTCTTTGCAAGAACTGATGCTCTGATAAAGAGGCTGCAGAAAGATCCAGCTGTAGCTGTAGCGGCTCTGCCCTGTGATTAAAGGAGCTGATTGTGTTTTAACTTACAGTTTATCTCACTGTTTATGATAATACAAGAGCTGCTGACCAAAGGGGTGCACTACAAAGTAAGGTTTTTTTTAAAAAGGGGTTGATTTCATGTCCTCCTCTTTGAACAAACGGGAGGAAAATAAAATAAATCAATAGTCATATTTTAAGACTGCTTCTGAAGTTCTGCTGTTGTTTCTAATGAGGCGACTTGACATTTTACAACCTTCACACTTTGATTTCATAACAAAGACGGTGCCCTACAATAAAGTATCGGTCAAAACTACAGGTTTACAAACTCAGCATAATATTATTTTATAATCTACTTTAACAGCATGCTCAAAAGAAACAATTACACTGATCCAATCACAGCCCTTTATTTAAAAATGGGCAGGATCTATGAGATGATGACACATGAGCCACAGTCGCCTAGCGGTCTAAGCCCCACATATACAGAGGCTCCGGTTCTTGATGTTGCAGTTACTGGTTTGATTTCCCACCATGACCCTATGTAGCATGTCTTCCCCTACGCTACATTTCCTGTCTCTCTTTGACAGTCCACTAAAACAGCAAAATGTCCCAAAAACTTCACAATGCAGCACTTGATTTCATTTATGAAAATTGTGACTAAGAAAAGACAATGAAAAACCATAGACTATATATAGAATGGACAGCGTCTGCCTCCTCGCTTGGTGAAGCCACTCCGAGAACAGCACCCTCTGTTGATGGGCTGCAGTATAGGTCATAAATCCCCTCTCCGCCAGCAAAGCTTATGGAGTTGTGGAAAAAATTTATTACACAGAACATCAATTTTTCTCCCCCTGCTTGGGGTGTTGACATGTAGTTACTGTAAGTGTTTGTGCTCAAGTCCTCTTTTTCCTGTGAAGCTCTGTTTTAAAAGTTATTAGAGGATTCATGTTTTCTATGATTGACACCTGATACAGCCTATTGGCGTTCAGGGATTACGTAGCTCACCCGACTCTCCCGCCGTATGCGTACAATGCTACTGCGCAATGCTGGTTTCAGGAAATGAAGAAAAATCGCAGAATTACAGAGAGCTTTTTGGCTTCAAATCCGTACACTGGTGGGAGGTGGAACCAAGTTGTCCATAGTATATACAGTCTATGTGAAAAACTAAAATGCATCATTGCTGGAGAAAACTCTGACAAATATGGGTTTTGTTTTCATCAACAAGACAAAACTGTTTAACGTGACTGTAAGACGATAAAAATGTATCAAATTTTCCCACTGTGCATCTAATATATCACTTAAAATACAAGCAAAGCATCCATGTAACAGACTAAATTAGTCAAGGGACCCAGAGTTCATTGTTTCAGATTTTAAGATATTAGGGGCTGAGGGTAACATGCTAGGTTACTCTAATTTGGTTGTAGGTCTACACGATTGCTTACAGAGGCATTGGTTTTGGTAGATCAGAAGATAGTCACCGTCATGTTTCGTGGTTACTATCTCTTTGTAGTACACCCCCTGCGTTTAAAGCAGCAGATATTGTGTTATAATGGTCTGTACAGTTTGATTATTAACATAATGAAATGCAGTACTATTCAGAAAAAGAAAATGTGATGCCAGTGTGGTAACACACTAAAGCCTTGTTACAAAAGTGCCATCATGAAGAAACTACTCTGAAAAGACTGTGTTACCTTCATGCTACAGTTCTGAAAATTAAGTGTTAATCTTTATCAACCTTTTTACGGTAATAATACCATATAATAACCTTTAACTTAATCAGTTTGTGGGGATTGTCACGCTGACGTGTGTTTTCACAGCAGGTAACAGCTCCAGTCATGCTGCTCTAATCGCAGCGTTAGTATTGACTGCTGCGGTCATGCAAACTGCAGGAAAATCATTAGAAGAGGAAAAGAAACTGATCGGCTCAATAAAACCCCAAAAAGCGACAAATCAGAGGGCGACTTTGAGAGGCAAGTCTTTTTTTCTTCGTGATACGATAATGGCCTGTGAGATACTTCTACCAAAACCAACTGTTAGACCAGAGAACAGAAGGCTCATATGATAAAGATTAAAGGGTAACACTTCAGAGATGAGTGAAAGGAAATAAAAAAGTGTGTGTGTGTGTGTGTGTGTGTGTGTGTGTGTGTGTGTGTGTGTGTGTGTGTGTGTGTGTGTGTGTGTGTGTGTGTGTGCGTGTTGACAAACCCTACCTTGGTCCTCTTGGGTGGTGTCGTTGTAGTTGACCTGCTTCCTGATCCTTTTGCCCTTCCCCAGGTTACGAGCCAGGTCCTCCTGCTGCTGCTCGTAGTGATGACGGAGGAGTTTCTCCCAGTAATCCGGATCCACGTTTTCCTCCTGCTTGATGATTTCGCGCTCTACCTCCTCCTGTACCAGGGCACACACAGAGGTTAATTATTATGTTTTGTTTTGTTTTTTCTTTAGAGCAACGGCTTTACTCTGAGCTCCTCCTGGATGTCCGAGTCTTTCACACTATCTCTAAGGGAGGAAACTCATTCATACCCTCGACTCACAGCTCGTGACCATAGGTGAGGGTAGCAATGTGGATCTACTGGTATATGGAGAGCTTTACCTTTCGGTTTGGCTCACTCTTTACCACAACAGACCTTTGCGGCGTCCACATCATTGCTGACGCCGCACTGATCCACCTGCTCATCCAAACACCTTCATTATGATTTATAACATTAAGTTGTTGGGGTAAGCTGTTTCACAGGTTAGGGGCAACTGCTGCAAAGTTTCAATCTCCCTGATTTTTAGGCAAGACTAGGAGCCACTCAGTGGTTGACCTGATCGTCTAGCTTGAGTATAAAAAATGGGCAAGTTCTGCTAAGTAAGGCAGACCATAGACTGTATATACTGTGGACAACTTGGCAGAGATGGGAATTGTGGAGTCACCAAGTCATCTCTATGCCATGTATTTGTTCTGCTCAGTTACTGAACCAGGTGCCTTTACTAATGAGCTCACCTTCCTGGCTGCTCATTGGAAGCAGCTGATTCAGTGACAGAGCAGAGCAAATACATGGCATGGAGATGACTTGGTGACTCCACAATTCCTATCTCTGCAACTTGGTTCCACCTTCCGCCAGTATATAGATCTGAAGCCAAAGAGCTCTCAATAATCTCGCATTTTTTCTTGACTTCCTGAAACCAACATTGCGCAGTAGCATTGTGCGCATTCTGCGGGAGAGTCGCCGAGAGTCTCTGTGATGACGCTCGACTCAAACAGCATATCTCCCGGTTGAGCTACGCAATCTTTGTACTCCCATAGGCTGTATCAAGTGTCAATCATAGAAAACATGAACCCCCTAATAACTTTTAAAAACAGAGCTGTACAGAAAAAAGAGGACTTGAGCACAAACCAGTCTTACTGTAACTACATGTCAACAACAAGCAGGGGGGAGAAAAATTTATGTTATGTGTAATAAATTTCTAAAGTTTGTCCACAGCCCCATAAGCTTTGCTGGTGGAGGCGGGATTTATGACCTATACTGCAGCCCATCAACAGAGGGTGCTGTTCTCAGAGTGGCTTCACCCAGTGAGGAGGCAGATGGCGTCCACTATACAGTCTATAAGGCAGACGCTATCTACAAGAGTCCTTCAATGAACTGGTCACACTTAAAGGGACTAAATCACATTTCTTTAACAACCCTGTAATCCTCTGTTCAGACTCTTCTTGGAGTTAAGTGCAAAGTGACCAAAGTAAAAATTTGTCAGGACACCATGTTTGATCATAAGCCACCTATAATGTTAGCAAAAGTAGGTTCAGGAAATAAAGGTAAAACAGCTGGACGCCTAAATCTGTCAGAGGCTGTAACATTTGGTCTCATCGACAAATTCTTGACTCACTCTGAGCTACAGGGCTCACCACAGACTAGATAGTTTCATTAGTCTGGATGAGCACAGGTAGGAGATGTTGCTGCACCATGGTTTGATCTACAACATGTCAAAGAGGTCATCATTTTTTAATTTTCTCCCATAAAAACAGATGATTTCTAAGACACATTACCAGGTTTTAATTGGTAACACCCCTGAAATGAATAACAGGAGCTGCTCTTCAGCACCATAATGAGGGAAATGAATTAAACTGTTTTATCTTGTCCTCTGAGGATTATCAAAGATCAAGATAACAACCAATCATCCTGCTGAATCCCATCCTCTCATCATCAGCCTGATAAACGTCTTTGCACTCTCACCTCTCCGTCCTCCTCCTTCACCACGTACTGAGCCACCTTGAAGGAGCTCAGGTACTCGTTCATGTTCTGGATCTCCGTGTCTTCTGTGGCGTCCTGGCTACGGTCCAGCAGCTTGGAAATGGCATCGTCATCATAATGAATCACATTGCCCTCCTCGCCGTCTTTGTTGTCTCCTGTTTGATGAGGAGTGACTTTTAGGACAGCTTTTCAAGTTTGACAGAGAAGGAAAGTTTCCCCTGAGCCTGAAGCTTTGACATTTAAATACTGAGATTAAAAAGCAGCTTTTGAACGATATTAGGGATTCAGGGTCTTTTTGGATCTTTTGCCGGCTCTAAATCGCTCTATCTATCATCACTTTGAGGATTACTTCATGAGTAACTGACTTTTATTAAAGCGAGGGGAATTTTATGGAAGAAAGAGACAGCTTTGTCAAGAAGTAGTTGCTGGTTTTTACCCAAATTTAGCAGAAATCGTCTCCCTGAAGGGCAGACATGAACACAAAAAGGTCCTAAGTAGAGGTCTCTTTCTGAGGTATAAATTAGCAGTCAATTAAGGATAAATAGGAGGGTCTGGGTTATGAGAAACACCTGAAAAATAAGGGATAGCAGAAATAAAACTTGGAATCTTAAGAGGACATACCCATGGTTCGTGCTGCCTCCATTTCATCTTTGAAAAGCTCCTCAGTGCCAAACTTAAGGATATCATCCAGTTCCTGTTTGGACATGGATCCCGTTTTTGAGCCCAAGCCCGGCCGCACAACCAGATGGGTCAGCATCATCTTCCTCTTCGCCACCTGAGTGATTCTCTCCTCTACCGAACCCCGGGTCACGAAACGATAGATCATCACCTTCTTGTTCTGGCCGATGCGGTGGGCTCTGCTGAAAGCCTGTGGAGATGGTGGAAGAGGGAATTGTTACAGAAATAACTGAGAATATGTACAAGTGTCCGTGTGAGGGCTTTTCAAACATCTGTACCTGGATGTCATTGTGAGGATTCCAGTCAGAGTCGTAGATGATCACAGTGTCTGCACTCGCCAGGTTAATGCCGAGGCCTCCAGCTCGTGTTGAGAGCAGGAAGCAGAACTGCTGAGCGCCCGGTGCTGAGACACAACCCAGAGGAGAAATTTTTGGGAAAAGAAGGGAAAGAGCAAAACAAAACTTTATATTAGAAAAGAAGACTTTCAGGAGCAACTTCTGCTCAGAAAAGTCCTCAAACGTCTCAGTGATTCTTGTTGGACTTTTTTAAGGTGTAATACAAGTTTATGTTCAAGCTAAGATGCTCCAGAACTTTCTGCCTCTCTCTGTGAATGTGAAATGCAGCTAAATAAGAGTTAAAAAAGAAAGAGAGAAGGTTGTCTGGAGGGAAACATGCACCCACACGGATAGATTTTGGATTATCAAACTCACCATTGAAGCGGTCAATGGCCTCCTGCCTCAGGCCTCCTGTTATCCCTCCATCAATACGCTCATATTTATAACCCTCGAACTCCAAGAAGTCCTCCAGCAGATCCAACATCTTTGTCATCTTAAAAAAAAAAAAAACAGACACACAGTGAAACAGCATTTATGTAACTCAAACAGAACTAAACGGGAGCCTTCAGAATCAGAAAAGCCTGTACTTTCTCTCAAAATGATTTTTGATTTTATTTGTCTGGAACATTAAAAGATTTAGCACCTACTACTCACATCGATATTGGCATCTCTAAAAATAGACGACTGGGTTTTCAGATTTTCACGGCCAACAATCAATGAGAGCCGTGGCTTGCAGCCCAGACAGACTTCATCCAACTATTACCTGAGAGAAAATGAGAACTCGGTGTCCTTCGTCTTTGAGTTTCTTCAGCATTTTCTGAAGCAGCGTCAGTTTCCCTGAGGACTTCACCAGCAGGTTACCATCATATGAACCGTTGGGTAACACAGGAGCTTCCTGCAGAGACAGACAGCAAACTCAGACATCACATTTAGATACATCATGAGAAAAAGCATTTTAATGCTAAATAAGAGTTTGATTAAAAGGGTGTTGGAAAAGAGTTTTTAAAAGTCCAGCTTTGAGACAATTATAAAAACTTCTAGCTGATATCCTGTAGATATTTTATACCTTACGTTTACATGCAACAACTTAGTAAAAAGAGAGATACAAACATAGATGTTTTTCCTTTGTTATGTATTAAATCTGTCTGTCTTACCACAGCAGCCACAGGGAACAGGTAGGGATGGTTGCAACACTTCTTTAGGTCCATCATGATGTTGAGCAGGGACACTTGGTTTCCTCCGCCTTTGGAGTTCAGGGCCTCGAAATTTCGCGTCAAGATGAACTTATAGTATTTCCTGCAGGTCAAAGATTAAAAGAAGATAAATATATTTTTAATTATGTTTTTTTTAATAAACTTTTAACACACAAGAACACAAAATCATACAGTTAATAATGGGAAATATTTTCATTAGATTGAACAGACACAAAAAAACCCAGAAATGATAACAATAATATATAAATAAAAATAAAATAATAATGATAAACAATAATATATCAAACAGTAATTCATCTGAAAATCGTCACAGTCAGGATTTTTAGTCTAAGTAAGTCTAAGAAGGTGAAAAGTTGTTTTCATTTCACCAAATGTCATTAAAATCTGCTGTCAAAATAAACTTATGAAGGTTTATATAAGAGCGCCTTTTTGAAGGTCCGGAGAACATGACTGCTTTCAGGGTGTCGTTAAAGCTCTGTTGTCATTCATTGCTAAATAAATCTTGAACCCGATGCGTCAAACTACACTCTAAAAAATAAACCATGGCATAGTTTATTTTTAAGTATTTACATCTATTTGACTTTATTTAGATTATTACATTTTTTTAGACTTTATTTATTCAAATTTCTTAAAATCAGCAAAAATCTGTTATTCTGAAAACAATTCAATTTGATCAGTTAAGATGCATCAATATATTCTAAATATTATGAGCTGTGGATCAACCAAGATTCATTTAGTTAAAATTTATGAGACAGAAACAAACTGGAGTTATCAATGATGAATACATACATCTTCATTATTTACTCTAAACACACATGTTTTTTTGGTATTTTTACATAAATCTAATTCTTAATTTATTCATTTACATTTGAATGACAAATATGCAGCACATTAAGTTTATTGGCCTGTATATGTTAAATCTAAGTAATCTCAATGGATGGAAATTTTATATGCAATGAGGTATAAATATTTCTGTGAGTGTATCGTAAGGTTTAAATCTCGTTTTATCCGCCATCTTTACTTATCAAAATCTCCTATACATAACTACAACAGTTCTTCTATGTGTGAGCGTACTTCTGCATGGGGCTGAGCTCCACTCTCACGATGAGCTCTGTCTTTGCAGGCATGTTCTTGAACACATCAGCTTTCAGCCTCCTGAGCATGTGAGGGCCCAGCAGGTCGTGCAGCTTCTTGATCTGGTCCTCCTTTGAGATATCTGCGAACTCCTCCAGGAAGCCTTCCAGGTTACTGTGCAGAAAAAAGAAGAATCGAGTTCAGATACAGAGGCGAAGCAGAGAAGCAACAATTTCTATCTTTGTTTGCGAACTATGTCCGTTTATCATTTTGAGACAGGATGAATTTGATGCTTCTTGCTGGTTTGTGGTGATCAGACTCACTTGAAGCGCTCTGGGGTGAGAAAGTTAAGCAGGTGGAACAGCTCTTCCAGGTTGTTCTGAAGAGGAGTCCCAGTGAGCAGCAGCTTGTAGTAAATCTTGTACCCGTTGAGAATTCTGAAAAACTGGACCGGACATGTAGAACAATTTATAACAGTTGTAGGGCTGAGTTTATACACACACATTTTAGACTTATAAATTCCACCTGTTATTTTGTGCCGCTCGAGTATGTTTGTAAATGCGAAAATGCTGTTTTACCTTTGACTGGTTATTCTTCAGTCTGTGAGCCTCGTCCACCACCAGGCAGGCCCACGTGATGGAGCCCAGAATGGCTTGATCAATCGTGATCAGCTCGTAAGATGTCAGCAGCACATGGAACTTGATAGGAGTGTCTTTCTGTAAGGTGGAGAAGAAAAAAAACACAAGGGTAAAAAAAAAAAAAAAGTGAAGCTGAACAGTTTAGATGTGAGATCATAAGTTGGAGGGAATAGTATGTTGTACTTTGGTGTTTTTTAAATTCAAAACTCAGCTTTCATTGTCAGGAAGGATATCCAACATCAGTGACCTCTTTTCAGCAGCTAAAGGTGCGGAGCATTTTAATGCAAGACCAGTTCCCCCGGAGAGACAATGAAAGCCTTTTCTATCTTAATGTATCATATCATGTCATACCTTGGTGTATCTTATCTCATCACATCGTATCCCATCATACCATGCTGTATCGTAGAGAATCATAGGCTGTGTCCGAAATGAATCACTCAATCCCTAACCCCTAACCCCCATATGGGATTTTACTATTTAGTTGACTATGTAGTGAACTTAATTACCGGAGGTTTCGGACACTACATGGCCTGACGCAATGCATGACGGGATGCCCAACACCAGTGAGTGACCATCAGATGGGCATTAAATTTGGAAAGGCTCTATGGGAAATTTTGAGTTGCCTATATAAGGCACTGGAATTGATCACTGAGATTTCGGACACCCCTCAAACTGGCGCTAAACTGACGATTTCACATCAAATCGTAGCGTATCACACTGTAATGTAGCAGATTATACTGTGCTGTATTATACTGTACCATATTGTATTCTACAGTATCTTACTGTTTCATATCATATAGTAGTACACCGTATCATATTGTATCCTATTGTATTGTATTGTAACATTGTATCCCACCATATTATATCATATTGTATTGCATTATATTCTGTTGTGTTGACATGTAATTACTTCTAAAAATATTTTCATGATTACATCCAAAGTTGTTATTCATTATCTGTTGTCATGTCATGTTGCAGTTGTCATGTCATATCCTACTATGCTGAATAATTTATTTACTCTTATTCTGTACTGTAATGCTCATATCGTATCTCGTCCCATTGCATCAAAACGTACCATTTTTGTTAAGTTTTGTACCATAACCTTTCCTGTCCTGTTGATCAGTGGTGTCACATTGTACCATAATGTATAGATGTATAGTATCACATTGTACCATATATTGTCTTGTATTGTATTATGGCTTTGTATCATCTCTTCCCATCTCGTCTTGTACAGTAGCGTATGTTACCAAACCTTATCAAATCAGTCTCTTCTTGTCTCTAATCAGTTGTACCACATCTTATTTGATAAAACTCTATTGTACAATACCATATTGTATCATATTGTGTCAAATTGTATAGTATCCTAATGTAGCCTATCATTCCATACCCTATTCTGTCATGTTGTACGGTATTATATCATCTCTTGCTGTATTGTATCCTATGGTATGGTTTCATATGGCATTCTTTTCTTTTGTACTGAACCATATTGTATCATATCTCATCATTCACACCTTATCATAATGTATAGTATTAGTTAGCTTGGGTACTGTATGATACAGTATGTACTGTTCAATATACCATCAGGTTATACTGTATCCTTTAATATTGTATTATGTTATATTAAATTGATATAAATAATTAAGAACAGCTTACGAACATGTCGTACCTTCATCCGAAACACCTTGCGTCCAGTTTTCACTGGGCTCTCCTCAAAGGTAAACTCATTCTCCCTGATGATCGCTCGGCTGTCTTTGTCTCCAGTGTACGTCACCACATAGAAATCTGGTGCCCACATCTCAAACTCCCTCTCCCAGTTAATGATAGTGGACAGGGGTGCGCTCACCAGGAAGGGCCCCTTAGAGTGACCCTAAGAGAGTAGGGGGATGAAGTCACTTTATAAATAGTATCTAATGGGACTGCACAGGCATGACGGAGGAGGAAATTTCATAACCCTCACCTCCTTATAGAGCGAGTAGAGGAACACTATGGTCTGCACTGTCTTTCCTAAGCCCATCTCATCAGCCAGGATGGTGTCTGTGCCCTGTGCCCAGGAGAACCTCAACCAGTTCAGGCCCTCCAGCTGGTACGGGTGCAGTGTTCCTCCAGTGGCGTTAATGTACCACGGCTGGTGCTCAAACTTGATGGTTGGCTGTTAATGAGAAATTATAGGACAGATATACAGTATGTATATATACATATATAAATATATATGTATGATATTAACATTTTTGCACTATTTACTCTTTTCTAAACACAAGTAGCATCATAATAAAAGTTTAGCATTTTATGCTGAGTAATGATAATTAATGGCCTCACGGTGACAGAACTGTTTAAAGATGGATGATAACATCAGCACATCATGAGAGCAAAGTGATAAAAGCTGAAAATCCAATATTGAGATTGGCCCTAAATTAACTTCTTAGTGATATAAGGGGCAGTTAAGATGATGCCGATAGGATGAGACATGAAATACTCTGAGAAGAAAACTTGACAAACAATGACATTATTTGGAAATCAGCATTAGAAACCAAACTTAATGAGATGTCAAAATTATTCAGGCCTCCCCTCAAACAGACTTTCAGCAGCAAGCAGCCAATGAAAGCACAGACCTCTACAACCAAAGTGCATCTGACAAACCAAACGTACATCTATGATGGGGGCGTCAGGAGGAACCTCTCTCTTCTGATGGTCCTCCTTCAGTTTCTTTCCTTTCCTCACCACCAGAGGGCGTTGGTCCTCCCCAAGTATCTGCTCTCTATCAAAGAGGAAGAAACATTTTGAGCCAGACATCTCAATCATAGACAGTCATAGGGGGGAGAGCAGTTCAATGAGACAGTGTGCATCCTAGTGATATTTTTTAAACATAAAGATATTCAAAACAAACAAAAAAAAACCATCTAATCTTTAAATAAATTGTTTTTGTCGCAGTAAAAGTGACAGTTGAATATTAGTAAAAACACACCTAATAAGTATAATACATGGAAATAAAATGAATATACATTAAAAATGAGCACAATGCCATCAAAATTTCAAATAAGAAAGTGATGATGATGTGATGTCTGATAATGTTAATGCACTGAATAATTAATATGATCAAGTTAAAAAAACAGAATCTTTAAAATGACGTTAAATCCAGCATTTTAAGAAGACTGAAATATGTTCAGGGTTTGCAATGAAGTAGTGAATTGAGGAGATGACTAACCTGTGGTCCCAGTAAAAAGCTTTCAGACTGTCATACTCCGGGACGTCAAAGTCATCCACTTCCCAGGTGCACTGGTCATATGGCAGGTCTCTCCACTTGATCAGGTAATGCACATCTCCATCTTTATCAAAACTGGTAGGAAGAAGGAAATAGACAAGGAGCACATTCTGTCAAAGGAGCTGCAAACTTAATGACAGTTTGTCAACTCTCCACCTATCCTGCGTTCACGTGAGGTCAGAATAATCTGAAAAGTAACACCATTTAAATCAGAAGAACTGGCAAAACTGGAGTAAACTTAATTAGCTGACAAGAAGACAATGATGGGAAGTGTCTGATTTGACTTGGCCTCGCTAGACACCTTCAGGACCAGATTTACGCTCCAACTGTATTCATCAGGGGGCGTGGCCTGATCCTTGCCTTGGTTTAACCAAGTATTTGTCCAAAAAAATCCTTGAGTGTGGAGTCATGTTTTTTACCGCCCCCTATGGAGCCACAGTTGTCCTGATCTGGGATTGTAAATATCGGACGTGTTTAATACCTATGACTCAGGTCGGACTGGGAAGGCGTATAACTCACAACAAGCAGTGAAGCAGATTTAACACCAACTGCATGATGTAAACCTCATCACCCCCATGTGCTTCCTCAGCGTGAATTTACCACCAGATTTACTGCTCTGTTCTCACATAAGCTCACCTTGACTTTACCCCAAATTACACAAGGAGGCAGGTGGTTAAAAAACATGACTATTTATATTCACAGGTGTTACAGATGACTTTAGGAAGTCAGATTTAAATACTTGAAGAATGAATGAGGACCAACAGAAAGGTTGGAAACCCCATGGGAACCAACCCTGCTGTTCTTTTCACAGAGCTTCACAGCCTCTACTGTCCCACGCTCTGAATTTTCTGTGAGCAGCTGTCTCTCATATGCTTAAATATGCTGTGCTTTGGGAATAATCTCCATGTATGAAGTGATAACGCAAAAAAAGGGAAAGGCGAGGCGACAGTCAGCAAAGACCAAACTGAGCACCAGCCTAAAAACAGGGCTTTCAAGTCCTAAAACTCTTCACTGATATGAGAATTAGTGTAATTGTGAGCAGCCACCTGTGGTTGAGTATCCTGTGTATCACCATCCACTCTGGTTTGATGCCGTAGCGGTAGAAGCGCTCCTCCATCACAGCATAATGCGGGTCTTTGCTCTTCCTCTTCTCACTGTTAAGCTCCTCCTCTCCGGAGCCATAGTCGTACGGCGGCGGCTCGTCCATGTCATTCTTCCTCTGGTAGTTCCGATACATGACAGTGTGGTAGAGTTCCAGCTGTGGAAAACAATCAATTTAGCTCAGTTTCATTCAACGCCACCTCTGATTCTTCTCACAACAATGCAACATATAATCTCTCAGCGGGGTTGAGACAAATCTAATCAAGTACTTTAAGATCCAGATAAGATTTAATGAAGGGAAGGTAGATACACGATGAATTAAGAAAGCTGTCGTGTTTCTAAACAAGCACTTGTTCAGACAAATTAAATGTCTGCTGAGTGTGAGGGCTCTGAATGATCATCGCCTCTAATGCAGTTGGGATTGTTTGACAGCTGCAACAAAATACATTCACAGACAAACGTTTCTCCAAGACTTCAAGGCTGAATGAAGAAAAAAATGCAGGAACTTTCTTTTCTCTCATGTGTTTGTCAGGTTTTTTTTCCACTTCAGCAAAGACTGCTCATCCTTTAGCTCCTGCTGCTGACAAAGTAATCATGTAAGATTGGACCTGCTCTCTGTTTCTGGTGCGAACACTTTCAAATCCTTACATTTGTCTAAGAGCTTATTTATTATTACACAAAATTACATATTATTACAGATATGTTTGGTGTTAAGGCTGTAAAGATATCAGATTATCACCTGAAGGTAATCACAGCATTAAAACATCACATGGATGTTAAAATAAAGAGGAAACTTTACCAAAAATGTTAAAATACAGTACAGGCCAAAAGTTTGGACACACCTTCTCATTCAATGTCTTTTCTTTATTTTTTTATATGATTATTTACATTGTAGATTATCACTGAAGGCATCAAAACTATGAATGAACACGTGGAATTTTGTACTTATGAAAAAAGTGTGAAATAACTGAAAAGATGTTTTATACTCTAGTTTCTTTAAAATAGCCACCCTTTGCTATTGATGACAGAAGTACTAACCCTGACAAGGCACACCTGTGAAGTAAAAACCATTTCAGGTGACTACCTCATGAAGCTCATTGAGAGAACAGCAAAAGTTTGCAGCGCTTTCAAAAAAGCAAAGGGTGGCTACTTTGAGAAATCTAAAATATAAAACATGTTTTCAGTTATTCCACACTTTTTTCTTGAGCACATGATTCCACATGTGTTCATTCATAGTTTTGATGCCTTCACTGAGAATCTACAATTTAAACAGTAATAAGAATAAAGAAAATGCATTGAATGAGAAGGTGTGTCCAAACTTTTGGCCTGTACTGTATGTTATATCTACATCTCCTGCCCTGTGACCAAACTGTTTAGAGAGGACACTACCTCATAAAAAAAATGGTTTGGCATGCTTTTATTTTGATTTTTTTCCTGTCTTATGCTTCATTATCAGCATTGTAACGCTTCGCCTTATCTTGAAGTGTAGGGAACTTCAGGTAGATCTTAAATTACAGGACTTGAAAAGTCATCTTTTAAAGTGCCTGATCATTTCTCGAGGGAATGCTACAGCTGGCTCACCAGCAGCTGCTTCTTCTTCGAGTCTTCTTGAAACACAGTAAACCTACACAGAGTTTAACGATAAGCCTTTTTTTTCACACAAAATCTTTGTTTAATTTTCTGTAAAAGACATTAATAGACCACGCCAGCCCTGCTTCATGTCACTCATAACAACACAAGATTTGGGAGCAGATGCTGAACAGCCAGGCTTGGAAGTTGGGGTTAGTCCTGTTGTGATGGGGTGTCAAAGGTTCACAGTTTAGTTCAGTTTCCCTGCAGAAGTCTGTCTTATTTTTGACAACTCTGTCTATTCATTCTTAGTGTCTCCTGGTGTAAGACTACACTGAGGTCAAGCTTCAGGTCTTCATGTCCTCAGATCACAGTCCTCTCTCCAAGAGTCGAGTAACCTCACTCCTCCTCATCATAAATTCAGTCTCAGTGTCAGCCAAACAGCTGCACTGATGGTAAGAGATTCTGCCACGACAAACAAGGTCCTTTTCCCTGGAAGTCCCCCGGACGCTTCCTTAGACAAAGTCACTTCTGCGCATGCTTTAGCTGCATCAGTGCAGTATGTCACCTGCTGTCAGGGCAGTATTTATGCTTCATACCTCACAATAGGTGGAAATGAAAGCGCATTGTTCGTTTAATATGCAGCCAGTGGGTCTTTAAGTCTCCCATCCTATCAGGTATCGATCAGCTTTGGCAGGATCCAAAGGTCTTTCTAACTTCAAAGTCAGAGCTGCAAAGCCGAAGTGCCAGCACATGCCCAGTTTTCTCTTTAGAGCAGCTTTCCCCACAATTTCAACTACTGCTGGAAAATACTTTCACCATCCCTCCTTAAAACAATACATTTATGAATTAAAAACAAAAAGTTGAGATCTTAACCATACTTAACCAAATATTTGCTATGAGAAATATGTACAACCTAGAGTAGAGATGCCAAACCAAATCTGGTTCAAGATGAGAACCAATTTATTGGAGTCATTAACATAATTTGCTTTTTTGCTTCATTGCCACCTGATCAATGCCTTCAGCTCAGTTTCTGGTGCCTTGCAAAACAATAAAGCATTGCAAGAGGCAGGCAGCATGAATGGCAACCAAGAAAGTGATCATGGTAGACAGGAGATAGAGGTGGTCCAAAGAGCTGGTATGACATACCAGCTTACTGTAAAATCCACTCACTCTGTGAGACCGGTAGTGTTCTGGGAATAAACTCTGTGCAACATTCTGAGGCTTTTCTATCCTCCAGAGAAGGTTGGTGAACTTTCAGAGACTGTCTGGATTCAGTTCCTGAAAAACTGAGGTAATCTGTGCTGATATGTCTGTTCATTTTTGTGATACAGTGTGATTCCTGTTGTGAGTTAAATATGCTTATTGAAGGTCGTTGCTATGGTCTTTCAACCAATCAGAGGCTGTACCTACATGCAGCTGACCAATCAGAAGCCAGATTTCTGTATTTAATCAGGGCTGTGATAAAGCCAATAATGAAATGTGTTGTAGACAAAGAAAGCCTGTATAGGCCGACTTTTCCTGACACAGAACATCTCCAGGAATGAGGCACCAATTATCATCTATTTCCATCCCCATCTGAGGAATTGTTGATCGCACCGTTTCAAAGCAGTATTTCTTGCACGTTTTAAGTTGTTTTGGCAACTTTTGTATCATCTCTTCTGTCTCCTCTAAATTTAGTCTCATATCAACTATTTGCAGCTTCTTCTTGTGACCTTTCTGATGTTCAGGGAGCTTTGTTTTGTGTAAAACTATAAAACCAAACTGAACTATCGCACCTGCAGCTCGCTGACCCAGGAGCAGTGCCAGTAAGAGAGGCCGGCCCACTTCACAAAGAACTCCCTCTCTGGGCGGCCTTTGAGCGGGGGCTTGGTCAGCGGATCGTTGGGTTTCCCATCAGGACCTGCGGGCAGTTCAGCCGGCAGCGGGGGCTCCCCCCAAGTCCAGTGCAGGATTTTCTGGACTTTACCTTTAAGAGGAGGACACTGAGGAGGAGAAATCAGAGAAGTATAAGGAGATAAATGCAGGGGTCTTCACTTTGTGTCACAGCAGTAATGCAGAAAAAGTGAAGCGGGGGTTCAGAGCCAGACAAAAGCGGTAAATTGGGTTGTCTCCACCTCATTAACAGCCACCCACAGTCTTACTTCACATTAATACAGAGAGTAATTAAATCATTAAAAGGCTAATTGGTTAGCTCAAACAGCAAGCGGGAAACGACTGTGATCAACTGTACAAACTATAAAAAGATTTAAACCAGCCCTACAGTAAATCTTCACCACCTCACAAACTTACGAAAGGGTTTTAGCCCCAGGCTTTAGAGAGGAAAATAAATTAAAGCTGATCTTTCTTTTTTCCATTTTCAGAAACATCATAATCTTTCTTTTCTCACCACGCTTTATTTCAGAAATTTAACTCTGCCCTGAACATTTTAACTCGTCATGATATGTAAATAATCGTCATTGTTCTCATCTCCTCGTCTCTTCCTCACTTTCATGTCTGCTTTAGAGTCATTCTGAAAATTTTAACATAGCCCCTAAAATGTGCCGGCTCCCATCCGTTCCCACTGACGTGTTATTCTTTATTTTCAGTCCCTTATTTTTCTGATACCTTTGCGAGATTTATTTAAAAACAGGGCTAAAAACAGGGCTCTTTTTCATCCACAATACTTAAAGTAAGTGGGAAAAAAAGCTGTGAGGATGCACTAACTAAAAACCTGTGCTGTACCTTAAAGCTTTTTAAAAAATGGCCAGAACTAAAGCAACATTTAAAACCACAGATCATATACAGGCATATATGAACACCATGTGATAACTTAAAAATGTGGTCTAACAAGAAGACAGTGTTAAATTTATGCATATCTACAAAATACTTAGCCATATATAAAAGCAGAAACGTATTGCTCCAAAATCTTCAACCATAAGCTTCCTCTAAGGGTGTTTCTTCAGAGAGGTAAAAGCTGAGCCCAGCAAAGAGACTCAACTCTCCAAATGTGTTCATTTATTTCAGAAATACTAAACGCTAACATCACTGTTAGTCCTGAAGTGTGAGCTCACCATGCAGCGAGGACACAACCACTCTCCATTGGGTATCTCAGGTAGAGGCGGGTTGAGGCAGTGGATGTGGTACGAGGAGGGGCAAGTGTCACAACACAGCAGCTCTCCTCCATCTTTACACACTCTACAGAACTCCATGTGGTCGTCCTCTTCTTCACCAGCTGGCTCTTCCTCATCCTCCTCCTCATCTTTGGCCTCCCACTGGATCCCCTCCTTCTCCTGAAGGACATGAGGACAAGGGGGGCTTAAGAGCTGCTGATTCGAGTTTATAAGAATAAATAACTCTGCTTGTTAAGCAGCATATTTTGAGATGTGTCCAACAATTGCATGATTTAAGGAAGCTAAAGAACCAAATCAGTTTTAAAAAAAAGGGCCAGGTATTTCTCAGAGTGCAAGACTGAAACAGGGAATTTAAAGTCCTGGATTGTACAATATCACAAGAGTCATAGTTTCGGTTTATAGTAAGAAAAAGCCCAAAAATCTGGACACTAACCTCCTTACAACTGTCAGTCAAGTCAGTGTGCTTCTAATTGGCCAAACTTTAGGGGTGTCCTGATGCAACTTTTTTACTTCTGATATGATACCGATATTGTATCCTTCAGTATTGGCCGACACCGACATTGATCCAATATTAGCACGATTTTTTTTTTTTTTGCACTCAGCTGCAGTGTCTTTTTCAGACTTAAATGAAACATACTGCCACACGGCTGACATCACTCTGACTCCTTGCTACTTTGTTAGTATCTCAGTACACACTGTTCTTGTAATCTCGTGGGCTCAGCATGCTGGATCTGGGTCCTGCTAGATAGAGGTGCTGGAACAGAGTCTGGAATGGACTGCTTGTATCGGAGTGCTGATTTCAGAGATTTTAGATGCAGGCCGATATAATCCGATATTCGTTTTTTTGCAGATATCAGACTGATATCAGTATCGAATTGGGGCATCCCTACCAATCCTATCCTATCCTATCTTACAACATTAATAAATTTAAAAGGAACACGTTACAAGAAACTCAGATTGGGAGTCATGGAAGTCCTGAGTGATTTAGACCAAAACTGTTATCTGAACCACCTTTGTTTTTGCTCTAAAGCCTTTTGGTTAGTTAGTGTGTATGTGGTTTCAGGTGCTTCTGCAGCCAGCCTCAAGTGGACACACTTGTAACTGCAATTTTTAACACTTCAGTATGAGCTTCTACAAACAGACTATTCGGACTATAACCATGAAATCCCAGGATAAGAAGAAAACAGCACACAGTGAGGAAAATGCCAAAGATGTCACGCGCCCACTACCTCATTACCACATTAGCGCCCACTACCACATAGATGCTGCCAGTGCAGAAAACATCGTCAACACTGCTCCTTAAGCTTCCAAACTGGTGACAGATCAGTCTTTGCAGAGCACACAAAACACTAGATCTGCACACTTGATTTCCCTGAGGTGGGATTTGACTGTAAAGCCCAACTGTCCAGCCAAATAATCAAGAATACACTTTCAGCATGTACTAAAGTAAAAAACGAGTAAACGTAATGAGTCCGTCTAACTGTTTTACTTACACAGTGTGGACAGCTCCATTTGCCTTCAGGGGCCTTCTCCAGCTCTGGGTCCAAACACACCAGGTGGTACGCTCGGGGACAGGTGTCACACAGGATGATCTCGCCGCCTTGTTGGCAAACCTCACAGTAATCCTGGTGGTCCGTCTCGTAACCATCGCCATCCTCCTCTGTAGAAGGTAAATGTGATAAACGCTCTTAAATTTAAATGTAACATTGTAAGTTTGACAGTATTTACACATTGAAACAAGTGGGCTGTAAATGTTATGAGGACAATCACTGCTGAGATTGAGCATCTGCCTCCGGGAAATATCCCCAAAACAAATAAAACTCTCATTTCTAATTTCCTCGTTAGCCACACACTCAAACAGTCTGGTTCAGGGGGCTTTCAGGGGGATTTTGAAGGGAAAACAAAACTCAGACAGTAAACATACTTTTCCTTTTTTTCCGCCCGCGTCGGGCCTTCTTCTTGGTGGCGGCCCCCGAGGTATCAGAAAGCACAGAGGCACTGTGGATGCTGATGTCGTCAAAGTCAGACTCCTCCAGGAAGTCCTCCTCGCTCTAGAAAGTGAAAAAGGAAATCCAAACAGGCTGGTCACTTTCATGGAAACACAGAGTTATCGTGAAGTTTAACATGAGAAAGAAGTCAAACACACCGAGGACGCTTTTTTCTTCTTCCCACTTTGGCCAGACTTTGATTTGGTCTTCTTCGGCTTGGGTTTCTTCTTCACCTCCTTCACAGACTTGCTCCTCTTTCTCACTCCAGGCCCTGAGACACACGCAGGTGCGACAGTAATAACCTATCATGAAGTTATCGTTCCTATCATCCCTTACTTTGTTACAGTTTTTCAGATTTGTGTCCTCGACTGTTTCAGTAGTTTCAGTATCCTGGTGGTTGAAGAGTTAACTAAGCTCCTGGACTTCTAAAAATACATGTGCTGCTCTGGTTAACCAGGCCTTACCCTTCCCCTCTTTGGTTTTGGCTTTTTTGATGGTCCCCGGCTGCGAGCTCGGCTGGCTGCTGCTGACAGATGTCGGCTGTGCCACGGTAACTGTTTCCACGGCCGCAGCCACAGCGGCGGCCACAGCGGTGGCAGATGCGCCTTTGAAGGGGTTGTTGGCGCTGAACTCCCGCCACTTGGCCCCTAACACTGTCATCATCTTTGACATGGGGATTTTGGGGTTCTTCTTGGCGATGAGTGGCCTGAGGAACACAACAGCAGCTTTATTATGTCACACTTCATTCCTGTTGCTGTAATTTCTGCTTCCTTCAGCGCTGCAGGCGGACTGGGTGTTGATTTGCTGACAACCTTCTGGCCTTTAAGTCACCCTCTGCCTGCTTTGCTGTGCGTATGTCATGTTTGTGATTTGTCAGGCAGCAGCTTGAGGTCTGGCACGCTGGCCTGTGAAAGATACTGGGTCAAAGCAGCGAGTCTCCGAGCCTCCAGGCTGTCACAGGCATCCAGGAAGCAGCTGACGTCTCACAGGGGAGACTCGCTGCAGGAGCTCATGCTCCACTTTGTCAAAGAGGAGGCTTAGCTGAGCCCAGACAGCCCCAGGTGAGACAGAGTCTTTAAACCAACAGCCAAGCTCTCCTGCTCAAACAAAAAGAGGAGTGTTTGCTCGTCACAGACCTCTCTGGTGTCACTGTCTCACAGTTTTTGTCAGTGAGGGTCTCTGACAATCCACAGGCTCAGAAAGAAAATGTATCAGAGGGCAGATATTTACAGGCTCTGAGTAAAAACGCAGAATTTGAAGGGATAGTAGCAGATTTGGGGTTCTGGACTCAAAGTCTGAGCAGCATTATCTACTATCATTTCAGAAACGCAGGAAAACAGTTAATATGGAGACCTAAACAAACTAAATCTGCAGTCACCCAACATAATTCTCTTCTTACACACAAACATCCACAGAGGTCCTTAATGACTGACTGCATCCCACCTACAGAGGACAGACTGGTGTGAACATCAGGACTGAATCTAAATCAGATGCTCACCTGAGGAACTGGCTGAAAGCTTTGTAGTTGGTAATGGTTTTGTAGTCGTCTTCAGTGAAGCCGTACTGAACGTCCTCCAAACCCCACTCCTGCATCAGCTGGCTGGATGATTTCGGTTCCTGTTAAATAAGAGATTGAGAGACCAAAGTGACACTACATAAACAATAAGTTTGAATTATTTATTATATTAATTTTGATCCTTTAATCTCATTTGTCAAAGATGAACAAAAGTCTTCATTTGGGATGAACTTGCAACAATCCTGTGGTGTCCTGTTTTTATCAGCATCAGCTTAATTCCTTATTTTCTCTCACATCAGGTCTGATTCTCTTTCTTTTTCTTAGTTCTTAAAAGTTTTCAAGGTCATTAAATCCTGAAATTTCAAGGGGATAGACCTTGTAAAATAATAAATTATACATTTTGTGGCAGAAAGACTAGCCTATTATTGTTACAGCTTTTTTTACAGAAGCTGTATCTGTTGTATTTGAGTATGTCATACAAGTTGAAAGTGAACAATACAGTATATGGAGACTTGAGGTATACCAATAGATTTAGATATCTTACTTTTTATGTAACTTATGTGCAGCTTCCAACTGAGTTTATAAACTATTTCAATTTAATTTAATTTAATTCAGTTTCATTTAAAAATAAATCCTATCACCACCCAACACACAACTTTATTTTTAAATGTATGCAGTAAAAATGTGATCATATGTAACTCCATCAGCTGTTCCTACCCTCTTTAAACTCTCTCATGTTCTCACTGGAACAGAATAGATTTGTATCGTCTGCAAATGGGATTGTTTACGAATACCTTTTCAAAGTATTGAAGAAAACAGTGGTAACACAGACACAGGTCTATGACTGTATAGATGGATTATATTAAGAATATTGAGGAATTTGGTCGACTTAAGAAGAGCCCTGTTTTTTTTTTTAAAACCTTTTTGTTGTTTGTGCTTAAGTGTGGAAAGTGACTCATGAGCAGAGGTTTTAAGTGGGTTGAGAATAAAGTTAAAATATAGATGGTAAGGTCAGATATACATGATTAATGCCAGGGATAATGCTAAGTAATTTAGACTAATTTCTTTCTATTAAATCAGAAGAGAAAGAGTTTGTGACATTTTGACTTTATTCTGAACTTACAGAATTTTTAAATAAGTTTATTTTCTCCTCACTCGTTCATTTTTTAACCTCAGTCTTCCTACTCTTTCAGTTTTCACATTAATCCAACAGAGATGCAAAGTTCCTCTGTAGTTTCACAAGTCGCAGGGAGGACATTCACAGTCTGATATGCAGCTTACACAAGGTGACTTTGAAACGTGAAGCATCCTATTTACTTGTTTACTAAAAGTGAAGAAGGAGACTTTTTTTTTTTTATCAACTTTTTTTTTACCGAATCTGGAGCTCAAAATTTAAAAAAAATATACCAGGCAAGTCATGATATAAGACACCTTTTTTAGTTTTCAGTGGCTTGTTCTGATTTATTTTTCACCTGCCATAAAATGCTGCTGTACTCCTTCTAGTATCAGCAGTTGTAGTCACTAGAGGTTTTCTCTTGAGCTGCTGAAATCACAGACTGGACAGTGGGTGGTAAAAGGTTAATTATATACAAATGAATGTAATCATGAGTCATGAAATGGATCATCACTGAGTCCTTGTGTCCAGTTTTGAACACATGCAGACTCTATCTGCAGGGTTGGCTCCATTTTTTATTTAAATCTTCATTAAGACTGTTTTATTCAGTTTTTCCAGCGCAATTCTTTTGACAACATTTGTGAGAGTCTAACTCCAAATATTTAAGTATACCATTTTCAGACCTTTAGACTCTGCCTTACCTTCATGTTCCCGTCATCATCATCGTCGTCATCATCATCCTCATCCCTCTTCTTCTTCCTTGGCTTCTTCTCCTTTTTCTCCTTGGGTTTCTTCTTCTTCTTTTTGGTCGGGCCGTACGCCGTGCTGCTCTCGCTCTCTGAGTGTATTTCTGGACGTTCCCGTTCCTCCTCCACCTCTGAGGTCTCCTCCAAGTCGCTGTCCACTCTCGCCTGGATTCCTCCCTGAAACACCGTCATAGATACATCAGCGTCACATCAATAAGGTGTGTAGGTGAAAATCAACACTCAATTATTGGGCATTTGTGAGTCAAATGAATTTCTGATTGTCTGTTTGTCCATCAGTTAAAGAAACCACTTCAGCTGTTCCTATCCAAACAGCAATCAAATACACAGTGGGGATGTCAAAAACACTGCATAAATGAGCAGTTAAAAGTTAGTTGCACTTTTTTGCATATGTAGTTGTGTTGCATTCAAGATGAGTGCAAAACTAAAACAGCTTTCGGACCGCAAAGCGCCCCACATTCTCCAAAAAGAGGCTCCCTTTACGCTCCTGTCCCTTAAGGGCCCCCTCCCAGCATTCTAGAACCCAGCACTCTGGAAGCCTCCTTCATTGTTGCCATGTGTCAAAGTTCTGTTCCTTCTTTTTCACTCTAATCTTTTTTAGATTTTAAATTGTCACTTGAGTTCTTCCGATTCCTTGTCTTTTTCATGTCCTTTAATTATCTGTAATAATTCAGTTTTTGCTTTTTTTTCGTATTTTTTTTATTTCTAATAATAAAGACAGTAGCTTCTTTGGCACATGCCTTATGAGTGGCCGTATAACTGTATAACTCTGAATATAATCATGTCTGAGCATCTAAAGCAGGTTCCTGCATGCGTACAGGTTTTAAGACTTACCGTTAAGATAAACCAGCACTGACTCAGGTAAAGAGTGTATCATCTAAGCCATGATCTAAAACCAAGTGAATAAAAGGTGGATTAATTTAAATGTTTAAATGATAGGGCAAGTTAATTTTGTCAGTGTTATGGATTAAAGCTCCCTCAGAGGCCACCTACACTCTCAAATAAAATCCTGTCAGTGCACTACGAAGCACTTGGGATAAAAAGCTCCTTCTCGATGGTATTTGCATAAATTAAATTACATCATTTCAAAGTGTCACTCTTTCACTAACTGTATAATTCTTCTGCCTGTGATGTAAATTATAAATGATTACATTACAAGGCAGCGAGTTGATGAGGAGTCAGAAACGTTCACCTCTCACACAAACTGAGAAACAGATCGTCAGAGGCGGAGCCGGCACTCAGATCTGAATCCTGCCTGTTTAAAATGAGACATCTGGACGGCTGTATGGATTTAACAGCTAACAGGTGTTGTTTGTGTGATCAGGAGAGTGGCGTGTGAGCAAATTCACTGGTGTGTGCTTGTGGAAGTGTGTATGAGTGAATGACTAAGAGTGAGGGGGGGTAGAGTTTGAAGAGTCTTTCTGTATGCATCTAATTATTTGGTGCTTGTGTGTGCAGACTGTGCATGTTTTTGTGCGCTGTCTTTCCACCAAGAGACTTTACCCAGAGACAGGGAACTCTTAAAGATGCTCCATTTCTTTCCACTGCAGAAACCAGGATCAAAAAAGTACATGGGACTTAATTTCACCCTCCAAAATGTGCTTGTTTCAGGGGTTTTACTTCTGGACTCTGGGGGCGAGGCTTGTACATCTTAACAGCTCTGATTGGTTTGTCACTTATTAGATTCTGAAAACAGACAATTTATTTATTTATCTATTTATTTATTTTTGTGTAAGAGATGGATGACATAACATCTCCCCGAAACTGACACCAAAATATTTAAAACTACTTCTTCTCAGTGGCTGCAGTATCGGTCAAAAAGGCTGTCTCATCCATGTGAACAGATGAGGCATGAATCGAACTTAAAAATCAAGATGCATATCCAGTATTGATTAATTAAACGTGGTTTCTCCCATGAAAGTTAGTTCTTATTATTCTGATTTATGTGCTGTTCATTATTAACTGTTAACCATAAACCAACTATTAACTTTACTATTTTTAACGGTTCGAGTACCGTGCAAATATCAGTATATTGCTTTTACAGCAAGTCTGTAAATTAATGACACTCTGAACATTAAAACATGTTAAAGTTGATGACAAAAGTAACGTCAAGTTGGCACCAAGTTCCTCTCAGAGTTTCACAGTTGTTGTTCTAACTTCAGCAGTCAATCTTGTGTATTTTCCGACTTGGAAACCAAACTTTCCAAGTGTTTCTACCACCACATGTATGCAGATTTAGTCGCACCTTTAAGCTCTTGGTTGCACTTGAGGTTACCAGGCACCGACAAGGCACTCTGCCCCTGGTCTCTGCAGTGGAAACATACTAACTAATCCAATATAGTAGGTACCAAACCATCTGTAAGCATCAAACCTGTGCAGATGGAACAAAAGAGTTGGGGGTACTTTTAGCCCCATTTTTGTTTCCAGTTCAGATCATTAGGGAAAAGTTCAACTTTGTGTCACAATCAAAGGGGGACCTTCTTGTCCCATTAAATGAGCAGGTAGGATAAAAAGTTCCTGCTTCTTCTGGTGGCAACACTGCCTTGGATTTCTGTTTGGTAGCAGGTCTTCTTCAGAGGTTAAATTCATGTGTTTTTTATGTTTTCATCCACTTCTTTTTTTGTGTGTGTGTTCTTTTTGCTTAGGGACATGTTTGTGTGTTTGCCTCTGTATAAATACATGTACAGTAAATGTGTGTAAACGTGTGTGTGTGTGTGTGTGTGTGTGTGTGTGTGTGTGTGTGTGTGTGCATGCTATGCAGTGAATTAGAGCACAGCAGCTTTGTGCTCCGCCTGCTGCCTGTTGCTCAGCAGGCCTGCGAGGATCCATGGAGAGACTTACAGGCGTTTTGCTCTGTAGCGCAGTGGAAAGGCTCACGTTGCCGCAGCGCCCGCCAACCCTATACCAGCAGCCCCGGCTGTGTTGCTATGGCGACCACATTTGAGCAGTGTCTGGCTCTAGCTCTCTCTCTCTCTCCTCTTAGTTTTCCCTCTCTTTCTCTTTCTCATAGCCCCCCCCCCAACACACACACATGCTTTCTTTCTCTTTCTCTCACTTTCTCCCTTTTTTCACATCTTGTACCCCTCTCCTCCATTATTCTCTCTCTCTTTTAAACATGTTCCCTTTTCTCTCTCTCTCTCTCTCTCTCTCTCTCTCTCTCTCTCTCTCTCTCACTCTTTCTATCCTGCCACACACACATGCACTCTCTATCACAGTGGCAGCCAATGGAACGGCGCCATCCAATCAGACGGGTTTGCATAACGAGCTTGTTATGCAGAGGCCTGTGGTTGCAGAGCTGGTGCTCCGGCACCCGTCTAGACAAATCTCATTTATGCATAAGAAGGAGGAGAAAGAGAGAGAGAGGAAAAAAGAGAGAGAGAGAGTAAATTAAAGATCCTGGATGGGGGATGGGAGTGGGGGTGGAGAGATGGAGGAGGGAAAAGCAAAGAAGCGAAACCAGCGTTGAGAGAAAACTGCAAAAAGAAGAGGTGGAAGTGTGCAACAGACCTCAGCGTGGCCCAGAGTTCGATGTTACATACACATCACAGGACCAGAGAGGGCTCTGGCAGCAACAATGAGGGTGTCTCTACTTTCAGAGGGAAGAAAATCAGATAAGCGCTGATAACGTAATCAAATTAGATGCTTCCTCATAATGGCTCTGCCTTGGGGAGATTGCAGAGGATGCCGCAGAAAAATATCAAATGAACAAAGATGTGGATATCCAATAAAAACCTAGTTCAACAAGAAATAACACGATCGTAAAAACACTTTATGACTCCAAAACAACAGCGTTTTCTCCTTCCCAGAAATCAGCAACAGCTCTCTGTTGACTCACAATCCCTAAGAGGATATTGGACTTATAAAAACAAGACTTAGGCTCATCTCAAACTGACGAATGTTAAAGCCTGGAACAGCTCTTTTAAAAGCTTTACTGCAGCCTTTTCTCTCCTTATAAAATTAACTACCTTCTCTAAACTTAAACTCTCTATTTGGTAGTTTTAGGGGTTAAAAAGGACACAGAGTTTCTTTGTTTCCCTTCAAAAGAGAGAAAGAGGCATGCTAACATGTCTGCCTGGTTCCCACTTCTCCCATCAGTAGCTCTATGTAGGACTGGGATGTGCCACAGCCAGTCTGACCCCAATTGACATTTGGCCTGAGTCTGACACCAACCTTTCGGGAGCGATTGGAAGTGAATTACAGCAGCAGCGATTTCTCAGTGGGAGAGAGACAGACATAAAAAAGGGAGGGTGGTGAGAAAGACAAAGATTTGCAGCTCCTATGACGCATGGGCCGCAACAAAAGCGGCGAGGAAATGTGAGGTGATGTGTGTGAGAGGCAGGAGAGGGAGGAGGATACAGGGCAGAGAGTGTATTTGAGTGTGAGAGAGAGGGAGGGAGACAGGGGAGAGTGTCAGAGGGAGTCCCCCCCTCATTAGCTCACTGAGACCCTGGAGCTCAGTGTTTACCACAAGCAGCCAAAGGGCCGGGTGGCAGCCTGGCCAAGCCAAGCTCCTCACAGCACTGCTGGCATCTCCAGCCAGCAGAGGGGAACATCCTGGCGGCATTGCTGAGACTGCTAAAGCCGTCGCCAACACAGGCGGGAAAACACACGGGGAATACAGTGAATTCCTGTAATTGCTGAATGAAAACTACTGGGGCCTCTGAATTCATTTTGCCCTGTTAATTCGTAGCAGAATTTCAAAGGCAGATAAGTCTTTTGTTACAGCTTAAAGTTGCGCCTAAATGTGACCAATGTGCCGGATAAAAATGTAATAAAGCATGCTTCATGTTGTTGAATGTAAGAATAATAAGAATAAAGCCCATCAAGCCGAAACTCTTTGTTTTTGGTGTTGCACCAAATTTTGCAACCCTTCAAATGTGACCTACAAACCCAGCCATCATCAGCCTCATTCCCACCAGCACAAAGGGGCTGATATACCCACGGTGGGCTGTTAGCCTGGCAACAAAACACAATCAGCATTCAAGAGCATGACTGTGAACATGATCCAGAATCAAAACACTAAAAAAGCTGATTTTTCCAAGCTGGGTTTTTAAGTGACCTGTTAAATGCTGGTGATCAAAACAGAGCCCTAAACTTGTTCACATTGTTTTATTCTAACCATAAATCTCATTATTTACTATTTCTACGAGTCTATCAGTTATTGTTTTTAAATGCCTTGTGTTTTCCTTTACTATTTTGTCACTCATGTACTTGGGATAGCCTCTTAAAAAAAGCTGTCTTGGCTAGCTTAATATCAGCTGAGGGCCCATGTAAAAACAAGGTAATGTGAGGCTGGACTGCTAGAAATGTCACCAACTAATGGGTCGCTAGCTACCTTTTGTCTTCTGTTTGAGGGAAATTCATGAGAATAAGAGCCAGGCACACAAAAATTGAAAACTAACACTTCAACATATACTATAATCCAGACTTATAAAGTAAGCTTTATTTGACAAAACAGGATTAAGGTGCTACTGCACATGACAAAAAGTAAAGCTATATTACCATTAATGCAGAAAGCAACCATCATGGATTTAGAGCTCCAGGGAGCTCAAGTTTGGACTTCTAACTTGAGGGTTATTTTGGATGGCGTTTAGGACCAGCATCTGAACTTAGCCTGGCATCACCAGACCAATTCATCTAAGTAAATGAGTCTGGAAAAGCTTGATTCATTCACCTTTACCAGTTGTTGTTAGTGTGGGTTGCATATGAAAATGCCTCCAACAATCAATCAGATGTGCCGAAGTGCATAACATGAACAGACAGTGCTTAGCAATTAGAAAAACATGCCATCCTCAGCAGTATGCTGAATGGCCAGTCACTTGATCTTCATTTAAAAAGAATTCATACTTTGGTTTAAACGACCACCAGAAGGCGGCCATCTTGGCTGTTTACAAATAAACTGAAGCAGTGTACTTGTGTCGTCATTTCAGATGAAGCCTTCATTAAGCTCCATTAACTCGCTCATGTTACTATAGCAACACTATTTTGTAGCAGTTGATCACTTTTAGCCCCTTTAGCTACTACCCAACCAATCACAGAGGCTGGATTTTACAGTGTTGTAATTGGCTCTCCTTGAAAAGCAATCCCACCATAACCAGTCTAATTCATGACCTGTTATAATGATTCTGGGGGCTGCTCAAACCCCTTACCAGTTGTCTGAATGTTACATCCAGGGACAGTGGATGGTCAGATTTGCTCTGTCACCGCTCAGACTCCCACTGTTGCCTTGGCACGAACGCCATACTCCTGACCTACAGTCCCTGCCATCAGCAGCAGCAGCAGAACCACGGGCACAAATCTACACTCTAAACTGGACCCTGGTGTCCACAGCTTACACTGGCATTGACGGTGGCACTGCTGCCAACCTCCCCTAAGCCTCAGATAGTCCACTACCTCTCATTTAGATTACACAGAGCGTCCTGCAGCCAATACACACCTCTCATCCAATTTCAGAGACATCAAAGCAGTGTTAGCTGGAGAAATAGAGGGTACAACTGGGCCAAAATGCTCGCCAAGCTGTTATGTCTGAGGTCAGGACAGATGGTGTTTAGAGTGAATTACATCTTACCTCCTTTTTCCTCTTTTTTACTTTGGGCATCTTCCCCTCCTTCATCTTTTTGGGCTTCTTCTTCTTCTGTTGTTTGAGGGAGTCATCCGAGAAGAAGCTGTCGAGAGGCGTGAGGGGGACGGTGTTGCGCTCGCCTTCGTCATCCTCATCTGGAAGCAGGAACACAATCATTAAAAGCTCAGCAACTCAATGTAGTCCACAGCAGAGAGTGCTCGGGATGATCAATTTGGAAATTTGGCTGTCGTCGTCGAGGTTGTCAACTCTATGGTCAATTGGCCTTGTAATGAGTCTCAATCTTTATTCTGACAAATGACGTTTAGCTGCTTCACTGTAGAGCTGAAACCATTTATCAAGCCATTTAGCAGACAATGAATTGATAACAATTTTGATAGTCATTAATCATTTAATTATATCACATAAAGCAGCTATTACTACCTTTTATCCTTCGCCATCTCCCTCCTAACTCTGAAGACAGTCATTTGCATAATTCTGTGTGTTTTATTCACAGAGGATCCCTCTTGGTATGTTTTCTGTCTTACTTTTCTGGTGCATCATCCAACCACAGTAGAACCAACAGCCTGCCTGGGGATGATCGTGGAAATCTGGAGCATTGACAGAAGTTTCAGGAGGACCAGATGTTTGATGCAAAATTCATTAGAGCAACTGCAACAAGGTTTAGGATCACCAGAACAAGTGTACACTGTGTAGTGCCACCAACTGTAAAAATTTTCACCTTGTTAAGGAATCTTTAGCACATGCAAAAAGGTACTTTGTGACAAAACAAGGAAAACCTTTACCAGGAAACAGATCACCATATTGGTTTAGGATGCAGATCACCTGAAGTTAGTTGCTGCATATTTCCCTTGTCTTTTTGTCTTCACATTGAAGCCTCTTTGTCACACTACACATGCATAGCGATCAGACTTTGCATCCTGAGTCCAGCTCCATCTGTGCCTTTAGACCAAGAGTACTGCAAAATGTAAGTTCCAGTTCAAGGGACTAAATGGTTCTTGTGAACAGCTGTCACCTGTGCTTATTCCCAGGAAGATTGGGCAAATCAGGCCAATGACATCTAGGTCAGTTATTCCATAAATCAAGTCACTGGCGGCAGGTTTGATGTTTTAGTTATTATCTGGCTTTCTTGCTAATCACCCAGCTGTGTTAAATACTTGATTCTGATTGGTCTGAACCCTTTGGACAACACTTATTTACTGTGCATAACAAGAGAAATTCCTAAACAATTCAATCTGCAGAAAGTAGTTCTAGAATATTTTATTTCTGCATGTTGAGGAAAAGTCAACATTGAGGGCTCTATTTTGGTGCCTCGCCGGAGATCTGCCGCAAGCGCAGAGTCAATCAGATCCGCCGCGCTGACAAGGCGTTCCCAAGCATTCTGTGCATGCTCCAGTGTTTGCACATTAGCTTTGGGCCTGAAGTTAAACAGCATGAATGCATTGCCAGGAAGCTGAGTAGTAAAAAAAAGTTAGATGAAGAAAGGACGCAAAAAAGGCAAAACTTTCAGTTCAGAACCTAAGAGTAACACTCATTTCCTCGTTCAATGTAAATCCTGTCGAGGCGTATTACTATTTTCATGAAGTAGTCAAAGAGATCAAGAGATGTCTGAAGACAGCAATGCCACACGATGGCGACAGAGGGCACCTGCTCAACAAGTGTCCTCCACACTCTCTCATCTGAGCACAGATAGATTTGGTGTGCGTAATGTTGGACCCACTGGTAAGACAAACACCCTTTTCCACAAAAAAGACACTCACATAAAGTTGCATATATTCAAACCTCACGTGACAAAGGTGGGTTTAGCGCACAGATCACAACATAAACTCCAAAAATGGCATTAAAATCGGAACCATCTGTGCGTAAATGACGCATCGCTACTCCTCTCGTTCATGTGCTGAACAATTAGGTAAATATTGTGAGAATAAAATTGTCATGTTAGAATGAAAACCGCTGTGGTTTTATTCATAAATTGGCATTCACATTATTGCTGTTGTAAAGGGGGGTTATGGGATGTGCAGCCTCCTTAAAAATACCAAAATGACGACTTTATTACAACTTTATACTCGGAGCATCACAATGTAATGCAATTGTAACACTACTCTTGAAACCTTGCGACTTAATCCTGGAAATATCTGTAATTTTCTTGCTTAATGTGACCCGAATGCTCAATTAACAAAAAATTAATGTTTATAATGGTCAAATGAGTGAAGAAGATGAATTAATCAGAATGTATCGATATAGATCTAAATGTATGTGCTGACTCAGATTAATAGTTGTTGATGATTATTTATTGCACTGAAATGTGCCTGACACTGTGGAAACCTGCCGGTGAGGCATCATTGAGCGTGGATCAACTTCACCCGTCAGAGCACACACAAATAGATGGAGTGCCTGCCCTGCCACTAAATGGGAGCTCCCAGGGGGACCACTGAGGTATACTGAGCATATCTTTTCGCCTTAAACGCTCGCTGGGACCGCGGCGACCTGCTGCTGGTTGTCAGCTGTACTGTCTATGAGCTGCTGTGTGAAAACGCACTGACTGCTGAGCGCGGCAGACTTCTCTGATGCCATAGTGGGTCACAGAGGAGTGAGAAAGGGAGCGAGACAGTCCCAAACTTTCATCATCTCATAGTCAGACAAACATACCAGGATAACGCTGCCAGGGATCGATCTTGTTTTCCCTCTCCCTCTGCATCTCTGTCTTCTTCTGTCTTTCTATCTATCTGTCTGTGTGTCTCCTTCGCTCTCTGTGTCTCATGCAGGCAGACTGGAGGGCATGAAATATGCAGCACATGTATCAGAGTCAATCAGGCAACACTAGCCCTGCAGTCTACCACTCCCCTGGGTGACTGGAGTGAGAGATTTGGGAGGAGGGATTCCTGTGTAGACGCACCAACCTCACCATCCACTTATCCTCTGTTTAGCAGAGCTAGCAGGAGGTACCAAACACAAACACACACAGAGTGCACACACACATCAGTGATATTAGGGCTGTAATCAGCGGTCGATTTGATGTGTTTTCTTTGACCATGAGAGGAAAAGTGCTTCCCTGTTTTAAGTGCTAACAGAGGGCGATCTGTGGTTTACGTTCCTCGTCTTCAATATTTTGATGTTTGACTAAAGAGTTTAAGCTCTGAGATTGTATTCAAAAGTGCTCAAAGCTAAATCAGCTCATCTAATATCAGATGAAATTACTGAATTTAAAGGTTGGGGACTTCATTTACTTTTAGTAATGGATTTAAGCCATGTGTACACTGTGCTGACCCGCTTCTTGACTTGCACAACTGCTGTGAAAGTCAAGCCAACTTTAAGCCTGATTGCGAATCACTTGTCTCGCGATGTACAGAGGATCACAGGAGCCTCAGCTGGTCTGATGAATTTCTGGCATGTAAGAAAATTTAGTTGCCCGACTGCAACTTCTGGGCTTTTTTTTCTGCCTGGACTTGCACTCACATGTAACAGCAGTGTCTGAAAGCAATGTGGCAACACACTTAGAGGCATGCTTTTATAATGTCCTGGATGTAGTTTAGGGGTTTCACAAATGTAAGTGAAGCTCAGAACAGAGGTAGCCTGAAGCAATATTGCAGAAATTACATCTGCCACCTTAGAGCAAATACAGATCCTGGCACCAATGGAAAACTTGGCCTCAGTCTCAGGGCTTGAAAATCTATTTGTCAGAAAGGTGATAATCATACTTGATTATTATCATTGAATTAACACTTTGGTTTAAGCTCCAATATGTGGAAAAGGAACACTGACACTCGTCAAAGATTCCTCCCAATCTGACATGCACAGGTCGTGTCTGACGGTGGAACTATGTAACTTGAGTCGTTCCCTTTCATATGTTTCATACAGATGATGCATGACTTTCTCGAAATTTGGGAAAGCCCACGATAGAGTTGACTCCATCTGCTGCAGACTCTTGCTAGCATTGCTGAGTTTCCCTCATACCTCATACAAACTCACATAAAAAGCAGCAAACTATACCTTTAAGTCAGATTGTTTGTAATCAAAAAGATTATGAGCCCATTACTTACTCATCTTAATACCTAGGAAAACATATTCTGAGCATAAAGGTCTTTTAAATTCTTTACCAGTACAGTATGATGTTCAGTTTATTAATTATGGTCCCATTTAGAGTAAAACAGACACTTAAATCTGGGGTCCAAATACCTTGTGATAGTAAAATTACTGCCACAGACTAGTAGACCAGAGGTACTTGCGTATTCGACATCTCGTCCAGATATAGTCACTGAATCTGATGCTTTAAAAACGCAGCTTTCTCTTCTTTAGAACGGAGTAGACGGATCGTTGTTGAGGAATCTTCAGGGAACTCTGAGTTAGATCCTGTAACTCTATCTTTCTATTTGGAGAAAAAGGTACATACAGAGCTCTTCCATCTACAATCAAACTGTCTGACTGTTTATCTTTTGTCTCTCTCTTCTTTTTGTCTGCCTCAAACATGGACCCACATGTTTCCCTCTGCTTTGTTTCTCTCTTTCTAAATAAAGCCTTCACTGTATGTATCCAGTTTCTCAAACAGAGAGCTCTTTCATGTCTCAGATGTATCTTAGCCGCCTGCCAGGCAAGCCATGAAGGCATTGCAGTAAGCCTAACATCTCTCTTAGATGAACTGCTGATGACACAGCTTAGATGCAGATGGAAAAGGCCCTAGGTTACAAAAAAACATCGCCCTTTTCTCTGCCTGCTCCCTCTTTTCTCTGTGAATGAGCGATGGCTGACAGCTTGACCACAAGTCACTGATTAGATACATCAAAGTTTCCCGGGCTGTGTGTCCCTTGTTCTGCTTCGTGTACAATAAATCACTCAGTCCTGACAGTGGCTGTGTGGTGTTTCTGATGTAGGTTTTCAAAGTTGGGCATGCCGGAAAATCACTGGCAATACTCCAGGGACGGCGATATCCGTCTCTAAGTAGGTCTGCCACTTTGTCAAAACTGAAATATGTCAACATCTGCCAGATGGATTGACATTATATTTTTAGCAGTTAAAGTTCCCAGATGATAAATCTTTGACTTTTGAGGTCCCATAAGTTTTTGTCCAGTGACACCATAAAGCGGACGTGAGTATTTACCTGAAACTCTGTCGACCAAAAACTTGACAGTCTGCACGAAGTGGAAATAATGCACATTTGTTTACGACTCTAAGTGTCCCTTCTTCTTTGACTTCGTGGTCATGGTGGGAGTAAATTATGACACCTGAAAAATCTCGTCATTTTACCACTGTACAGACAATAAGAGTGAAAATCTTGAGGGACATGAACAGCATTTTATATTGAAACAACATATTTGAAAACTCACAAGATACTGTTAGATAACATCATCAACTGTGCATCCATGATTTTAGTCTTCTGGGTTTCTGAGGAGGGATTTTGAAGGAAACTGAAGGCAGCCTGCCTATTGGAAATATTGACTCAACCCCACTTTTAGTCAAAATAAAATCTGATATAGACGTGGAGCTATAACTTTCTTGACAAATTCAAATCCATGCAGTCAGTATAAATAAAGATGGTAAACACTTTTTAAAACCATGGTGCAAGCATCTTAAATTTTGCTGCCATGTTTTAACATGGAGCCTAATGGGATTCCATGGCTTTAACAGCTAGCCCCAAGTGGACACTTAAAGAACTGCAGTTTCTGCACCTGCTGGATTGACCTCAGTTTTGCCACTGGAGGTAGCCACTTGGATTAATTGTTCATTTGCTTGCACTTCCTAGCAAACATCACCATTTAATAGAGATAAATGGTGCTAAAGCTATTACTGTTCTTCCAGCTGATGGATATTTTGACTAAGAAGAGCCAAGTCATAATGATACCGCCCACTAGATGGTGACGCTGCTGCATCACATCTTAGGAGTTTTCTTCTGGCACCCTGGCTAAAATTAGTGTTTGATGGTGATAAAGGGCACCGTATGGAAACAGCAAATTCCAAGTAATTGGCTAAGAATGGTTGGATGCACATGTTAGCTGCTTTCTAACCACAAAGTTTCTGTCTAGATTACATTAATCTTTTAGGGCTTTTGTCCACTAATGGCAGATTTTGCTCTAGCAAGGGCCTATTCACTCAACCAAAATCAATGTAATCAAGCTTTTTCCTCCTCCTGATCTCCAGAGGCCAAAAACATCCTTAGTCTGTAGGGCATTTTCAGCTAAAATTAATTAGTGCCAATAAAGGAAACCACTAGATATACACAGAAATTAAGTGTGTGGGAGCTGTAAGGCATAAAAAAAAATTAACACGAATGGACACAGGCTGTTTTATGACAAAAATATGAATTGTAAGCAATGCATTTCAATGGCAGTAATGTGAAACAGGAGCTAGTTTGAAGGTTACTTCAATATGTCTGTATGTTTGCATACTAGCAACATTTAGCTGAGACTCTGAACTTAGATGCTCACAATCACCCTTGTCTTTATAGGTAAGATGTTTGAATCTAGTTAAAATTGCTTAGGTCTGTTGTGTGGCCATGAAATCAACTACACTAACATTAAGTGAACATTCACAAATTTGAATACACTCCCAAGTAAATCTGTAATATATTCAAAACACTTGAGTTGTGTTAGCAGGCTAGTATTAGCAGTATAATACAGCTGCCTAAAGCACAGCCTTACAGCTCCAACAGATTTGTTAAAAAGCAAATATCAGGCAAACACTTGAATGTTCTCTCTGTAGTGCATCCATTTTAGGAAGACTGACAGCAAAGCATTTCATTACTACAAATTGAATAAATGTCTGTGTTTAACACCTGCATTGCCTTATAACCTGAAAGCTGCCTGCACTAAATGGCCTGTGAATTCCCCAAAGGGAAAGCCATCAGGGGAATGATAATCTCTCTGCTTGGTGTGTGGAGCAGGCTGTGCCAGGTGTTATTAGGGGGGGAAGGTTGCTCAGTCATGTGGCACAAGAAGGTCTGGCACTGGATTCTGTTTGAAAGAGGCCCAGAGCTCAACTTGGCAAACAAGCTCTCTGTAAAGTGTGGACGGATGGCACAGACACAGTTCTGACCTTCCTGCAAGGGCTTGGCCACTGGACTGACCCATTAGAGGGGAGATTCATGAGCAGCTCCCAAGTGAGGAAGCTACAGTTTACTGGAGAGCACATTAGCCCTTTTTTCTGTTGGCCCCTGTGTGGAAATACACTCTTCATGTTGCCCGGCATTGCTCGCCATGAAAGAGGGAGAACAAAGCCATAATTTTTTCCCCTCCTCATTGATTAAGTGCTTATAGCTGAGGCCTGTGATGCCGTCAGACAAAGACATCCTTGGACTATTAATAGAAAATCTAATCATCAAAGTGATGGACGGATAACGCCCAAAGAGCACCATTAAAACCATATCTATTACAGACAATATATGCACATGATCATAAAGTGTGGGATATAAAGCCGACTCGGTGCTGCACAGCTCATATGTGCAAATGTGCATTGGAAAAAGCATCTTTCGTATGCAGGCATCGTGCACGCGCAGCAGCAAAAAAAAATGGTGTCAACTTTCACAGTGAAGGATCCAAAAATAGACCCCCCTTTCCAATTGGGGATAACATTTGTAGGCACACAAAAGCCCATGATAATCTTTTCAATTTTAGGGAAGAGCAAAACAATTAAAAGAGAAAACACAATGGAACAATCTGTGACAGTGTAAGCACCCGCAGTGAAACAAAGGGAATTAGGACACTTTATGTGCCACAACAAATACATGCTGTGATAGGATAGTGTTAAGGGGTCTGGAGCCCCCCCCCCCCCCCCCCCCGGGACCTGGTTCTACTTTGTTGGGTTTTAATTGCATGGAAGCATCTTGATTAGGGGGAGGAATCTGACCGGGATGCCTGACCTTGTCTTTCACTTTGAAGCCTTTTGATAAAGATCGTCAAACATTTCTGCAGCAAAACAAAAGATTTGAAACCCTGAAATCCCCTGAAATGACCGTCTTTATCAACAGGGCTTTCATTAGAACACAAAACACATGATGATGTCTTACGTTCGTGAGGTCAACTGACTCGAAACACTTTCATGCTTTTACCACGATAGAAAATCCTTTGATATGCTTATTTTCAACATCTTAAAAATACTAAAATTGCTTCAAAGACGACTCGAAATAATTCTGAGTGGCACATGAAACTGTCCTGACTTTTCAAATTGGATTCCCTCTCACAAATCTTCACTCAGCCACCTAAATCAATGGCACCTCTCCTCTCTCATACGTGTTTAACCCTCGCCGAGGTTATTGGGGACACGCATCAGTGCTTGTGTTCTCCCTCTGGCTCCGACTGGCAGTCACATCATAGATGACGCCTCAACCGCTCAGCGCTCCTCTACCCGCTTCCCTTGCTCTGTCTGTCTTTTTGTCTCCCTGCTGCACACCTTCCACGCGTGCACTAATCCGCGTCAATGAAAATATGAATTTAAAGATTTAAAAAATAGCTCAAATTAAAAGACAAAGTATTTTCTAAAAGCTGCCAATGCATGAAAAACATTGCTGCGTTTCAGACACATTCGACAGCACCGGTTGCACAAACAATACTGTAATTACTGTTGTGACAGTCAAACAAAAAGCTTCAGAGGTTGAAGACCTTCAGCACGAACAGCGAGGAAGAAGCGCTCCATGGCAACCGGGTTGTGTGAAAATTGTTCATTAACTTTCGTCTTGTTGTCGTTAAATGTTTCTTCTACCTTTCCAGCTAATAGTCCAAACATTTCTCTGTTCTGATGCCAGATATCAGCTTCGTTTTGGCCCCTTCATTGTCACCACAAGTGATAAATGTGAAGGGGAAACACAACTTTTCTTCCAGGAAAGAGATGATGCACATTATTATCAGCATCATACTGGTGTCAGCGGATAGGAGATCAAAATGCTAACTACTGCCAACTGCAGACATGAAATTTTCCAGAAAGATGATGCATTAATTATGCACACACAACGACTGCTTAGCATGCTCACAGCGAGATTCAACATGTTGGCTGCATGGAAGAGCACAGGTGACAATTGGAGGACTGAATCATACATGCCAAGAACCAAAAAGGAAGATTGAAGACATGCAAGAAGCAGGAACAATCTGTCAGCAACCTTAACTTCAGTCATTCCACAAACGTGAGAAAGAAACCAACCAAAAAGTGAAGAAAACCATTAAATTCACTCCACTTGGCAACCGGCCTTGGCCCGAATAAATTTTAAGTGAACAGCATATGATACAAATTTGCAAAAATCCTTTATCTTGCCTTTGTTTTGGTTATAAAACTCTAACGAACTCTGCAACAGGAATACACAATAAAAGTGGCCAAACAACACATTCTAGGTCTCGTCCTATACATCAAACCACCAGACGCTCAAGGCAAGCTGCAAGTGAAGAAATAAATCTGAATCCATAGGGTGCACTTGCCCAACTGATGCCAAACCAATGCAATACGCCTGAATATGTAGCCCTGCAGACTGCAACATCAGAGACATGCAGGGGTGAAGCAAATTTTGCTCAGCTGGAAGCAGAAGCTGCAAGAAGGTGTAAGGCGCAACACTTTCCAAACGCATCATTTTTGTAGATACAAGAATAACATGTGACCACAAAATTAAAGGTGGAAAGTTATTCAGCACCATTTTTACAGGACCTGTAGTTGTTGGTGTTGTAAGGCTGATATTCTGGTCATATGATGTGTTTAAACTACTCATCATTAGCTAAGGAAGTCGCTTTGGTTAAAGGTGATTACTACAGTGTAATGATGCTTTTCTACCTGGATGTAAAACAGTACAGATAACAGATCTTAGAAATGGAGATGGAGTTGTAGGTCGGCTATGACTGGCCAAATCTAACCACTTAACAGATGCAGGAATGTTAGTTAACCTGCAAAGGTGACCCTCAGCTGGTGGTGCTAGCTCTGCTGTTGGTAGTGATGCTCATTAAACTAGTTTGACATTAATGACCTGCAGACTCACTTATCCTGTGTTTGACTGTTTCTTTTTGTTTGTTTGTTTGTTTGTTTGTTTAAATAGGAGTTTCTTACCTTTTGACCATGAGGCTGCTCAGGATTTAAATTTTCCTTTAAAAGACTAGGAAATTATACTAATACTGAGATATACAGAAATATAACAATATTAACAGCTGTAGAAAAGAAATTAATATCTGAGGAAGGAAAGGTAAGGACCCAAGCCTTATTTGGGGTTCCCCTTTCCTTCGCATGGCCCAACAATAGCATGGCATGCAACTAGGGGGCAAGGGAACAGATCCCTAAGGATCCAGGACCTGGAATGACTGAGACAGATGTACAGTGGATTCTTGATGAAGCTGTCTCCTGGCTGCACATGACACACAGCCCAGTTAGCACATAGCAGCCATGCTCTGAAGTAAATCCCATCAGGGTTTATCTAATAAACAGGGGAGCAGAAGTCATGATGCACCAGTCTTATAATGTACATACGCATTATTTTATCCTACTTGAGGCTGTGACCAGGGTTTCCTCCAGAAATCAGGGTCTTTCTCCAGCTAAAACGTTTTTAGGCTTTCAGAAGTCATCAGGTGCATTGACACCTACTAAGAAAAACCAGAAAAACCTAACAGCTAATTTTGCAGATGGTTTCAAACATCCAGATCATTAACTAGTAAATCTGAACATCCCCTGAGTCTTCATTAGGGTTAAATATCCTTAAAGAGGGTGAATGCCATCCATATTTCAATTGGGTCTAAGCCAGAGATTAATTCAACACCCACAAGGAAAATAGCGCACACATTTGGCTCTGTATGGATCCAAGCACACCATGAGAAGTGCAGCAAGTGAGCTGCATTGCAACTATGTGGGTTACAGTTAATTTCAGTGAGTGCACGACCTAGAGCTGCAGGGATGCTGGTGACCTAACCTCGCTGTGGTCAGCCACAGTGCCCACAGGAGGGTCCAGGCAGAGACACACTCAGATAAGCAGTGTTTACTGTAGCCTGCACGTGGCTTTCACACCTCTGCGGCCATGCAGGGCTGCAAAATACATTCAAAGTTGGAGCAGAGGTTGACAAAAAAGGAGCACGGATACTGTCACTGCAGCTTATTTCTACTTAAGAGCGCACACAGCACACACTGACACAGCACGGAATGAAATGTCATGGGTTTAAACGGCTCTCTGAAGCAAACTTGTGCTCCAAGGTGGAGAAATCCACTCGCACACGCATGCACAAAGCAGCCTGCAGAAAGCATGCAGCAGCGGTTTGCATCATGCCCCCAAATTTAGGCAGGATGTGAGGACAGCCGGAGGGAGATTGACGAAAAAAACCCGATCCCACCTTTAAGACACTAGGTCGTGCAAAAAATAATAGCATGACTCTGCTTATTGCACCCCACCCCTCCTCCTCCTCCTCTTCCTCCTCTCTGGTCTCAGGAACGCAGGACAAGCCCTTTTCCCCGCATTCAAGGCGTAGCGGCGCAAAAATAATGTGAAGGACACCCCGCCTCCCCCCTTCCCTCTTCCCCTCACCTGGCATATCGTCTTCAAAATCCATGTCGTCCTGTCCCTCGTCTTCATTACTCAGCGACCCCGGCATCTTTATCTCATAGCCCCCAAACCCCTTTTAGGCTGAGAATACTGAAAGTTAACCCTCCAGACGCCGCAGCCCAGGCTCTTTCTTCACCCAAAAAAGAAATCTAATCCTCGCTCTGTTAATTTTTTCAAATTTTAATTTTTGTGCACTGAATCTTGGGCTTTCTCTCCAGGACTAAAAAATTAAAAACATGTCTTTCTTTTATTTTTATTCCACTGATCTCTATCCAGGTCTTCCAGTCTGAAAAATAAGAAAGACAAAAATGGAACACACATGCCCAGATTGTGACGTCTGGTCTGTTGCCATGACGATGCATCCCATAATTTCACCCACAACTAGTTAGTCGTGCTCTCCTAGTTACCACTTTAACTAGTAGTGTGCAAAAAAAATAGAAAACGGCGTGCAGAAGCGCCATGTGCACCGGTATTAGACGGATAGAGTCCCGCGCCTGTCGCCTTTGGAAGTCCGGAGAATAGAGACAGAACTTTCTACTGCTGCTGCTCGGTTCACTCACCGCCTGTACTCCACTAATAGAAACACATATTCATTTTAAAGGGGACATTTTTTTTTCCCTTTTTTTATCAACGCCGAAAATTTACCCAGACTCTGCTTTACTGAGCGTCTACTTTCCTCCACAAACCCAAAAAATAAAATAAAAAAAGGATAAGATACAGACAAGTGCCGGCTGATGGCTGCCTGCTGTGTGAGGAGTCCTGCCTGCCTGTGGTCTAACTGTTGTCAAGGTTACCACAGCTGTAGCACAGGATGCCCCACAGAGAGCTCACATAGAGAGACAGAGTTTCAACTTCACATTAAAGCTCCAAAATACACAAAACCAGAGCTGCGAGTGTCCTGACTGCACTTGAGCTCCTCCTGTGTTTTTGTTTAGCCTGTTAAATATGACATTTATTTAATTTCTAACACCATCAATATACAGCATCTATATCTTATTTTAAATTTTTCTGTCATATATAATTCTATGTATAAATACAATTTAATTTGATTTGCCTTGATTCAAAGGTTCAAATACAGACAAAAGTAAAATAATAATTCATTGACATCCAATTGAGAAAATAGTGTTTTAAAAATTATTTTGAAGTTTTTGAAGGAGAAAACATCACCGATACCAACTTAAAACTTCTGCGAGTATATTTCAGATTGTGTCGATTTTGGCGCCCCCTGTCGACATAACTCTGATTTGTTTATTTTGTTTCTTATTTCATATCTAAAGGGATATTAGCCACTCTATAGCCACAAATAATGCTCAGAACAGCACCTAACTTTATCAACAGTACATATAGGGTCCCAGCCATGGTACTAGCCACTAATCATCTTTTTAGCTTTGCCTGATTTCCTTAGCAGAGAGACTAAACACAACACACCCACTCTCCTCCAGCAGCTGCTTGTTTGTGGGAGAGCTCAGACGAGTCGATCACCGACTGCAGCGGGTTGACGCAGCTCAAGGAACAACATTTATGATAATTTCTTCATGGAAATGCAACCAGACTGAGATGCTAAGGCAGAAGAACTACTGTGTCTGCAGTGAAAAATGGTTATTATGATGATTATTTCTTCAAGGAAATGATAAAGTAATGATCATAAATGTTCTTCCTTGAGCTGCGTCCCCCCCGCTGCAGTTGGTGATGGACTTGTTCAAGCTCTCCCTACAAACAAGCTGCTGCTGAAAAAGAGTGGGTGAGTTGTGTTTAGTCTCTTTGCTTAAGAAATCAGGCAAAGCTAAAAAGATGTTTGGTGGCTAGTTCTATAGCTGGGACCCTATATGTACTGTTGATGAAGTTAGGTGCTGTTCTAAGCATTATTTGTGGCTATAGAGTGGCTTTTTGGTTGAGGTGTGCACGTGGTTCATAGACCGCTGTGTATTGCTATCGTACGGTCATTACCAAAGTTGGCATAACTAGAGAAGCAAGCGGTCGGCAACATTAATCTCTCAGGGGAGGGGGCAAACCAGTGTTACAGTGTGTTTGATCATAACTTAAATTTATACCACAACATCCCTTTAACTCGTGTCTTCTCACAAAAAATGTCCTGTTGTCTTAAACAGTCAAATGTATCATATATTGTGATTATTTTACATGTAGAATACAAAAACAGCTGCTCGGCTGATACCTACCCTGGCTGACATTTTCAATATAAAACAAAGGCATGTCTGAGATTTCAAATTTACAACTACTGTTGTATGAAAAATATTGGTCTCTAATTAGTTATCAGAAGTTCAGAACATTTGTCTAACACATCTTGGTTGATCAGTTGTCGCTGTACACAGTTCAATGTTTGGCTCTGATTGGTATCTAACAAATGTGTTATACGTGCGACCCGGAGAGCAAAATTAAAGGTTAGTTCAGAGAAAAAACACAGCGATTCCTTTTCCATTTTGAGTTTTTATTAAAAGTAGTGTCAGCTCTAATCTTCCTCCTCCTCTTCTTCGTCCTGGTTGATCTGGAAGTAGCGCAGCTCATAACTCTCTTTGGTGTTGGCCACAACTCGCAGCCAGTCCCTGAGGTTGTTCTTTTTCAGGTACTTCTTGGTGAGATACTTCAGGTACCTGAAGGAGAAGAGAAGACAGAAAATACAGTCAGATTTATCCTGTATTCACATTCAACCTAAGTCCATAATTCAAGGTACTGGAATTATTCGAGGGATTGTTTCAGCCCTGCATCAGACTCAGCTTAAAGACATTCAGTTGAGCAGCAGAGGCTGGTTAATTAATCAAGAAATAACATGCAAACTGTTGTGTTAAACCATAATACTGTGAAAAAGAAAAGTATACAAATGTTTGTTGGAGTGTAAGTGTGAATGGCTGTCTGCTGACACCTGTATGTGATGATGAAAGTTTAAGATAAGTATTGGAATAGATAAAGTTTGTAATATTTCAAACTCTAGATTTGAGTTTGATCCAAAATATAGATTGTCTAACAAACCACTCATAATCAATATCAACCTCGAAAAACATATATTGGATAACCTAAACACACTATTTTTTTACTGAAAACAGATTAGGCCAGTATCGTGCATCATACTGTGCAGAAATGAGAGTTTGTATGAAAACAGGATACTGGACTAATCAACTTTCTCATGCTCTCTATAGGTAAAATCAAAGTGCAGCAAACCTGTAATAAGCTTCAGGTGACATTTATCAATACAGTCAGATACTGTTTATCTATAGTTAACAAAGTAAATACATGTTTTCTATTCATAATCCACCCACCTTTCAGTAATGAACTGAGAAATATCATGTTCATATTTATGTGTTCACTAAGATAAGCAAAGACATAAAATCATAACGGTGTTTACTCTGCCCACACTAACACTTTGTGTTTTTATTGCTTTTGAAAATACTGGAGAAAATGTCGTACTGTAGTCTAATTGCTTAAGACTCGTGAGCTGTACTAATTGATGCCTCTGTTGTTCTCATGTTATATTCATAAACACTGCTTTTAAACACTTCTGCTCATAATTTTAATGACTTCCTGTGTTTCTGAGTCAAATTTTCAAGGTCATGCATTCATTGGAATGCCTGTGTACACATGAACACAATTTAAAATCCACTTGTAGGTATATCTTCATTAAAATGTTGAATAAACATTGAGGTTTGATAAGAGATATTTATGAAAGTACGATGTTTATAGAAACCACATATATGGTATTATTTAGGTATTTGTGAAGGAGTTTCCATAACTTTTCCAAAACTTTCCTACAATTTCCAAAACTATTCCAGACCTCTTAATTGCTTTTTTGATTCCATGCCTTTTCCAGGTTATTCCTGCACAAACTAATCTTGTTTTTTTTTTTTTTAGTCTAATTTTTTTTTTTAACTCACATGGACCTCAGTGCTTTAAATAAATAAACAAGGTCATATCTGTGGAGGTATCCATGATCAGAGCAGTATCTGCCTGAAACTTAACTGTTCTAGTATCAGGTGGTGCAGTTCTGAATAAAAGAGTTAGAGTGAGTCCCCCTCTGGTGGTGGTGGTGGTGGTGTTTAAAACTCAGGTTGACACAGTTTGAAGTTTTCCATATTAGATGTCCTTTTAATTTTCTCTCTATTTGTGAAAAGATTTTTTTTCCTGACACCAAACTTTAAAAATTAAAGAAAAGGTTTATAAGTCTCATTAACAAAATAAAACATGAAGTAAAATAACCAGCCAATATGTCTGTTTACTTTATTACCCTAATAATATTAACTGTGACCACCCTTCCTCTCTTCCTCTCCACTTAAATTAATTCCTTCAAAAGTGTCACAAATTTTTCTTTGGTGGGCTTGGGTTTTAGTGTTATATTGTTGTTAAATGTTGTTTTGGCATGTAAAACTAATCAGAGCTTATATCTGATAGTGTTTCAAGCTGTAACTCTGTGTAATTAGCAAAAAAAAAAAAAAAGAAGAAGAAGCAAGGAAATTAATTTGCTTTGAGGCTTTTTACAAGTCCATGTAGTGCAGTAATTTCAGGAACATCACTCACTAGTGGATAGCAATAACAACACAATAAAACCACCTGCTGTTTCAAACTAATGCAACTTCATATTGTAGGAATTCTGGTAAAAGTTGCCCAGGTAAGAGAAACTGGTACTTTGAGCTATTAAGAGCTAAATCACAGAATGAATTGATGAGCTCTGAGTTGTTTTTTTGTACCTCTTTGAGAAGGGGACTTCAGAGTTCACTGCGATTTTACTCTTGCTCCTTTCGATGGACACCACACCACCTCCGAGGTTTCCAGCTTTTCCGTTCACCTTGATGCGCTCCTGCAGAAACTGCTCCTGTAGGTGCAGAGGAGACAGGAAGTCACACACAGCAGGGGGTGAGATACAACACAACAAAGTCAAGATGATATCTGATTTCGTCCGCTCACAAAGTTAGCTGCATCCATGATGCCATCCTCCACAGGGTGGGTGCAGTCCAGGGTGAACTTCAGGATCTGCTTCTTCTTCTTCCCTCCTGGTTTCCTCACCAGCTGCTTTTTCTATCAGAGTCACAGAGGCTTCATCAAACTCTTACAGTCATGACAACATATGTGACCTTTTAACAGGTAAAGATAACGTTCAAACAACATGACAATAAAACAAAAGTACGTGTTTGCATAAGTGTGACACCTCTTTGTATTAAGACTCCCGTATGTCTAAACTTCATCCAGGTGTGTCAGGTTACCTACTGCTAGCTGTTAGCATCACATTTAACACACATCCCAACGTGGTGTCAGCCGACACAGTAAATAAACTACCGGAAGACGTTAAAAACTCCCAGAGTGTTGTGTTTCTGTAGATTGATAGCATATATTTCTTTGAGTGGAAAAGCCAGGTGTAAATATATCAAAAAAATGCGGTTAAGTTTGCAGTTCAGACACTTACGATCGGAGCCATAGCTGTCACATTTAGCAAAAAGGAAGAAGCAGGGCTGCGCAGGACGTTTAATCACCGGCCGCTAAACAGATCGCATCGATTTATCTGGAATCGAATAGACTAGACGTGTAAAAATACAAGACGCCGGTTTAATGCTACACCGTTTTTAAGTGACAAATAAAGGTAATTAGACATGTTTGTTTGAAAAAAAATGAATATTTATATTATAAGACAAGTACCATGAGGCAGCAAGTGTTGAAACAGTTGAGACTTTTTTTTTTTGTATTTACAGACAAATTGTCAAACTTTTGACCATGAAACTCAATTTAAAGTGACTCACTATGATACAACTGAACCTCTCTGTTGACATTAACCCTGCACCCCTGGTTTAAAGGACATCCATCTAACTTTTTTTTTTTTTTTTCTATTTGAAGGGATTTTGTCCACCTGAATAGTCCAGATTGAAGTTAGTGAATAATTTTGATCAGTGTTTCTTTCAGTGTAGGCGATTTCTCTTGTATAAAGTCACACTTTACAACACAAGAGTTCAGTGTAAGTTGTGTTGCTGGCAGGACAATGAAGCTGTCATTGTTTACATCATAAATGTTGATTTTGTAAAAGCTGTGATTTGTTGTTGACTCAGAAAGAGAGAACATATGGCTGTTTTCTAACTTTACAGGTGTATTTCTTATGATTTTGGCACTTTTCTTGTTCTTCACCTTAGTTCTCCTGGCAATAAGGTGGTCAGCTAACTAGCTGGGAGACACAAAGTTCATTAAATGCTTGTATAAAATATTGAAATGCAAGTATATTTAATGAACATATGTCAAATAATCTGAGCCACCTCTAAACAAGCTAATACATCTGCAGACATCCAAGAAGTTATTAGCCTACATATCTTTTAGTCAAAGCTTAAAGTTTTTATTTTATTGTGTATATTCAATTATGTTTTCACTTACTTCGATTGGCCGACTCCACAATAGTTCCACTTCATTTTGTTGCAGTAATGTTTTCCTCTGAGAATTAAAAGGGGTAAAGTTTTATTTTACATAATTAAGACGGCCATGTTGCCGTTTTTGCACCATTACATCACTGAGCTTCATTATCTGGCTTCTACTAAACACATTTCACTAAACGTGTTGAATGTGACCAGTAAAGTATTTCACTTGGAGTCTCATAGCAGGTTCACAAATTTGCAGCTCTGGAAGTCCCACCCCTTCCCCTCCTTTAACCCCCTCCTCAGACTCCAAAACACAACATCAGTGTGACATTACAAACATGACGGCTGTATTTTTAATCCGTGTGGAAGAGCAATATGAAATGTCCCTGTTGCTCTCTGGCAGGTCTCTGGGGACTGGCATGAGGTGTGTGCAGTCAGCTGTCTGGCGGAGGGACCCCATCGGCCTACTATTGAAGAGTTTCTGCATTGCTGCCATTCCTGCAGGGAGTAGCTGAAAGCAGCAGTGTAAGGTAAGACAGAGGCTGAGTGTGCGATCTGAAGAGTCGCCTGTTGCGTTTACAGTAAGATTAGTTAGCAGGTGTTATCCTGCTGTCTTTGAACTTATTCTTTTGCCATATTTGGATTGTGTGTCGTCTCTGGAGACCTGAGCTACATTACACATCTAACAAGGTAAGATAAAAACAGGGTATTTTAATGATTGTGACTGTCTTTATCATAATGTTTCACATCACAGTCAGTCAGTCAGTCAGTCAGTCAGTCCCTCTTATAGTAAATGGAGCATTTAAACAATAAAAAGTAGTAAAAAGTTGTGTAACTTTTTTAATCTAGTGATACTCACCATGCATCATCATCTACACCCTCTGTTTGTAGATGGCAGGAAACATCTTCCCCAACCTGGATAATCTGTGTAACGTGGATTGCAATAACATCCACCCTCTGGTGTGTCACCTATGCAATGAGCAGTATCAGTCCCCGTGTTTGCTGGACTGCTACCACATCTTCTGTGCGCGCTGTCTGCGAGGCCGGACCAATGACAGCCGCCTCAGCTGCCCCCTCTGTGGGTAAGAAAGTGCACAGTGACTTTGATGACAATGAGGAGTGTTTAAGGCTGCGTGTAATGCAGTGGTTCTCAAGTCCAGTCCTCAAGGCCCACTGTCCTGCATATTTAGGATGTTTCCCTGCTCCAACACACCTGATTCAAATGATCAGCTCGTTATCAAGCTCTGTAATGGCTTGATAACGAGCTGATCATTTGAATCAGGTGTGTTGGAGTAGGGAAACATCCAAAACATGCAGGACAGTGGGCCTCGAGGACTTGACTTGAGAACCACTGGTGTAATGAGAAATAACAGCAATGGGAAAAAAAATATAGAAGTTAATTGAAGCATTTTAAAGGCCATTGGGATGGAAGACAGAAACTTTGGTCTTTCCCGGTCTCCCCTTGATTTGTAAGATCTGCCTGCATCCTGTATTAGCACTTTGAAGTATTTTTCAAGTCACAGTGGAGAGGAAAAACTTCCATTAGCAGGCAGACACCTGGAGCAGGACCAGACCCATCTTTGACAGTCATCTGCCGAGACTATTTTAAAATTTGAGAGGGGATAGAGGGAGATGCAGAGAGATGGTTAAAGTGCTAAAAATAATGGAGTAAGTTTAGTTAATTTATTGGTGTCTTTTGGCTTCAGTGATAAGTATAGCTGAGTGTCGTCTGCATAACTTTTGCATTTTTGGATTGTTTCCTCATTAAGGAGGCATTAAAAGAGGCATGTGTAAGGTGTAAGGGATTGGCCCAAGCACTAAATCTTGAGGGACTCCAAAACTTATATTTTTGTGCTCAGAATGCAGATTTTCTTTAACTATGGAAACGTTCATTAAATCTTATTTTCCACTTATTTTAGTTAACTGAACCTTTCCTTATCTGGCAACACTTGTTTTAAAAGTTCTTTGGGTACTTGTGATTGTTTTTAAATAGCTTTTTTAAAATTTTTCCAGTAAAAAATACTTAAATGTTATTTTTAGTTCTGTCTTTGAGAGATATCTGCTGCAGTGTATTCAAATTTCAAGGAAAAGCTGTTTGTTTGTGTATTCATGATGGTACATAACTATCCAAAATAAATTGTTCTGAGGCAGAAATGGACACTGTATGGAGCATTTTGTTGTTCATGTGGGATATTCTGGCTAGGTTCTCAGACCTATGACAGTCAGTCTGAAACAAACAGTAAATATGGAAGTCATAAGTCACTGAGTTTGATTTCATAATGTTGTGAAATAATCAAGTGATCTTAAACTGTTCGAGCATTAATAAGCTGTTTTATTTCCCACTCAAAAAATACAGTTTTGTTCCCCCCATGCTGAGATCTGAATAGATCCTTGTTGGTTTTAAAGAGCATCAGTTCTCTGTTGTGGTTCTTCTGGAGCGACTCAGTGACCCATGGGTCTGGGGAGGGCAGAACTGAGTGGCTGGAGCAGCTGCGGGGTCGTCCCTGTGGCTCTGAGTTCCTCTACGACCAGTCACCCTGCAAACAAAGCAAACTGGTATTTAGCTGAGGTGCCAGCAGCTTAGAGCAATCAAAAGCAGTCACATGACACCAATCCATTTCATCCCCTATTAAGGACTGACACGTGTCTGAACAGTCACCTTCAGGTCTGCAGTGTTAACTTTACCACCATCACAGCCCGTAGAGGGATGCATAGAAATAGAGCTGTGGTCACATCAGGAGTATTTTTACTGAGTCAACAGGACCAGGAGGAATTTTCACTTTTTCATGCACGTGGTTCAGCTTCATTTATAGATTGGTTTTATTATGTAAGAGGTCTATATGTGCTGTGTGGTCCTATAAAAATACACTATATGAAAATGAAACATAATATTCATCTGTAAGGCCACCATTCTCAGCTCCTGACTCTGGGACAAAGGTACAGAGTCCTTTGTGTGAAGCAACAAAATTATGGAAAAATCATAACTGGTGGGAACACTTTAAAGTCATTCAGACACTTCCTACTGCACAAGAAAAAGACCTTAATATGTTTTCAACACACTTTAATTTTCATCATTAAGAGCCTGTTTCAGTCCTGTCATGTAGCTGATTGTACCTTTTTTTAATCACGTCACACATGTGGGTGTGTTCATATCTGTGTCTTTTGGTTCTTTAGTACAAAATGAAGTGTTATACTTTGTGTTTATTACAGCTGGCTGCATACGAAAGGTAGACAGTGGTATGTTTTCTATTCTATTCTATTCTTTTATTCTAATCTATTTAATCAGTTCCTCTCTATTCTTGTTACTACCATCTATTTTATTCTTTTCGATTTATTCTATTCTATTGTTGTCTAGTCAATTCTTTGCATGAAACCTTACTCTATTCTATTCCACTCTGCTCTATCCAAAACTGTCTGTTCTAATCTATTAAGTTCTATTTTATTTAGTTCTTTCCAATCCAATAACTATTATCTATTCTATTCTATTCAGTTCTCTTGAGTTCTTTTTAAAATTTTATTCTTGTAAATTCTGTTCAGTTCTGTTCTTTTCTATTCATTTCCTCCCCATTCTATTCTAATTAGTTCTATTCTTTTTTTAGTTTTCTTTAATCATGTCATTTCATCCCACACAACCTTGCCCTATTCAGTCCTAGTGTAGTACACTATTTTTATTCCACTTTATTCCTTTTATTCAACATTACTTCATTCATCCCAATCTATTGCTTTCCATTCTACTCTACTTCATTAGTTTCCATTTGTTTTATTCTACTCCAATCTCTTTTTCTCATCTGTATCTACTCTACAGCTCACTAGCCATCTTATTCTAAACTTCATTCTATTCTATTCTATCACAGTTGATTCTGTGTCATATGTGCACATGAAATACAAAGAAAGTTGTACTACAGTAAAAACACTCCTGTCGTGTCAAGTTAAAGAAAAATGTCTGGTCCTGCAGGTTAAAATTTATTGCAAGTCACATCCATCACTGCAGGTTGTTTCTATTATTGACAACTACCATGTGTCATTTTCCCACAAATATACATATTTACATAAAGAATGGTAATGAGTCAGGAGTAAGATTAAAAACCTCAGACTTTTTATTAAAAAGTTCCATACTTAACTCTTTCATGCATCTCTTTGCACTTTTGTTGTTGATGCTGGTGATGGTTTAGATGACAGTGGCATTGATGATTATCATACTGACATTGATTAGGATTTTTATGATGCTTTTGGTGCCAGAAGTTCACTTATGTTGTTTTCTTCTGTCCAGGTCTTGGTCAATTTTACTCAAACTCTTAGATGTGTGTTGCTGTAGACTGTAACATTCAAACATTAGTCATTGAGTTTGAAGTACCAGCAGAACAACGTGACCTAGACACTAACAGATAACTGAGTTTGAAAATGGAGCTAACTTTAGACTCTGACCACCATGCATGCATTTACTCACTGAGTACAAAGGTGAAGAAGGCAAAAGAGTAAAATACTCAATCGCAGTTTAAAAAAATATCACTCATGAGGCTCTTCAGATTTTACGCCTGCTTCTTCCTGAAAGTGTTTATTTCTCTACAGTAATTTTGAAATAATGACAACTGTCTCTCCAAATGCTGCTGCTTCACCAACAGCTGATTTTGTACATTAAAACAACATAACAGACATACATGCACAACATGTACTGCCTTTCAATAATATGCGATATATTTGTGAATTAATCATCTTTTTTAGCTGGTCAAATTCCTGTTATTCAAGGTGCATCATACTGAGAAATGAGAGGGAAAAACCCAGGTAATAATATGTTTTCTGGGAAAACAGCTCAGCGTGCACAGAGCTGCTGTGCTCTGGTTACACAGGCTGACTGCCTGGGAGCTACTATTTCCATCAGGCAGCAGCAGCAGCCTCCTAACAGCTGCTCTCTCAAGTACTGTGTAATCTAGGAATTCACTACTCTGCTATTAGTGGAACACAATGAAGCCCCGTCGCTATGAAAACCAGATAAACCATGCATGGCACAAACAGCCTGGGAACACTTGGGTCACTGCAGATGAATGAAAACAGCAAACAGCTTCATGTTCCATCTGCAGGTTTGAATGTGCCAAAGAAAAACCTTCACAGCTCAGATTAAAGGGTCATTTCACATCAGTTTGAACTTGATGTGAAATGACCGTTTGAACTTATTTTGAACATATCAGATCTGTTACTGAGTTGATTTTATTCAGCAAAATCTGATCACTTCATTCACTACAGAAGATTCTCTTTAAGATTTAATGATCATGTGAATGTGCTAAAGGAGCCGGTAACTTGTTTTCATTTTATTTATTACCGAGTAAAATCTGCATTTCTTTTTTGAATGACAAGATATAGACTTCTCAGGATAAACTTCAAATTATGTCAAATCAACAATATGCCTGTTTGTTTAAATTCAACCTAATGTCTTAAACTCTCAGTTTTTAAAGAAATAGCATCGGGGCATCAGCTTTTAAGTGCAGTACTTGACTTCTGCGGTTTCAGAAATGTGTGCGTCAGTCTGTTGTAGGAGATGCAGCAAACAGCTTTGTTGTGTTTAATGTGCAGATTTTGTGTACAAATATCGACCACTGCGTGAGCTGACTAAAACCCAAGAACTGTTTTTTCAAATTCATCTCACACTTTTGTTCGTCACCTTAGGTTCATCTGTTGGGTTTAATTTAAAGCTCTCATTAGAAGTTTTTTTATGTGGCAAAAATAGACCTAATATTAGGCAGTACTATTAATACCTCTTTATGATGTGATAGTTGTAATATTGTAATTATTTATGCCTGAATCGAGAGTGAGGGTGTCAATACTAGCTGCACAGCTGCAGAAATGACTGTTTTTACCATTTCCACATAAAATATTCACAATGAATGAAGTTTACTTGGCTTTTAATTTTATAAAACCAAAAAAGGGTCCACTTGATCTGTCATACTGTTGTTTTAAACTAGATTTTTTAAGATATTGAGATATACATTTTGTATCGTGATATCACATGAAAATATATCAATATCTGTAATCCATTATATTTTGTATTATTATTATTATTATTATTATTATTTTATGATGAGCTCTTAATCAATGATTGTATTAAAGCACAAATGTTGGGTGCAGCTTTTAACCTGGGGAAATGATACATGTGAAAAACTGATAAACTGATCTCAGCCCTTCTATATTAAAACTGTCAGTGACAATTTTTTTAAGAATCACCTGAACAAAAAAGATCAACTTCAGCAGAATCTATTTCAGCATGTCTCTGATTATGAACAAGTACAAGTTGTTTTTACGTGAGAGGAAAATTCTGAAAAATTCAATAAAAGTAATGATTATTCCAAACACAGAGCTAAATGATCAGTTTGGACACTTTATTTCTATTCTGTTTTGTTTACAGGTGTCAAAAAAGATGAGTTTTTGGTCCTGCCAGAGAAAGAAATGATATTTAGAGGCAACAGAGCACCATCTTCTGGGATGCTGTGAGAATGCAACAAAGTGTTTGAGAGATAAAGGAAATATCTTTGACAGCTTGTGCTGCTCATAAGTTACTGAAGTACTTCTTTTTCTGTATTTTTAGTGTAAATATAAACTTAAATTTCCCCTCCCAGACTAACGATAACTTAAAAAATGCCACCAGATATCAAGCCATGTAAAAACAAACTGGGACTTTGAAACATTTACAACTTTGAGTCCTCTCAGCTGTGGTTTCTGTACTTTATCATTATTCTCCGTCCTGGTATCCCTCAGTCTTCATGTCATTCAGGCCCAGGTCCTCATTCTGCTCAAACGTGCGGGTGTACTTCTCCACGGACATCTCAGGATCTGGATCAGGTGCATACACATTCTGAAGGTAGCTGTTTCCTGCCGGGTCATCCAGGACAAAGTGGACTTTCATTTCTCCAGCTATGACCTTGTCCAGTGTCTCTCCAAACTCCACCAGTTTCTGTGTGCGGTCTGAGCTGCCACTGTCCCCGCACACAAAGGGGTTTCTGGACACAATCAGGTCTTTGACATCCTTCAGGAGCCCCTCCAGAGTGGTGAATTTCCCACCAAGAGCCGCCATCCCCAGCTCAAACTCCAGCTCGGGGATCATGATGGAGCAGGTCTCTGACTTGAGCACGTCTCGGGTCATGTCTGAGGGGTCAGTGATGTTTAGGGTGATTTTGGTGCCCAGCTCCTCAGTGGCCCCTCCAGACTTCACCTCGTTGGTCCGGTGACCACAGCTGTCGCAGTTTGTTGCCATGATGATGACCTCCTTGAAGTGCGGGATCTGGACCAGCTTCATGTTGGTGGAGGCAGGTGCGTTGCATTCTGGGCAGTTTGTATCAAAGACCAAAACCTCATTCCTCATGGTGTCCAGGTCATTTAGAGCTGGCTCTTTGTCGAAGTCGTCATCAGCTCGTATTCCCAGCATCATGTCCTGCTGCGCTGACCGGGTGAAGCGGGTCACTGTGAGATCCTCATCCTTTTGGGGGGCCAATGGATTCTCCACAAAACTGTTCCCAGATGGATCCTCAATCACCACAGTGAACTCATCCTCCACTTCTTTTAATTTCCTCAGTTTCTGGATGAATTCCTCAATCTTCTCGGCCACCTCAGGGTCAGTGGCTCTCCTGATGGGCTGGTCTTGCTCCAGTCCTGCGACAGCCCGGTCCAAAAGCCCCTCAATGGTGGACAGGGCACCTTTCTGGGTGAAGGGAGGGATTTCAAACTCCAGCTCAGGGATCCTTGTTGTAGCGCTATCTGCTTTGACCACCTCCCGGTTTAAGTCCTGTTTAGACTTCACTTTGAGTGAGTAGGAGACTCCCTGATCCTGGATACGCCCTGCGGACTGGATCTCTGTGTCTTTCCAGCTGCAGTGAGGGCAGCTGAATGAGCTGACGATGATTTCTTTAAAAAACGGGATTTTAGTGAGCAGTAAGCGGGTGGTACCGTTCTGGTGACAGTTCATACACATGCTCTCGATCTCTGTGGGCTCCCAGTCCGCGTCCTCAGCGCCTAGATCCTTAAACACGCTCCCTCCTCGGACATTTTCCTCGGATATAACCGACATTCTCACCTGGAATATGTTCCCTTTCTGTGGAGAGCCTGTTTCTACGCGTTGACAACTCTCGAAAGGTGGACTGAGATGGACGTTTCTAGAAACAACCCGTCTTCAAATGCACACGAGCACGTTTGACGACTCCTCTGTTTTGTAAAGCCACTTCCGTATGTTATCTTCTTCTACGATGCTGTAAACCCCTGGCGTTGCTGTTGCCTCATCTGGTGGCCTCCGGTACAGCGGCAGTAAAACGGCTGCTGGCGATCACAGTAGATGGTTTAGGGTTTATGATCATTTTGGCACCATGTTTTACCATCAAGCTGCTTTTGGAGATTGTGTGTGTAAAAATATTTCACAGAACACATCGTATTTTATAAAACACAACAATATTTAAAACGTTTCATGCAAGTATATTTTTACGAGGCAGGAAAGCCTATGGAAAAAGTATTTAATTATATACAACATTTTACAAAATGCAAAAAAATAAAAAATAAAAATAGACATAAAAACGTTTTACAAAAGAACAAAAAAAAACCTATTACAAAAAGAAGTTAACACAAGGCAAAATATGTTTGCAAAATACTTCTGCATTTATTGAAATATTTTTGGCATATCATGAATATGTGAGATCATTTTGGCATTTAATGAAATACTCATATTCAGGGAAATATTTTTTGGCATTAAGTGAGATTTTTTTTGGCAATTTAGGAATTTTTTGGCAATTTGTGACATATTGTTGTAGTAAATGAAATATTTTTGCATTGAAGGAAATATTTTTTGGCATTTGGTAAAGCATTTTTGTGTTTAGAGGAATATTTTTTGGCATTCAGTGAGATGCTTTTGCTTAATCAACATTTTTTTGGGTGTTTATCTAAATTTAGTATTTTACAGAAATGTTTTGAATGAAAAAAATGTTTTTTTGTTTTGTTTTGTTTTTGTTTTTTCTCTGTGGTTGTGGTCTAAATGTGCAGTTGTTCTTCGTGGCCACTAAAATCCAGAATATATCGCAGGATTTTATTGTAGTCATTTCTGTTAATAGTTTTGGTAATTTTATGTGAGGAAAAATTTGATTATTATTTTGTTAATGTTATCTTGACCCCCCCCCTTTTTTTATTTTTCTGAAGCCTTTTAGATCTCGTTTTAAATTTTGTAATGCAACACTTAAATGATCACTTTAGCAAAAAAAAAAAATAATAATTCTTCATTTCATCCAAACAAGTCACCCAATCACGCAGCTGATCTTCTGATTCTGTTTTTTCACCATGTCCCCCACAGCTATTTATCCATAGTCAAAGGAAATGGTGCTCTTCCCCCAGAGGACCGACTGCTGAGGTTTCTGGTTGACAACAATGCAGATGCTGAGGAGATGGTGCAGTGTGCAAACTGTGACCAAGAAAGCAGCAAAAAGGTGAGACTGACTTAAACATTCAAAAGTCTTAATGACTTTTTGTAGACATCAAAAATATATGGACAGTTAAGTGTGTCTAAAAAGCCTTCACAACACAAAATCACAGAAATTGAGGCATTACATGAAATTTGAACTCTGGTCTCACATGAAACCAGACTTCTCTGCTTTCTCTATATAATTTCTTTTCATTATTCTCTCTGCTCATGCATACAGGATGCTGGGGTGATGTATTTCTGTAACACCTGTAACCAGCCTCTGTGCAGCACCTGCAGAGAGCTGACCCACAAAGCCAGGATGTTCTCGCACCACGAGATCGTCTCTTTGGCCAAACGCACCAAAGCCAAACACAGAAACTGCTGTAAGTAGGCTACTACCTGAATTAACATATCTAAAAATCCTGTTCATGAGGTTTGTGGTTTCTCCTGTTCTCTGCTCTATTTTCCTGAGGAGATAGGTAACATGGTAGCATGGTTAAAAGCTAAAAGGTGTCTCCGTCCCTACAGCTCTCCACGACGAGCCGTACATCCTCTTCTCCAAAGAGAAGAAGTCCATGCTTTGCATCAAGTGCTTCAGAGACACACAAGTGTGAGTAAATCTCTTTTTTCCAATTATACTCTCACTTTGTGATGTTCCTCTCTTGTCTTCTCTGCAAAGTAATCTTGTTCTGCAATTCAGGGAGAGCAGGACTCACTGCATTGACATTGAGACGGCGTACGTGCAGGGCTGTGAGATGCTGGACCAGGCCGTGCTGGTGAGACAGAAAGAGAGAGCGAGAGAGAGAGTCCAGTCTGTTCATCTGCACGTTCAACATCATGAATAATTCACACACTCAGCGCTGTGATGATATTGTGCAAAGTGATTCAGGTTTATCACAGAGCAATTTGAATACATAAACATATGAATGAGGACTGTTTGTTCTGTAATATTAGAAGCACTGCTGAATCAAAATCAAATATTTTCTCTGCACGAGCCAGAATTTCATCTTCATGGACTGAAATGATCATGAGCTGACTGCTCTGCTTTTAATAGTCAATTTCAAAATCATACAAAAGAGTTTAATTGCATACAAAGCTTTTATTCTTGATTTAGTGTTAATTTTTCTTTTTAACTCCAGGACGCTCGTTTATAAAGAGCCTTAAAGATAAACTTCTTCATGCACAATTATAAAGCACATTGTTATTGAATAGATAATGCTGAGTACACTGTGTCATTTTGTACATTAAGTTAAGGCTCAAAATGGTCAAAACAATGCAGAGTCAGACATGTTATTAGTTTGAAAAATGAAAACTTGACCAGAAATTTGGTGGTTCAGTAAGTGAGAAGTTCTTCTTATGTTTAGTGAGCTTTGTCTTTAAAGGAACACTCTGTGATTTTGTGCATTACGAATTTTAATGATGAATTATTTTGTTTTTGAAAGCAGTCTAACATTAAAATTCAAACAAAGTTGCAACACAGGAATGATAATGGGAATATTTCACAATGTCGTTGCACCAGTGCACTGGGGGGCCTCGCATGCCCTGAATTCTGAAAAAACAGCAGAAGTGCCCTTTTGGATGCTCCAGGTCTAGATAACACATTTTTAAACACCTTATCTAAAGCCTCTTTTATGGAGAATACATGAAAAACAGCTTCAGAAGCTGTTTTTTCTAAAGCACGAAACATGGCTTAGTGCCCTCCGGATTCCCAATCAGACCATCACACATACAAAAGTCCCCTGTGAATGGTCCTCTGCTATAAATGATGAAAAAAAAGTGCCCTCTAGATGCCCTTTCAGTATCTAAAACATTAAAACAGGGCCCTCTAGATACCTGTTTTAGTATATAAAATATTGAAAAGATGTCCCTTCAGTATACAAAACTTATAAAGTTCCCTCTTGATGCCTCTCCAGTAAATAAAAAGTGATAAGGTGCCCTTTTTGGTAATTTAGGTTTTTCATAGTCTATGTTTTGTTGACTTTTAAAATTGAAATTCAAGGGGTAAATTAATTTATTTATACAATTTGATTTATATTTAAAGTCACTTAGAAGAGCTTTTGGTTTGTTTTGATTTTGGCGGCCCCTGTGGACAAAGGGATTTTTTTTTAATCTGTTGTCCTAATCACGTGTTTTCAGACAAAAAGCTTCTCCTGTTAGAAAAAGCACAAGAAACTGTTTATGAGACTTTATCTTAAACAGCTCTCCGTCTTTGACTGTTTACATTCATGGTGTCATATAAACCCATGTGGCTCGTGTATATAAATCAATTTGCGTGCTGAACAATGATTACTACAACAATTATAACTGAAATCATAAGTAACATGCTTTTTCTTTGTTTTTGAGGAGTTTTGCAGCTGCATTTCTGCTGAGCTATGACTAAGATGTGCCACAGTCTGTAGATTTCCTCTGGTTATAGACTCTATCTTGGCTAATAAGTGACAAAGCAGCAGCAAGCATGACACTTTACTGACAGTGAACCTCCTCTGTCTCCTCCTCCTCTTCCACCCGCTCCTCTTCGGTCTGTAGGTGGTGAAGGAGCTGCAGACTTCAGCTCGAGAAGCAATTGTTCTGCTGAGAGCAATGATTGGAGAAGTGTGTCTGAATGTGGAGGAAGAGGAGAGTGCGATCTGTACTCTGTTCAACAGCCTGCAGGTTGTATAATGATGCTGATGGGTTCGTTTTTTTGTCTCCTAAACTCCCAGTGTGGACAAAACAAACCCACAAAATCGTAGTTGACATCTTAGTTTAAAGTGAAAGTGCAATAAAAAACAAAAACAAAAGAAAAAAAAGAAAGAAAGAAAATTAACATTAAAAATAAATATATTTCTGGCTTTCATGTGCAGTGAGTGTGTCTCTGTGTTAGCACCTGCACAGCTGTGCCACTAGAGGTCTCTGTCATACTGATTTTGAGCTCTGAGCATGCCTTTTTGTTTGCATACTGAAGAATTTACTCCTTTACTTTCTGCACATTGTTGAAAATTCATCAGGTATTAGAGAGATCAAGGCCGTTTTCACAGCAGTGAGAGGAATAAAAGAGGTTGATCTGTTCTCTTTTCTTTTCTTCTGTAAGGAGAAACTAGCAGAGAGGAAGAGGATGCTGCTCAAAGCCGCTCAGAGGTAAAAGGAAACATATCAGCACTTACATTGTGTCACCAAATGAAAGACTTTTATCATGTTATAGTTTCCCATAATACTGTTTGTACTCAGAGTGATGAATAAAAGCTCTCTGAATAATACCCACCCCTCACCAAATACATTTTCTTTAGTGACTTTCTTTGCAGGCTGAATTAAAAACCAGGAGGATTACAGATTAGAGACGGTGGTTTCCAATCAGAAAACCTGCAGCCAAACAGAGACGTTAAAATACAAAGTATGGAAATTATAGACTTTATGAAGAACAGTAGCTGCAGGAAACCCTGGACTCAGACCACCCTGAATACCTGCACATATACCCCCATGGTACCCCTCATGTGGTTTATAATGAGCCTTATAGGAGGTGGTCTTGAAAGTAGTCTGACAAACAGTCTTTAGCTGCGATAATTCAGCTCATGTTTCTGCAGTGTGCTTAAAACAGGTAAATCAAAGTTTTCCTCCATGTCTCACACAAGTAAATTCAGCTGAGGTAACTTATTTTAAGAGCATGATCCTATTTTCTTTGTGATATTAGGTGTGTTTTCTTTAGCAGACTGCAGAAAACTCAATTACTAAGTGTTTATTTATTTATTTATTTATTTTTATTTTATTTCCAATGTTCCAGTTTTTTCAACATAAACATAAACATACAACCCAAATACATTTTAATATATTGGCAACCTTTTTTTTTCAAACTGGGGGAATTTCAGCCACTTTTTTCTTGTAATAATTAAAATTGAGATGTAACACTAAGATATTTTGACCAAAAATAAAACAGACTTGGACAATTTGAGACCCGTAATGCATTTAAGCCTTTTTCTACACATTAAAAAGAAAACTTGAATCTCTCTTTCATATCGTCTTTCACTTCTTTGTAGTGAAAATGTACCTGTATCAATTGAATCTGATCTGAATTACCTGCATCCATATACAGCCAGATCTTAACCTCCTGCCAAGTGTTTTTATCTAATTTGCATTAAAAAGTCTAGTTACATTAAATAAAAGCAACTTTGACCTGAAAGCTCCTAATATTATTACAGCACAATGTTATATAATCTGATATAATCGGTTGCTCGTGATGGGTAAAAATATCTACCAGTGCATTGAATCAAGTTTTCTGGTTGAATTTGTAAAAAGATATATCCTACCTGAGGCTTTTATTTATGATACGATATGATATGATATGATACAATAAGATACGATACAATACTATACGATACGATATGATTCAGTTGATGTAGTTGTTTTCTGGACAATCACTGTTCCTAAAAACAGTGATATGAGACTCTGATAAACCTACAGTGAAATTCTTATAAAACTCAAATCTTACTGAGTGCATTTGTAAAATTTCTTGTGAAATATCTTATTATGGTTGATATGAGCTGTTTGTACCTGAAAGATATCAATGTTGTCTTAAGACACTGCAAGCCAAAAGTAAAAATCGAATGATTATGATGACTTAAAATGGCTGCACTGGAAAGTTTCTTAGATCAAATGAGTGCTTATTTTTGCTTGTAGATCACTGATATAAGACTCATGTCCCCATTTATCAGTTGGATATTGCTTATCTGAAGCAGGATAAAATGTTGTTGCTGAGAAAGGAGAGAAATTCACTCAGTAAGACTTGAATTTTCCGCAGTGAAAGGAGAATATAAACTGAAAAAGACAAAAAAAAATCAAAACCCTGAAGAATTCATATGTGCCAAATGCTCTTTTATTAAAATTCAGCAAAATAATGGCTGCAAAACAGAGCATCAGATTCAAAGAACAACATTTTGAGCATGTAATGTGAAAAAAATCCATACATTTGCAGAAAACTTGTGAAACTAATTTTATTTGCAGTTAAAAAATATACTTCATCAAATAAAAAGTGTATTGATAAAGATAAAGCTGTAATGTAAAGAAAAATCCTTCATTTTTGATAATATTTCTCTCTCTTTCAAAGCTGACTTGTTGCATATTTAACTCTGTTTAGCAGTGTGCATGTTCAGAAAGAAAATTGTAAAGTGATTAAAAATGTAGAAATGATGAAAACAGGAAAATGAAATCTGTTGATGTAACAACACAGAAGTAGAAAGCAGCCACTGAAATAATGACTAATGTAACAGTGTCCCCTCAGCAGCCATTAAAGTTTGATTTAATGTCACTAATTAGTCTCCTGAAAAAATGAGTGCACATCAATTTCAATTTAATATAAGAGCATAAAAACCTGTGTCTCTTCTCTGTGTGTGATCCTGAAAACTTCTTTTTTTACAGAGAGGAGGAGCTGAAAATGTGGAAATCAGAGTGGGAATGATGTTGGTGTGTACATGTGTGAGTGAATGGGTGTGAGAGAGAGAGAGAGAGAGAGAGAGAGAGAGAGAGAGAGAGAGGGAGAGAGAGAGAGAGAGAGAGAGAGAGAGAGAGAGAAAGAGAGAGAGAGAGTGTGTATCGTATTGCACTCTGTGGGATCTTTAATGAGATTTTTGTGCCCGCTGCCCTCTCTCTCTATTTCTCTCTCTCTCTGTTGTTGCCTGGAAGTTGTCCAGTGGCTGTGTTCCCGGAAAGGTGTTAAAGTCTATTTATATGTTGGTCTTTGTGTGTGTGTGTGTGTGTGTGTGTGTGTGTGTGTGTGTGTGTGTGTGTGTGTGTGTGTGTGTGTGTGTTTGATACTCAGGGAGAAGACAGATAGATTAGCTTCTGGAAATATGGAGTATGTTGTTTGTGGTTGCACCTCCTGAGCCGGGTCCTCTGAGGGTTTCAGCAGGCAAGGATGTGAAGATGTAGTGTTTCATGTGTGTGTGTGTTTGTGTGTGTTTGCAGTCAACATGAGGAGAAGGAGAAAGCGCTAACGGAGCAGCTCTCACACCTCACTGCCCTCCTGCCAACCCTGCAGGTAAAGTTCAGACATGATAATTAGTCACCAAAGCACTTTTGTTGACGCGTTTTCCTCCAAACTCTGTTGAGTGAAGATTATTAAGATTTGTTAAATAGTATGAGATCTTAACTGATAGTCAATATGGTTTTAGACCAAATTGATCTCCATCTTTGGCTCTAATTGACCTTGTGGAAGAACTAACTACCAGCATTGATGACAAGAAGTTCGCCATAGGTGTATTTATTGACCTTAAAAAAGCCTTTGACACAATTAATCATCAGATTTTGTTTCAAAAACTGGAAAGGTATGGGATTAGGGGAATAGGGCTCAGTTGGATAAAAAGCTATTTAGAACATAGACAACAGTTTGTGCAGATAGGAGAGGAAAAGTCAATGCTCCTTAATATAACCTGCGGTGTACCACAAGGATTAATACTGGGACCAAAATTATTCATATTATACATAAATGATATTATCAAAACTTGATAATAACTAAAAACTAATATTTTAAAATTTGTAATTTTTGCAGATGACATAAATATCTTTTGTAAAGGACAGAACCTCCAACAGCTGTTAAAGACTGTCTCTGATGAACTAGCTAAGCTAAAACTGTGGTTTGATTTAAATAAATTATCTCTCATTATAAAGAAAACTAAATTCATGATTTTTGGGAAGCGAGCCGGCAAAATTCCAGTAGACTCAACCATTGAAGTACTATGTGAAAACACCAGATTAGAAAGAGTTTATGAAAATTCCCTCCTGGGAGTAAAAATTGACCACAATCTCAGCTGGAAACCACAAGTCAAACACATTTGCTCTAAATTGGCGAAGACTAAAGTTAGACACATACTGAACCAGAAAACAATGTACATTCTATACTGTTCGCTTTTCCCCCCTTATTTGTCCTATTGTGCTGAAGTGTGGGGTAATACCTACAAATCCACCCTAAAGACAATATGCATCATGCAGAAAAAGGCAATAAGAATAGTTAGCAATGTTGGCTATAAGGCACACACAAATGATTTATTTTTAAAATTACAAATATTAAAATTCATGGATATAGTGGATTTCAAGACTACACAAATTATTTACAAAGCTAAAAACAAATTATTGCCTAATAATATACAAAAATGGTTCAAAGAAAGAGAAAGTGGTTATAACTTAAGACGGAGAGGGAATCTCTTACAATCCAAGGTGCACACTACACTTAAAAGCATGTGCATATCTGTCAATGGGGTGAGGCTGTGGAATAATTTGCCTGTAACGATCAAAGAAAGTAAAAACATGGCTCAATTCAAAAGGCAGTTTAAAATTCTCACATTAAAAAACTATAACAATTGAGGTGAAGGCGGGACAAATGTCTCATTTCCACTTTAAGAGGGTGTACTGAATCGTTTAGCCATAAAGTCTCCATTTTTTTTTCTTTAATTCCTTTTTTACATATTTTCATGTATTATTTTTCCGGTATATGGTGTTTTTTATTTCCAGAACTAACTACTTCTGATGAATTAAGACTTCCTCATTTGGAGAAATGGCGGTACTTTGATAAAATAAACAGTACCCATGTTAAAAAAAATTAAGATGTATAAAAGGGGAAGGTAAACAAAAGTTAGCTTCTTCCCTCTGCTTTTTTGAGCATGTAGAAACCTTTTATTTAATTGATTTTCTGTGAGAAATATCATTTGAAAAATGCTTCCTTGTTGATTCTCATGTTCAAAAATAAATTTCATTTCATTTCATTTCAAAAGATTATTAAGATAAAACCCAAAGATCACATCAATGACCAGGTAAATGTTCTAAACAGATTAAGTTCATATAAAGTTCTTCAGCAGTAAAATTTCAGATATACAGGATTTATTCTCTGTGACTGACGCAATTATTCAGAAGGTTACTCGCTTCCTGAACTACTGACTCACTTACTAACTTTGCTAATTAATCAGGTACTTAGTTACCAACTTCCTTCCTTCCTTTCTTAGTAATTTCCTAGATTACTTACATACTGACTAACTATCTGCCTAATTTACCTACAAACCTCCTTCCTTCCTTCCTTACTGACTTGCTCATTTCCTTACTGACTTACCAACTTACTTGCTTACTGACTAAGTAACTAACTTATTGACTGAGTAACTTACTTCCTTCTTTCCTTACTTAATTATAGTGTTTCTCCCTTCCTTACTAACTCATAAATTCTCTTCCTTACTGACTCACTTACTTCCTCTCTGACTCACTAACTTCCTTACTCACTCATTTCCTTCCTTCCTTACCGACTTACTAACTCCCTTGCTTCCTGGCTAGCCTTCTTTCTTCCGTACTGACTTACTAACTCCGTTCCTTTATTACTGACTTACTAACTCCCTTTCTTTCTCAATGTCTCACTAACTTGCTTACTTACTGATTCATTTACTTTCTTCCTTACTGACTCACAAACTCTCTTCTTCACTGACTCACTTACTTCCTTTCTTACTATCTCACTTACTTCCATTCTTACTGACTCACTTCTTACTAACTCTATTCCTTACTGACTCATTTCCTTCCTTCCATATTAACTTACTAACTCCCTTCCTTTCTTAATGACTCACTAACTTCCTTACTTACTTACTGACTCACTAACTCTCTTTCTTACTGACTCATCTACTTTCTTCCTTACTGACTTAAGAACTCTCTTCCAAACTGACTCACTTCCTTCCTTCGTTACTGGCTAGTCTTTTTCCTTCCTTATCGACTCACTTCCCTCCTTACTTACTGACTTACTAACGGCCTTCCTTATCATCTCTTTTTAGTGCAACCTAACTACCTTACCCACTTGCTTACTTTTTAAACACTTTGGTGGTGATCCAGGGGTTTTGCCAGGGATTGCTCTGGTCCCACATGAAATCTGGTTTACCTGCCGAGGTGCCCTCTCAAAAATCCTTTATCATGATTTTACTCTTCTGAGGTGGGACAGACATTAAAATGAACTGTTGTGTTAAAATTGTGACTATGTTATATGAGGCTGTTACTATGAAAGTTAGCTTCACCTGTGTTAGAGATCTTGTGGAGCTGCTTTAATAAACTGAGAAGTTTGTGTCGAAAATAACTCCCTGTGATAAATCTGAGAGGTCTTTGGATGATTAACAAGAAAAAACAAAACAGTCGAGTTCCGTAAAAAAATCACTTTATTTTTTATGTCTCTTATGAGAAATATTGCACATATAAAAACTTTGTTGGTCGACGTTCAGAGCTGCTTATGCAGGATACACTTGATGCTGTTTAATCTTAATCTCAGTCTGATGACGTCTCATATTCCCTGCAGCTTGTTTAAAATCCTCTCTTTTGATTTCTGATGTTTTTAGGTCCACCTCGTCACCTGTTCGGCCTTTCTGAGCTCCGCCAACAAGTTTGAGTTTCTGGACATGGGTTACGTGAGTGCAGACATGTCAAGAAGGAACAGTTTTAAATATTATTGAACTTTTTAAAGGTTTTCATGAGTAGAGATTTTTTTAAGTACTCTAGTTGGGAACAAAAGAAGTCATAGGAAGGTGAGTACACTTTTAAGAATTTAACTCTGAAGCCATCTCCAGTGATTTAAGATTCATGCTGAGAGGTTAGGGGACCGGTTGGACAAAACTGGTGTGTAAACAGTCTGTCTGTGTCGTGTGTTGGAGGTGAAACAGGTCACTGATTCACACCCGGATGTTCTTGCTTACGCAGCAACTCATGGAGCGTCTGAAGAGGATCGTAAAGCTCCCTCATCGACTGAGACCGGTGCAGAGCAGCAAAGTGAGTCCGAGCAGAAGTCATGTAGAGCTGCAAAAGGTTAGACTACAAATGCAATCCAATGCAGTCAGCTGATGAGTATAGTTTCACTTGTTCCCAGAGCAGCTTCACCAGATTTTCATATGAGGTCCAAAAGCCCAGAACCAATTTTCCTCCAAAGACAGACGAGCTCCTGGAGGTCTGATAGAAACTTTATTTATCAGAAACTTCATTTATCAGAGACGGCACATAAGTAAGACCTGTATGAGCAGGTTAAAGTTGGAGCTGAATAAAGAAAGGATAAAGGAAAAGGCAGAAAATAAAAGCATATGTAAGAGAGGATGGAAAATGAGAGGGAACCTAACAAGAAAAAAAAGAAAAGAAAAAATAAAACACGAAAAAACAAAGTGAACATTACAACTAAACTAGACTCCCTCAGGTCTACTTCAGTCAAGGTCCAGGAAGGTTCATTTTTAGTCTGGAGTATTCCAGTTTTTCTGATTGCTGAAGTGTTTTTCTGTTTCTATAAAACATGAAATTTACTACACAGCCAAACAGTCAGTTTGAAGGAGACTCAATTTCACCTTCTATTTTCTCAGTCTGGGACTCATTTAAAGTAGCTGTGTGTGATTTTGCAGCTCAAAAAAGTCCTTATTTATCTGACATACTGGTTTAGTGAAAATTCTTGTTCCAGCACTCTGTAGCCACTGCCTGAAACACTTTGATTTATGAGCAACATTTATGAATAATCATGATATTAAACTTTATATGACACAAAAGAGAAAAAAAGAGAAATATGAGTAATATATTGGATGTAAAAGATGTTAAAGTTCAGATGAAATAATCGTGACTTAACAACATAGGAGATATGATAAATAGATAATTAGATACAGAGATAGAATGGTAGAATAAATGAGAGAGAAATAGAATAAAATAAAGTCATAGACTGCAAAAAAAAACAAGTTAAAACGATGAAAGGAGAAAGTTAAACTTTTTACACAGCGTTGTTTTCATGAAATAATGATGATGCTATCTCTTCATTTTATTTCATTTTAGCAATTTTCCATCAGCTGCTGTTCTGATTTTACTCACAGTTTTCATGGAAGACCTTTATAGATGGAACAGGACCAGGTTTTAGTAACAGTTGGGACACAAATGAACCTCATACTGACCACAAGCAGCTTTGTTTTGGCTGCTGTTGAGCAGAAAATGAGAAAAATTCCTGCTGTTTTTAGGAGTCTTTGAAACTGGAAACAAAAGAAGACTTACAAGAAACTTTTTGAGACCTACTGAATTAACAAAGTGCAGAGCAGGAAAAAAGCTTAGCGCTTTCAACACAAGGGAATCATTTGAGAAAGTGACAAAGACAAATCTGTTCAAGAGGGGTTATTGTGTAACACAGCATATGGTTTTTGTATTTCTGTTGTCCTTCAGATCAACACAGACTACAGGAGTGAGTTCGCTCGCTGTCTGGAGCCTTTGCTGCTCCTCGGCCAGCACTGCCCTCCATCTGTTTCTGGACTTACAGGTGCTGCAACAAGGTGAGATCATTACCCTGCTGCCAGATAACATCCACATGTCATCAGTGTAGAATGATTCCATCCTCTGAGCCTCCATCGCTTCATCATTACCGCTGCATGTTCCAGATCCTTCCAAGAAATCAGAAAGTCTGGGTTGAAAATTTCACACTTGTGAAGCATCCAAAGTTGAAATCCCCAAATGGTTTGCAAGTACAGATGGTAGACGGCGAGGACTGCAGCAAGAGGCGCCACGCTGAGTCCCACTATGGCAGCCATTCTGTCTGTCTGTCTGTGAGCTATGTACTCTGGTATGTTGACGTATCTCACCTTGCTGAATGGAGGTTGAGGAGAAGGCAGCAACCCTGATTTAGAAAGCTGCGGATTCATTGTGGTCAGGCAGGAAACACAGGATAAGCCGATGAAATTTATCAATGAGGGAGAGATGTTTGAGGTTTAGTCTCATTCAGAGGAAAGTTGCTGCATTAAATCAGGATGTAAAGATGCTGAAAACAGAAAAAAAAAAAATTATTCAGCCATGCAACACAAGCTTCTAACTTCATCTTAGAGGAAAAGCAAATCACCAATCGATGAAACTTCAATTCACAAAATCTTCTATCACTGCTGCTCAGAACAAAAGGCTTTGTCCTTTCCTCTCCCAACTGTTCACAGGTCTCTAAGCCCACCCACTAATGCCAAACATACTGACAACTCTCTCTTCCAACTTGCTTAGCGCCCTGCCAGTGCAAGATGCAGAGTGGGCAGCGATTGGTGGCCGCCCGTCTGGCTGGCTGGTGGGCTGGCAGGCCGGCACTATTTTTATCATAAATTCACAGAACTCTTCAGGATTCATCTGGAAGTTGGCACGCGGGGGCGGCCGGGCCGCTTTGTTCCAGGTGGGCTGCTGATGTCACAGCTTTGGTTACGGGTGAAGCCTTTAGTTGGCGTCAGAGATTGGAGGATGAAGGCTGGGAAGGCAGAGAGGGAGATGTGGTTTAGACAGGTCTGCTGATGCATCAACATACAGCGAGAAGGAGGAGTAAGATTGAACCACAGCCCAGGTAAATTCAACTGCATATAAATTGGACGAATTTCAACTTTTGCACCAAGTTGCTTTTGCTTTTGCAGTTTTTGATATCTGTGGTTGTACAGACAGTGAAGTTGTTACAAAGACTTCATCGGGAGTGTAGGGCCAAAGAAATGGATGCACTCTTGCTGGAAACTTTCCTGTACAAATATCGATCAGGCCATTGTGACTTTTGAAGATGATACTTTCTGCAAAAGGCGAGTAAATTTATAACACACATTTCTGCAGAATACAGTCTGTTTAAAATCACATAAGAAAGGGCCATTAAAAATATAAGAATAATTATGTGAAGGATTTAGTTTTAACATGCAGTCCACTGAATTTTTGATTTCTGTGGACAATGCAGCTCCCAAGTGTTTAGATTTCAAACTTTGACTTATAGTTTAACTTGATAAATTTGAAATAAATTTTCAATATTTTCTTTCAACATCTTTTTCTGACATCTACAATGATTATTTAAATTTTTTGAATAAAGCACTTTGGATTATTTTGTTGCAGAAATGTTCTCTCACCTTTAAATTTTTTTCATATCCAGCATTTTTTTTTCTTGTAGTTATAATAATTTTTGTTCAAAGTCTCATCATTTTTAAAGACAGAAGAAGCACTTTGTTGTTGTTGTTGTTGTTGTTGTTGTTGTTGTCATGCTGATTGATTGGATCATGTAGAATGAAAAGCTGCAATTGTTTTGCATAAATTCACAATATTTGAAGAAAAAAAAATTCAGTGATTAAAAAGCAGAGAGAAGATCATATAAACTCAGCTGTCTTATTATTTTAGATTCAGTCAGAATCAGAAATATATTATTCATCCCACAGAGAAAGTTGTGCAATCAGTCAAATCAGTGTGAGACTATAAATTAAAAAAGAAATAATATGACGGATGCAGATAAGAAACAAGAGAACAAAAGTTAGAAACATATAGAGCAGAGTTTGCTAAATAAACAATATGTGCAAAAGGGAAGACTAAATTGTATTAATATTCTCAAAGTATTGCTGTATAGATTAACTGACAGGGAAAGATATTACGTATTTTAATCTCGGGTTGTTGACCTTATAGATTTAGAAGCCACAACAATATCAGTCTGTATCAGAGGATCACTAATGAGCAACAAATCAGGATTTAATGGTTTGTGAATAATTTATACTCCATATTTATTCAAAATTCAAAAATTAAAACCACAAACTCAAAAGTTTCACAGACATATTCACTCATTTAAAGTTTGATGCCAGCAGCATGTCTCCAAAAAGTTTGGACAGGGACGACAGAAAAGTGAAGAAGTTGTAGAATAATGATAATCACTTCGAAGAAGATCTTCCAGCTACAGTACAGGTGCAACAAATTAGAAACACAGCCGTGTACAAAAAGGGGACTTCAGAGGGTCTGAGTGTCCTGAAAGTAAAGATGTGAAAAGGTTCATGTCTTTGTGAGAGCAAATACTTCAAAAATTTCAGATTAATGTTTTTCATTGGGGATTTAACCAACAACAGGGTAAAATATTAACAAAACATTCTTCAAATCTGAAGAAATCTGAAAAAAAGGGACAAAGCTGATAACTGATACTGGAAGGTTGAGATCTCAATTCATTAAAAACAGGCGTGACTCTGTAGTGGAAATCACAGCATGGACTCAAATCACAGCATGAAACCACGACTGCTCTAAAGAGGAGAGTGCTGAACAACAAATGTAGATTATGGAACAACATAAATTGCCATCCAGTGACACCTTTTCAGGGACGACCTGCATATTTCAGCAAGTGAAAACCAAACCAAGCCACTGTGTGCATGTATGACAACAGTGTGGCTCTGTAGGAGAAGAGTCCAGGTGCTGAACTGACCTCTGACTCATTACTCACTGAAAGCCAGTGTGAGGACCTTCGAAGTTTCTGGGTCTTTATTGTCTGAGGAGGGATCGTACTGAAGTATGCCACCCATGTGTTTAAGTCTGTTTCTCGTCATGCTGTTGTGTGATTCCTCCTCCATTTCTCTGTAAAAGCTCATTTCCCCACGTCCTCGCCTCTTTTGTTGGACATAAACCAAGCAGGGATTGATTTGTGTCCATCTGTTCTTTCTATCAAGCAGAAGTGAAGTTTTGCAGCTAACTTCTTTTATGCAACTGCTGCTGTTCGTCCACTCGCTGTTTATTTAATTGGTTGTGTTGGGATACAACCTGCACACTCAGAGGACACACCATGCAGTCATATGGTGATACACTCACATATAGGTTATTGTTGAGCGGCCTCGGGGCAGTTATGCTGCTCCAGGCATGAAGCCAAGGCTGCGGTCCAGCTGGAACAAAGATAAATGTGTGTTTATCTTGTTGTGATGTGGATACATACCTCAACAGTGCTGCTGAAGGTGATGGAGAAGTGATTCGAGGGACAGTATGTGCAGGGATTTACCTCTGACACATGATATATACACACATGCATGTAACCTTTATTGAATCAGTTAGTCTTATTCAGATCAGAGGGCCTCTGCTGCTTGAGGTGGGCCCTTAAAGGAGCTTTAAAAAGGTGGAATTGTGCTCTGATATATTAAAAAAATTTAACTTACGTTAAAATTAGGACTGTCTGATGATTCTCTTTCAGTGGTGATAAGTTGAATTTTCAGGTGGATGTCTCAATTCCTATTATTTTGCATTTCAAAGAAGATTTTAAGTTAGTATTAACAACAAAAAGCAACTTGGTTTGGAATTCTTTTAAATGCAATAAAATGTCCTTTATGTTCTTGATTTATTCATTCTGTATTCAATCAAATGCTGCACCACTGTGGTCTGAGCTTCAAAGTGATTTACTTTAAGGATAACGCTGATACATATGAGGAAATGTTCAGGAGCGCATATACAGGATGTTATTCCAAGGTAGCTCCCTGATGTCCAGTGATCCCTGTTCAATGCAAAAACATTTATAATTTTCAGAAGTTCCACTTTGGTTGTTTTTTTCTGCATCTCGTCTTTGTGAAACTGTTGATTCCTATGACAGTGAGACTTATGACCGGACACAACTTCTGTGATATATTAATTTTACTTGACATGAAGTGCATGTTACTTAAGAACCGTCAGCTGAGCTGTCTCTGTGTTTTTTGAGTGGAATTTGCAGCCCAAAATAGCAGCGGTATAATAACTCTCACTGGACAAAAAAAAGGCATGAAAAGACACACAATTTAAAGAATTAATGCACTAAATTTGGACCTCGACTACACTGAGATTCAAAAACTTAAATAAAACAGCATAAAAAAGAGTAATACAGAAAAGTCTTCTCTGTTTTCTTTGCTGGAGATTTTCTCGTAAATTCCCTTTAAAATCAGATTTGAGGGCCAAAAAATAAAACCATATTTCATGATTTTTCACAAGTTACTCAATGATGATGACTTATATACATGGTAACAGTGGAGGACGTTTCTGGAGAGCCGTTGGCTTGGAAGCGTTAATTTTACAGTCAAACAGAACTGACTGTAGGTTTAGAAGTACGTATGTTGTCACTACGTTAAGTGTTCATACTAAACATGAGCTAAGTTTTAAATCAGTTTATAAACATGTCCAAATACTCCTGTGATGGGTTTTGAGGTTTTTTGGAGTTGCTGCAGAGGTTTCACAGAGTGTAAATACAGAGTTTGAGACGAGCCTGAAACAGGAGCTGTAAATTGAGGCTCTAATTGTCGGCGGTGGGAGCAGAGGTTGGCAGGTGGAAATGTTTTATTGATGGATTGGTTATTATTTTCCTCTCTCCCCTCAGGCATCAGTCCCCTCTCTCCATCATCTGCCGCTCCCCGTCTCTCAGTGAGATGCCCCTGGGCACGGTGCTCGGGCGGAGGCCCACCTGTCACCGAAACATCTGCACCAAAGTCCTCCTGGCTGAGGGGAAGGAGACGCCTTTCACCGAGCACTGCCGCGACTATGAGAACACCTACAGGGTGAGTGCTGTGACGTTAACCTTTACCTATACTTTTAACAGGAACAAGCACTGGGAAAAATAACCAGAATCTCTGTGTTTTCCCTTTTTAATGTTTTAATATCTGTAACAGGAGTGTTACAGATATTGGAGTGTGCAGAGAAATCAACTGTATCTGTACTGGGATGAAAATTGAAAAAAAATTTTGAAAAAAAAAAACGAGACTAGTCGTGACCAATTTACAAATACAAATTTGATTTTAAAAGGAATTTTTAGAATTAATCTGACTTGTTGCTAATGCTCTGATTTGCCTTTTTAAGCTCAAAGAAAATTGTCACAATAAGTTCTGACTTGTATTTTAAAGCTCCTGTGAGGATCTTTGTGATCTTTTACATGTAAATTGTAAAAACAGAGCTGTTTCTTAAGCTTCATGGCTGACACCTAGCCCCCCAGACTGGTTCCAGGCACTAAAAGTCATATTAAAACATAATCAGTCATGTTGGCAATGGTTTTGTTTGCTTTTGAAAATATATCAATTTGAACTTCAGTCTATTTCACAAAAGTAAAAAAATCCCACATAGGTGCTTGAAACACTCAGGTCGCTTTCACACCAGAGCTGTTTGGTCCGCTATGAACGGACCAGAGTTCGTTTCCTCAGACAGTCCGCTTCGTTTGGGCAGGTGTGAAAGCCCATCCGAACTCTGGTGCGGACCAAACAAGTGAACTCTGGTCCGCCTGAAAACGTGGGTCTCGGTTCACTTCTAAGTGAACCCTGGTTTGGTACGTATACAGTGTGAAAGCTCACCGGACCAAACACAGGACCAAATGTACATAATGACGCTATACGCAGTGCATATGCAGTTCATCTTGGGTAGATAAAGCCCGGCGTCCCTTGTTGCTATGGCAACAAGTGACCGCTGACATTAGCAGTTGCTAGCTAGCTTAGCTCAATTGTCTGAACAACAATAACCCATGAATTCACAATTTGGCATATTTAAACAAAATCAAATCACAACTACCAACAGACACAGGCCTTAAACTCTGAGCTCATACGTTGTTATATGTTAGATCGTCAAAGTTAGAAAAATAACAGGATCAATCTCTGACAAGTTACGATAGCATTATAGGAACAACGTTGTAGCATTCCATAAAATAATGTGACGAAGCACAATACAAGACGGCTAGTCCACCCCTGTTTGTAATCCGTGAGGTGACATACCCCTCCTACTTTGTCCAATCGACGAGCGCCCCTTTCAACCACGTGATGCTGCTCGGAAAGTTTGGTGCACTTTAGAAATTACAGTGTGAAAGCAGAACTGAAACACGTGATAAATGCTACAATGCTGTGACTTTCAGCTCCCCAATCGAACTGAGTCCGCTTGGTCAAGTGACCTTAAAAACTCCTTACTGTAGCTTTAAATGTGTCTGCCCCAGGGCAGCTGTGACTACTAAGGTAGTTTACCATGATCAAAAAGTGTGACTGTGTGAGCGAATGAATGATGTATCCAATGTAAAGCGCTTTGAGGGTCTCTGATAAAGCGCTATATGAAATCTGATGCATTATTATTATTATTATTATTATTATTATTATTATTATTATTATTATTAAAGCAGTTTATGAAGAGATTTTTCATTGCCAAAACAAACCTTTGTCTCACTAAAGAAACACATTTTATTTCTATATATCTCTTAGTTTGATGTCCAGACACACACATAGAAATCCTGTTTTTAGATCAGCATTAAACCCCTGCAGGTTCTGAGAAGCGTCTCTAAACTCTGAGTGAAACAAAAACAAGTCGGCGGCTTGACTTCCTGCAGAAATTCATCCTCAACCTGTCGAGTGGGCAACACGGTTTTCACACTTAGATGCACTTCAGCGGGCAGCAGTGCACTCCATGCCTCCTGAGTGTCATGTCTTTCTGTGTTTGTTTGTGTGTGTTTAAAGACTTTCCAGACAGAGATTCAGAATCTGAAGGACCAGGTCCAGGAGCTGCACCGAGACCTGACCAAGCACCACTCCATCATTAACACAGATAAAATGGGAGAGATCCTGGACAGGTCGCTGCACATTGACAGCCAGATATCTGCGCAGTACACCACAGTGGAAACTATGAGGGTCATGTTTGAGGAGGTGCATCAAGTGATACCTTGATGAGCTGACCTTCAGTGTGTACCTGCCTCTGCTGGCCGGCTCTCACAAAAACCTTTTCTACTTTTGTTCTCAGTCGGCAGAACCAGCTGCATACTAACAAGATACTTTTCACCCATTTTTATCTGCTAGAGAAGTAGTCATGGAAAAGAAACACCACAAATGTTTCTCTGAGGGGAATCTGTTTGTTTCCTTGCAGGTCTGGGACGAGACTTTTCAGAGAGTCACTAACGAGCAGGAGATCTATGAAGGTTTGTCTTCAAAGTGGCAGCACCAATAATTTGTTTGACACTTAGTTTTGATTCATTCGTCTCTCTCTGTATTCGTGGATTTCAGCTCAGCTTCACGACCTGATGCAGCTGAAGCAGGAGAACACTTACCCAACCACCATCACCCGACAGATCAGCCCTTACATCCTGTCCATCGCCAAAGTCAAGGAGAGACTCGAGCCCAGGTGTTTTACTCAATTTTCCTTGTTTTAGTTGACTGGTGGCAGTAATTGTGAGCAAACTAACCATATTCTCATAGCAGCTGTGCATCTCCAACATCACTCTGAGTGTGGGGAGTTGAAAAGCTTTTATAGTGATATATTTATGTGTCACAGGTTATGACTGATGGGAGTACTTATTTAAAGCAACACAAAGACTGAGTTTATTGACAATTCAGAGGGACAATGGTCTGTCTTTCAAGTCAAACAGCAAATTTAATTACATTTAGACAACATACCTCCATTTCATCTACTGTATAAAACTGAAGCCTCTCAATGGTGCCAAATTTTGGGTTTAAGAAATACACCGAAGTGACCTGGTCAGAGACAGGGCTTAAAACTGTTCCCTCAAAAATCCCATGTATATTCTTCTGCATCTGTTGCACAACTGCCCGTTAACTGCTGCTGCAACAACACAGACCATATCGCTGTATATGCTTGAGCAGGCTGCTCTAACATCTTTGCAAAGTTTTCTGCAGTATGAGACCTCTGAATGATCTCTCCTTACTCCTTAACCCCTAAATCATGTTGCAAAAAACGTGTAAAGCTGCAGACCTGAGACAGTAGGTGGGTCGAGCTGCAGCTAAAAGAGGAGAGATGTTGAGGGTGGATTCAGGGTTTAGCTTGGGGTGCCCCAGCCCCACAGATGCACCCCCTTTTCTTTTTATTCATGATTCAATGGACTATCTGCAGCTAAGAAGCAGTTGAAATTGTCATGTTAGGATATGGTCAGACTTCCCTCTGCACTCTCACTTGTCTTTTCAGTCACTGATTGAAGCAGAAGCATTGAAATAATAAGTTATTCCCTTCATCGGTTAAATTACTTATGACTTAGAGGCTCTTGTTGATCTCCACCAAAGTCAATGCAGCTGTCCTGGTTGGAAACTCCAATACATAATCATCTCAATTTCAAAAGAAGTGCATCCAAAAATGTAGACATTCAGCATCGGCCTAGATCTGAAACATTTTCTCTTTAGTTTCTCTTTTGTCTTTCTGACACTGGTTTGCGTTTGGCATGGATTTGCTTCAGTGTTTACCCTGAAAATTCTGCTGAAGCTAGGTTTTAATTGTTATTTAAGTTAATTTACATGCAGATAATTGTAGATGTTGAATTTGGCTTCAAGCCATGATACTGTTTCCACATTTGTACAATTTAAAACAAAGTATCCTGAGATTTTAAGCAGCTGTTTCCCCAAAAAAATATCATTGAACCAAAGCTGAAAAAAGCATCAAAACCTGACACTTGTGAATTCACTTTTATCTTCAGCTGTTCCCATAGAAAAGCAAAAAACAAAACAAAACAAAACAAAACAAAAAAACAACAACAGTGGGTTATTTATTCTCTGTGTGTTTTATATCTCTGTGTTGTAGAGTCTCATTGATGCCAGAAAACAAAAATGTCTCTGAGCTCCATTGTTGCTCTGGCTGACATGTTTCTTTATTACCATGAACACAGACACCACGGTTTATCTGAACTCATTTTCACAAACACTGTTCTGCTGCAGAAAATACTCACTGGAGCAGCAAATTTTCATCAATCTGCAGCTGGAAGTCACCATAAACAAATGCAAATATTAAATTATATTTGAATAATGATTGTTAAAGTTAGCTGTTTCAAATTTATCTAAACATTTGTACGTTTTTAAGGTAAAAATAGGTAACACGTGAGCGAAATGAAACAAATCTGATATATTTTGTTGAACTGTCTTTGTGTATTTCTCAAATTATTTCAATAGATTTTCAGCCAAGGTAGAGCTTTTGTATTTAGAGGTAAAGGTGCACTCTTTACCACTTTGTTTTCCAGGTTTCAGGAGGAGAAAGAGCACCATGACGACCGCACAGAGACAATGCTGAAAATCTATGAGGACAGCTCGACCTCCAAAGACAGTCAAGACAGGTAAACTCCAGGTTGAGCCTAACTGAGGATGAATCAGAACTTTTATTTTTTTTTATTTCTTCTTAATTAGGTGATGCAGGACAGATCATGACAGGTGGTTGACAACATATATACAGTGCAAACAGACAATAGAGACAAGACAACGTGACAAATACAGCAGGAACACATAACATTTACATACATTTAGGCAGTGTTGCAAGACTGTTTAATTAAGTGTGGGTGGGTGGGTGTTTCCATGTGTGTTGTGAAGTGTGTGTGTTTGTGTGTGTTTTTTTTCCCTTTTTTTTTTCTTTATAAATAAATATATAAATAAATAATAGAATAACAGGTATATATATAATATATATATATATGTGTGTGTGTGTGTATATATATATATATTACATTATATATAATGTATATACTATATATATACACATACATATACACATATATATAATAAAATTAAGTACATAAATAAATAAATGTGGCAGGATATAGAAATGATAATTATAGAATAAATGATGCTATTTATGATGCTATTTTGTTTATTGTACAGTGTAAACACGAGAGAATTTAATTACCAAATCCCAGATACTAGGCAATCCGACTTTTTTCAGGTCTTTTTGGAGGAGAAAAAAGTCACAAATTCAAGTCATCGCTGTAAATTACATGAAAAATCAAGTAAATGACAAGAAAACTGCTGGCCTCACGAAAAAAGTGGATTTTGAAGTCACTTTGTTGTATAGTGTAGTGTATATAGTGACCCCAGAAGATTCACCAAACCCTTAATACCAATCAATCTTAAAATTTTCCAGTATAATTTAAGAGAGAGAGAGAGAGAGAGAGGGAAAACACAGACTTATATTCAAGTCATTACGGCAAATGACACTAACAGTTGTGATAATTAGGTTCATAAATATGAAGTGAAAGTGCACCCTCAGACTGAGCAGCAGTATGAACACTGTTCGGTATATTACAGTCTAAATCCTTTATTAAACTGGTGTCCACTTGAAGCTGCTAATTTCTTTTCTGCTGACAGTGAAAACCAGACAAGTGTCATAGAGCAGGACCAAGACAAGAACAACCGCCTGCTGCTGCTGGAGTCAGGGGAGAGCTCTGGGAAGACGAGTCACCCGTGCAGGCTCAGGGTCTCCACGGAGACCAGCAGCCACAGCGAGATGCCTTTATAAACTCCTCATTTCTGCCCCCTTCACCCCTCAAGTGCTGCAGTGTAACTTGATTGAACCATAACAAGCCAGGAGGGGATGTTTTCTCCACTGCTGAACACATACTGTATATATCATCTCTCTCAGCGGTGTGGAGCTGTCTTCTTGGATGGACACTAACTGGACGTGTAAACATGGAGATCAAAAGCTCACTGCTGTCAGAGCCGGACATGGAGAGACTCCTGCTTCACTATAAACATCATAGAGAATTTACTCTGTTGTTATTTAGGAGACCTGGACTGCTTTCCTAAGAAAAAAGGAGTGTGCTATGCTTAATTTTCCTGCTGCAGCCTTTAAATGACAGAAACTGTGTAAACATATGCTCAGGTTGTGATTAAGCCCCTTTTCTTCTACAGTTTGTGCTTCAATTATCTTTTTTTAGTCTGCTGTCTTTGCATGAACCTTCACTTTTTGGAGCTGAAGGTTGATGATGGTTGACCGCACATCTCCGGTCGCCCTGAAGACTGTTCAACTGATGTGACAGCACAGATGGGATGCAGCAAATGTAATGACGTGTGTGTCGGTTTAAGTGTCAGTGTCAGTCTCATGTTGATGGATCAGACCCCTGAAATGAGGACGTCTTTCCAGTCGGCTGTTGGATTTTTTTCCTCCCTGCAGATTTAAAGAGTGGAAAAGCATTGAATTGCAGAGGTGTATGAAAGTACCCAGCCTTAGCTGGCTTAACCTTGATCTCCTGCTTTTTTACTTCGCTTTATATTCTTAATATCTCCGATTAGGAAGGTCAAATGTGCTTCAATAGAAAAACAACTTAAAAACAAACATGGCGTCTTCGTCTTCTTCTGTTTTCATGAGTTTATTAAACAGATCTCAGACTTTTTCCCAAATTTCATTGACAGTCAGGTTGAAACTTCTCTTATTTAGCACAATGTAAGACAGAAAAAAACGCATTTTGATATGGGACCTGAATTCCTCTGCTTTTGCAGCACACCTCAAGTGGACACTCAAGCAACTGCAGTTTGTTACACTTCAGCATTGGCTTTAGTTTTCAAAGCACTGATGAGTGATATCAAGAAAAAAAAGATTTGTTGATATTTTTGCTTGGCCTCCAGCCTTCACAGCTCATCAGAGTCAGCAGCATGATTTAAAGGAAATGCCCTGCAGGAAACCAGCAGGTAACTTTACATCCCATCTCTTCCTTTCCCCCCTATATATTCCACACGCTCAGTCTTGATGGCGCTTTAACTAGACGCCATGTTAAATCTGACAAGAGGAGGAACGTAAACATATCTAAACGACTTCTTCAAAGGCTGGAGGATCTAAAGGAGCCGCCTTAAATCAACAGAAATATTCAGATGTGCAGTGATATCAGGGAATAAATTGAGCCTTTCTGAAGGACTTTTGCTGAGAAAAAAACCTTTTTTAAAAACACCAACAGCCCACATTTTCAACCTGGATCTTCAGGTAAGGTCCGTAATTAGGAGCCAAGAAAGAGAAGGTTATTTACATTACACAGCTAAAGTGGGTTGGTTCATAACCGCCGCTTTACGGGGAATATCAGGGTCATGTCGGCCTTTAGGAACAGTCGCTCTCTGCAGAGGTGTCAGAGGTGCACATTCATTAAAAATACATTTGTGACAGCGGAGTAACAAATGGCCATGCCTGCGCTCTGCTTCATGTACTCCTTCCCCGTGGTCATTCATCATCTGCACTCATCGAGCCACCAGGTCCATGTTCGCTGCTCATTACTCTCTTTTTCTTTGCCGGAGAGGAGGAGAAACACCCGAAGGTTACTCCACAGAAAGACAGTTATTTTTAGGGGCGTTCACAGAAAAACTGGAGCCGGACTTCATTGAGAAACAGATTTCTTTTAACACCAATTAAGACCGATTACACCTCTACTCCAGCAGGTGACCAAGCAGATGCTTAAGTGCCTCATTTTTAGTCTCCAAAATCCTCATCACACAAACGAGAGAATCATGAAAGATAGAAAAGAAAAATAAAGATTAGATGAAAGTTTAATGATCTTCATGGTAAAATTGGGTCACTGTGAAAATAAAGGAGTGTGACAGTAGGAATAATTACAATTAGAGCAAATAGAGAGCTAAAGATAAAACCCACAAACGGCTGCATAATAAGGATGGAAATACAGTCATGAGTCTTAATTATGCAGCACATAAAACTGCAGTGGCAACTGGCTCTGAAGATTTTGCTGACTTAAAAATATACAGGTTAATATATTTGCATGGATTATGATATTTGTCGATGCATTATGCATTTAAATACAACGAGAGTATTGTGGCGTATTTTTTGGTAACTGGATTAGCCTGCTGCAGTGAAGAAAAGTGAAGTTTTAAGGCTTTTTACTCAGTAGTTCATGTCGTAAAATCTCAGATAACACTGATAAATGAACAATTTCGGTCTCTGATACGTTTCATTAGAAGTTTAAGTAAGGAAGAAAAAAGCTTTTAAAATCAGGCTCTAATGATTATCAGTTTACTTCCATATTTGCAGTATGTGTGTCTCATACTTGTGGATCTTATTGTATTTTAACCATTGCTCTGTGGAACTTGACTGCTTATTGTACTTATTTAGCTATTTATTGCTGATCCTGCTGATCTGTGAGTACTGATGGGAATGTGTTTGTCTACTGGCTGCTATTAATGTCTTGCACTTGTCTGTTTTGTTTGTCTGCTGATCTGATCTGTGTGATTTTTGATTTGTGTGTTTGGATGGATCAAACGGCAGGGTAACTGCGAACGGAATTGTCCTTAGGAGATAAATAAAGTTGTCTGAATCTGAATCTGAATCTGAACATTTTAAAATGGGGCTCTATAAGAATTTACTCATTTTTGGGACCAGCCTCTAGTGGCCACACAGGGAACTGCAGTTTGGGGTCTTTTTGGGAGTTTAAAATTTAGTGAAAGTTAATTTTTTTGCAGAAAAAGTGTCTGTACACTTCGAATTAGCAACTGGTTGGTTTTGCTGAAAGTTTGCACAAAAACGGGAATATTTCTTACATTTATGAGTGTTTTTTGTTGCTATCACATTCATTCAGTTAAGATGTGTCCTCAGACCTCTGCCTCCCCCAGTGTCATTAATTATGTGTTTCTGCTTCATCATTTGTGATTTGAACAAATTGTTCTGTTAATTTTTGAACTGTGAGCTCTGATAGTTATTTTGTGTAAATTTACCAAGAGGAACTTTAGTCAGACTTTTCCTGCCAGGTCAAGCTTTATTTGCTCACAGAGAGCTCCTCAGGACCATAGACTTTTCTTTTTCAGTTTATTCTTCAACACATTGACTAATAACTGCCTTTCCTGGTGGGAGGGGCTTCTTTGACCCCCTCTCTGCTGACTGGTCTGGACTGGAGGGTAATTGGAATCAATTTTGATGTTGTTATCGCTGGTGACAGATGCACGAGGCTGTGGTGTGAAAAGGTTAAGGGTTGAGGAAGCCCACCCAGGGGACTGAAGATGCCTAAGGCATGAAAATGTCATTTCAGCATCAATTTCTCTCTTAGCATGACCAGCTTCATCATTTTATCAGGTGGTTACCGCAGCTCAGAGAAGCAGCTGAGGGTAAATGAAGACGTCGAGGATGGTCTCTAAATTCATCTTATTATTTACTGAGATTATCCATCCAGCAGGTAAATAATGATGTCTTTAAATTAAACTTGTTAACGGATGTATTTGTCAAATGATGTCAATAATCTTTATCACTCACTGACCTCGTGCTGCATAATTAACCCTGGAGTCACAGCCAAGAGTTTCGATTTGACCCCAGCAGCTCTGTGGGTCACATTTTCACTTCCACTCTGTCTGTGGAGGCGTGTTAAGAAGAAAAAATGTTCATCTGCATGTTTTAGTTCAAATTTATAAAAAAATAAATAAATGAAAATTTTCAGATTTTGGGGAGTTTTACGTTGCAGAAATTGATAAGGGGGGATGAGTAAAGGTGATCGAAGTTTTAAAAAATCAAGACAAGGAAATAAAGAAAATATAGAAAAGGCTTCTGTGTGTTCAAGATCAAAAGTCTTGCATCAGGAAACAGAAACTGGCACGCATTTAGACCAAGTAGAATACAACTTACTGTATTCATGATAAAATTTCAAGAGGAAAGTGCCAACAGAAGCTGCAAATATTGTACTAGTTTTCATTCTTTTTATTGATTAAATTTTTTCTCTATAATGTTATCTTTAGCTGTTTATAATGTGTCCAATTAATCCTTTCAGCAAAGTTTTCAGTACAGGTGCAGAAACCATCACAAACTCAGCTTCTACAGAGGATCTGCAGCCTCTCAGTTTCTAACTTAATTATCTATGCAGTGATCTCAGTGGGCGGGGCTGATAGGATTGTAATGCTCTGCAATGATTGGCTGCCAGAATGTTGTCTGAATAGGGAGGAGAGAAGACAGATGCAGAGGCAACACAACTCAAACTGAAACATGGATGGCTAAAATAAAATATGCATGAGTTTAAAGCCAGAAAGAATAAAAATACACACACAAGATCTTAAATATGCTTATGATGTAAAATTTAAAATTTACGCTGTTGGCCACAGACAACATCAGGGAGATGCTTCAGACTGTAGATACTTTGGCTGATAACTTTCTAACTCATCCACCAGAATATGACAACATATGTTTTGTTACTGTTTTGTGTTTGGAAAGTGCTGTTGCCAATCTTAAAGCTGGTTAAGTAAAATCAGAATATATGAACATTTATGGCAGTCTGTTTCAAGCCATAATTATTAATTTTGGTGTGTTTTAAGACTGGCCAAAAACTCCTTATATAAGCTTTAATTAGTCTGACTCATAAAGGAGCTGTTTCTGTGATTATCACAGGAATAGAAAAAGAAATATGTCTTTGTAGAAATCCTATGGCGCACATGAGTTCAGAAAAAATACTCGTTACTCCACAATGCTGTAAGTAAGACCTGTTGTCTCATTGTGGTGAAAGTCCACAGTCCTGAAGCACAAAACCCTTCTCTTGAACCTCTCTGGAG